GGAAACGTTATGAAAATTGTCTTGATTTGCAGGTCATTTCCGGCGAGAAGGCCGGTGAAAGAATTTCACTGCCAAGAATTGATTTGTCACCTGCAGACTCCTCTCTCCCTTTCTCTTTTAAGAGGCGACAATTCCCAATTCGCATTGCGTCCTGCATGACCATCATCAAAGCTAAGGGTCAAACACTGAAGCGAGTCGGCATTTATTTACCCCAAACAGTTTTTGGCCATGGTAAACTATATGTTGCACTCTCACGAGCTACATCGTACAAAAATTTTGATGTCCAAATTCTTCCCAAAGGCAACCGTACAAAAAACATCGTGCACAAAGAGGTGCTTCGATCTTTTATAAATCCCAAAAGCCTCATAGTCATTAGAAAATTATCAAAAAATAAAAATAAAAAAAAATTTAAACAGTAACACAAAAAAAAGAAAAATTAATAATGCGAGCTTTTTATAACATTTTTCGGTAGAATGGCAGTCTCCACCCTGTAACGCAGAGAGGCAGTTAAATTCCTTGATCTTCTGCCGCAGAATCATAATCATTATTAAATAGATTCAACTAATCGCTCTGATTCCAAATAAGCTACTGCACCACCATTGCTAGCTGTGGAGGGCGCCCGTAGGGCACCCGGAGCAGCTAGTACCTGATTAAGATTCGAATTCCGTGGTGGCAATTCTTGAATTCACATCTTTATACTCCCCTCTATTCACATGATAAATGAGATCTTCAGTGATACCAATTTTGCAAAACTTTTGGAATGCGAATTTAAAGAGACAATATCGGACAGGATTCTCTTAAAATACAAGAAATACTTACCAGAAAATGCTAAAGTGCTACTGTAAAATGAAGCACGAGCTGGATTAATTAAGAGTAAAGTTGAGAGGTCTATACTTTCATTGTTGATTTTCAAAAACGTCAGCCATCCATCTGCTGATTCAAAAGGTATACGATTTTCAACATTTTCTAGTTGATCCTGGAAAATACTCACAGTGCTTAGAGGGAGCAAACAAATCGTTGATACCATAAGATCAGATCAGAGTTATTCACGGACAGACGCCGGATGTGAAATTCGTCAGAGAAGATAAGAAACTCAATAACTGATTTGAGAATAAATTCCAAGCTTCCCTTAAAGATTTCTTCAGGGGGTGTCGATATTTTTATTCGAAGCATTTACCCAATCGAAAACTTTTTATAAAGAGTTTCCATGTTAAGTAAAATTTTTTGAAAGGCCAAACATAATCTATTTTCCATTCTTAACTCTAAAGAGGGATGTGTAGTTTTCAAAAAAGTTCTTTGAATTCTATGCTGTTAATTTCTTTTAGATTATTGAACATGATAATATCAGCAGGTTACAGGGTTGATCATCAATACTCTCTCACGCCATTAATGAGAGATTTTGATGGATGAAACCCTTCCTTGCACTACATTCAGCCAACATCACTCAATAATCTACCAACTAAAGTTCAATAATTGACTATAATAATCAATCCATAAACTGGCCTTAAAATTTCATTTTTCTGCTTGTCACTTTGCTACAGGATACATCCATACCAAAGCAAGACCATACTATCAATAATTCAATTTTAGATATTTTTTTTTGGGCGAGAAAGTCTTTTTAAGAATGAGCGATTCAATTATTGTAACAGCATTACATTAGGTCTTGCTGAAAAATAATAATGATCTATTTTCAATGCGATACACTTAAAAGAAGAAGAAAAAAAACAGAATTCTTTGTAAATTGTTCGAAGTACCAACCTTCAATGTTTTTGGAATGCTGCCGAAAAACACATCACCATGACATTTGAACGAGTTAGATATCCTTGCTAATGAATAATTCTGAACAAAAGGATTTATCATTTGTTTTTTGCCACCATTTACTGAAAATCTCAAGCCTTTCTCCTCACTTTTGTCCAACTTCATGTACAACCAACCGTTGCTAAAATCACTGAAAGGGACTTTCCTCTCCTCATAGAATGACTCATATCTCAGACAAAATACAATATTTCGCATATCAATTGTCACAGCAATAAAGCTCTGAAAGTCCTCTCCTGACATTAAAAACAGGAGACCACTTGGTTTCATCGGCTTCACTGCAAAAATTATCTGAAAAGAAAAAAGAAATACATCACTTGAAATGAAAATTTCCTTGGGCACTAACTTTTGTGCTGTAATACTGAGGTGCAACTTCATGTCCCTTTTTAATTAACTATTTCAAGTTTTCTTTCTTTTGGACCTCAGAACATGTGACACAAACCTAGGGGTTACCAAATGCAGTCTGAAGGATTCAGTTGCCAGCAGTTTCATAAGACTAAATTTGAAGAATCAAAATAATAATTCACAAATTATAAAAGAAATTAAAAGTTCTTCGTGTAAAAGATGGCCACAGATGGCTCAATTGCGCTGAAATACTGCAGAATTTTTTTTTCCTTCTCACATTAATATCCATTGAAGACGAAAGTTGAGGACACAAGGGACAAGTAACAATGGTAAATATTTAGTTGGTTTTTTTCTAAACATAAAAATAAGCTGCACCCTAGTGGTACAAAATGTTAAGTGATATGGCGATAATTTAGAAAGAGAACTAAGGCGCGACAGGGAAAACAAAATATTACTTACCTTCCACTTATTGGGATTTGGTGGACATGAAGCATGAATTACATATGATAGTGGTAGACTGAAAACTTCTTCGTCCACAGTATCAAATGATAAATTTGAATAATTGAAAGGCGAGAGTCCAGGCAGGTACACCTATTCAAAGAAATGAAGAAAATAGATTTCAAATCAAAATTGAAAAAATAAAAACTGGGATTAGGAGAACAAAAGGACTCCTCGTTGACTTTTGATCCCCGCATCAAAAGCCTGTGATGAATCATCCTGCCCGCTGATGATTGTCAAAAATGTTACAGAAACATCACAAAAAGGTTGCTGGCACATTACTTTTATCTGCGAGAATAAGTAATGTTGGGGCAACGTCTCAGAAAAATTTTGACTATCTCTTCGGCAACCGTTGCTGGGCAGATAGGTACTTGTATGAGGAATTTGCTATGGTAAATCAGTTGCAAGCATAGGAAAATAATTTTTTGACTGATGAATGCAGTAAAATAGCACGAAAATAAAAAAATCTTCCTGAACGCAATATTCTCAAGTCTATTTTGAATTTCGATGTTGCTTTTAAAAAACTAAGTGAATAACATTATCTATTACGATGACATGTGCTAATAGTTTCTTTCACTTTGGTCTCATCAGTTGATAATGAATAATTAGTATTGATGGTACATACGGTAATGATGACAGTTGATACAATCTCATCATGACACGCTAAACTGAGGTTGAGTGAATTGTGGTAAGTACTCACACAGAAGATAACATCATCAAATAGCTTTGATGCCTGGGCATAACCGTAAAACATAATTGGTGATGGATAGATGAACTCTGATTTCCACTGAGGTATTTTTTTTTTGCTCTCTTCCTTATGATGTACCATTACCAATCAGTGGGGGGTTACAACAAAATGTGTGCCTCCCCCTCTCCTCTACAGTCACTCCAAAAACTTTATTTTGGCCAACCCTTATTCAGAAGGTAAATCACTAAGAAGAGAATGAAAAAAAAAAAATTTCAGCGAAAACTGGAGGTCCTTATTTTTTTTTAGTCCATTTTCTTGAGATGCTGAGAATTAAGCTCTCAGCAAAATTGGAGGAGCTTAGGAGCGCTCAATGAGGTTGTTTAACAGTTTGGTCTTTTTATGAAATTTTACGTCGGTAACAACTGTCAGATTCTCTTCAGAAATGTTAGCTAGAAATAGGAAATATTAGAGCCATTACTTTTAGCATGGATATTTAGTTAGGCTTTCGAGCAGCATTTGGTTAAGACCATCATAGTTTGATGCATTTTTATTCGAGACAGTAAAGAAGAGGGGAGCATGGAAAAAAGGGAAGGAAACTTACAGATATATTACCTCTGGGCCATTATATTTCAAATGGACTGGCGTGAAGTTAACAGATAACTTTTTCATTAGACCTTTGAAATTTTCACCCACGATCATGGACAAACTATGATTCAAACGTGATACTTTACATGAAAAGCTGGAGGAAATGGTACCTAGATCATTGATTTTCAGAGTTATTCCGGTAGCAGTGACTGTGGCTAACACTTCAGACCAAGATCCAACCTGATGTCAATAAAAAATAAGGTGATGAAATTAGACAAAATTGAGAGATTCAGAACACTACATGTAAAAAATCATGTAACTCTTCATAAATTTAAGCCATGTTTAATATTTTCAGTGGTCTTCATAACATAAAGTGAATAAACAGAAAATAAAAACAAATAAAAATAAAACATTTAAAAACCATGGCTCGTCTCGTTAAGTATTGGCGTTTAGTTTAGGTCTGATTAGTTATGAAAATTGCCAGCTGTGATCAACCTGATTGCGATTCAGAAGACTGCCATTAGGAGTTTAGTAAAATCAATGAAGCAAAATGTAAATCGACGGTGAAACTACCAGACCACGCATCTCGTTTGTGGTGTTTAAAAATCTCCACTCCCATTTTATTTTTTTTGAAGGAGAACAAATCAATATCATTTCTTGAAATTTTTAAAGAGTTTCTTCGTATACAGAGGAAAAAATACGGAAATTTTCAAGAATTGACGTTGAGTAGTTTTCCATTTGTAAAAAATTATATGACATGAAGTCTACATTGTCGCAAACCAAGATACGTGGTCTGGTAGTTCCACTGTCGAAATGTTTTTTCTCCTTTTAGCCAAGAAAAAAAGAGGGGGGAAAATGGTCAGTTGATTCAACAAAAAAATTTGATCTTGCGCAAGTTTGCTAGAGGTTGCTAAAAAATCAGGGAAAAATTTCCAAAATTGCTGACATATTGCTGAAAATTTTCTAAAAAACGGAGTTCATGTTTTCAAAAATTGACAATCACAAATAAATTTATAAAAGAAAAGGGGTGAATATCAATGACATCAGAGATGAGTGACACTCATTTTTAAACCATTTGGTCATTGTTTGTCTATGTTATTCTTAAATGTTGGTGAAATAATAAAAACAGATAAAAAAATTTACCTCCAATTGATATGGCCACGTTGCGATAGCTTTGCAACTTCCATGTGTTGCAACAAAATTTAAGTACCTATGTTGTATAAATAAAATGACTGTTGAACAGCTACGATGGCATTTCTCCTCATATCTATGCAAAATAGTTCCATTTGAAGAGAAAGGATTAAACGAGACGAAAATGATCATTAAGCGTGTATAATTGCCAGTAGCTGCGTAGCATATAGAAGTGTTCCCGTAAAAAACAGCCTTTTCTGTAAGTGAAACTGAAAAAACAAAAATGAGTGAAATAAATAACACATCAACAGATAGATGATCATTACCTAAAAAATAATTACAAACACTTTTATCAACAAAGATAAGGAATGTTTCACTTTCTCAGGAGTCAGGCTGTACAATCAAAGATATGGTTTCACATCCTGATTTCATTAAAAAAAATTAATCACAGAAAAAAGAAGAAAAAAACATAGTGGTAGCTCTTGTAGTATTTTTAAAATAAAAAATGTTAAAGCTCCTATTAGTATAATAGAAGTATTGAAGGAATAATTTGATTTGATACTCTTACAATAACACTTCACACCCGAAAAAATTGGAAAATCTGGGATAGTGTTACGAAGGCAAATGCATCAATCGAAGTAGAAAAAGATGTCTAATTTCTATATACAAGTAACTGGAAAACTAATTTTTGTATTGGGTTTCAAATTAATTGCTTACTTTCAGGCTTCTTCCTGAAGTTTTTACTACAATTATTAGTTTGGTATTATGCATCTGAGTGATAATTTTAATTATTATGAATGCTGCAGGTAGTGTATTTACGACAGATGATTAACAGAGACAATTTCATTTCAAATTTACATTTTTACAGACTTTCTTTTTATGTACATGTAACTCTAACTTTAGTTTCATACAGGGGAATCAATCAAAAGGGTTTTACCTTCAGCGCTTTCAACCAGTTGTGTGCTGCAGTATTTTGGCATTTGTTACATACAGCACCACAGTCTTCCTTTTTAATCAAATTTTTGGTAGCTCCCACCAATATTTTTGACTGAAATGGTAAGAACGTGAAATGGGCCCTTGCTTTTTAGAGCTTTGTAAAGCATATTACGGGGGTCCACAAATTATTTTGCTAGGGATTTTTCTATTTCTAGAGAGCCAACAGAGGGGTCGATCTACGAAACGTTTACCAAATTTTTGCCATGATTGCCCTTCCATGAACCTCTAGAGACAAAAAATCCCCTCATCAGAGAGTTCTGGGGTGCACTCTCCCAAGAACACTACATCGCGTCTGAATATGCACCGATACGAGTGGTCTGGAGCTCATCAGTGCTGCAGGAGCATATTTTTCCAACCATTGGTCCCCGAGCCTAAGTAGGTCTGTTGTTGCATTACAAGAATCATATCGACAGCGTAAGTCTGCGATCACATATCTCGTTTGCGGTGTCTGAAAATCTCCAACTCTATGTTTTTTTTAAGGAGAACAAATTGACATCATTACTTGAAGTTTTGCGGTATTTTCTTTGCACAGAGAAGAAAAATCACGGCAGTTTTAAAGAATTGCCAGGTTGTAGTTTTCCGTTTAAAAAATAAAGTATGATAGGAAGTCTGCAACGTTGCAAGCCTAGTTATGTGATTGCTGACTTAAACTTTCGATATGCACTGGGTCAATACGCCAGATGCTACACACAATATAAAGAAAGTCAGTTTCTAAAAGACAAGGTCAGCCTGACTCAATAACATTGCAAAAACTTACATTATCCTCACCTGGACACGGTCGAAGGAAACATTTGCGAACTTCTGTTGCTCTGCCACTACAATATGCTCCACCATACTTCGGTGGTGGTTCGCTGCAAGTTCGACTTCTAAATTGCGTTCCAACACCGCACTCAGTGGAGCAAACACTCCAGAATCCCCAGTCAGCCCAACGCCCTTCAACTGAAAATTGGCAAAGAAAAACGAAAAATTTGAGTCAGCTGTTAAATTCTGTCATGAAACCTACAAAGTCTTAAGAGCTCAGTTTCATTGGGTGACAACAAAGCTCTTAATGTTTAAGAAAATTAATGATACCTAAAAATGAGGACTGCATTAATGAATATTTATTGATTATTGATTTTTAATTACTGTGATTATGTATTGATGCTACTGGTGTCGTATAACTTATATTAACCATATAGGAAGAGATGGAAAAAACGAGAGGGCAAACTGTGGACTGGTTTAACAGAAAAAACTCAAAAATAAAAATAAAAGATCTTTAATTTACAAAGTTTAATTGAATTGTCGTGAGAAAACGTCCAATGTCCATTTTTTCTATTCTTGGAAGGGTCAAAGAGCTGAATATAATGGGCCCACTCCCCTCCATCCTTCCAAATGTTTAAATCCCTTCCTTAGGTATCCATAAGCATTATACATAAACTCTGTTAATGTATGTCAACAGCTGCGACGCTCACGGGAAATGAAACCGTAAATTTAAAACTCCAGTTTTTGTATTGTTTTTTCCCTTTTCATGGGTTTTCCTGTCTCTGAGTTCAAATTTTATAATATTTAACATTGATTGACCCTACTTCATATAATTACAATGGATTTTATGCGTTCTGGATAGTCCTGAACACCTTTCTTAAGGGGCGAGCTCAAATCGTGCGAAAACGTCCAATGTTCATTATTTTTCTTTTTCCGCTGTCACATAGCTTCCATTGAAACCTCCAAGGAAAAATAAAAAAAAAATTGTATCGCCAGAGGTCATTATGTTTTACTCTAATTTTGGGGTTTTTGGAGTTGAAAAATAATTATTTTGGGGCAGATTTGTGCGACTGATCGGAAAACGTCCGATGCCCTACGCTATTTTTTTAAAATTACTCAGCACTGGTGGAGGTTGGGAGGGGAAACAGTTGTGTGCCTTTTCTACAACCCTCCACTAAGATACACATTCCTTCACTTTCTTCTAACCGCCGATTCTAAGGCCTCCACAGCATTTTGCTGTTTACGAAAAGTTGGTTTTTTAGACATAGGACGTTTTCCATTTATAGAACTGGTACAGGTTGCCTCTCTTCGTCTTTTTTTCAACACCTCATATTGTTTAAACCTAAAATCCCGCCGCTAATGAATTACCATCCTTAGAAATTTAGTGTGAGAAAGATAATTTTGAAGAATACTTTATTTTACCTGGACAATCACCAGCTTTACAGATCTGGAACTCTTGAAACGGACCACTGCAGATTGGCGCAAGACTGGTCTGGATTGTTAAGGTGATATTTTGCGCAGCATTGTACAAAGTGTTGACCAGAGACTCAAAATTCACAGAGCCATCCGTAACCATGGCCAAGTCACCATTTTGACACAAACGCACCCTCTGCCTGACACCATATCCACAAGAGCTTGAACAGTCGGACCAAGGAGACCATGATGACCACTCTCCAGCTGTTTTATGAAAACGCCTTTATAAAATGCAATAAATGATTAAATTTACATACTTTCTTAGAAGTAATAATTTTCATAGACCTGATTGTTCATGAAAAAGCATTAAAGCATTTAGCCTAATTCTCAGAGTGACAATTTTGGTCGGGATGGATTGCATCAGTAATAATAATATCCGTGGTTAAAGCCGAAATATGTGTACCTCCACCTCAAAGATTAAAAATCCATGATTATGTACTTTTTTCTACTGTCAAAACATCGTTCATTCAACACATTCTCACATAAGTTTGTGTTTCGGAGGGATATCATAGTAGAGAGTGTTCTTTATGGACTTTTCTATCCTCAGACCCTGCCTCAGTTTGAATTGTTTGGAATATTATTTTTATTAGCAGATTATATGCCCTTTCCTGATTTTTGCAAACATGCATATTGCATATGTACTTTTGTCATCTATTAGTATGTTATTTTGGGGCAATTTTTGAAACCCTCCTGGGGGCTGAGTTCACATTAGATAAGAGAACTGCCCCTGATGAAGTATTTTTCTATTAGGAGATGACCCAAAGTAAGTTAAATACTGTTTTTTATTGGAGAGTTCATTTTGCCAAGTCATACGAAGATCTTCAAAATATTGTAATAAATTTTAAAACTTACTTGGAACACAAGAAAATAACATGCATGATCGATATCTGATTGGATCACCAACACAGTTATAAAAGTCTGATGATGGAACTGGATCGGAGCAATTTCGTAGGGAAAACTGAACTCCCTCACCAATTTGAGCTGAGCATTCTGACCAGTCACTCCATTTACTCCATCCTCCAAAAACTAGAGGAAAAAAGAGAAGGTAAAAAAATTATAGTCACTGCCTGCTGAGATGCGTTAATTTAAAAATTAGATGAACGTCAGAGTTTCAAATTTGAGCGATCCCACTAACTTTCTTGGATCATCAATGTTTTATTGTGTAAATATGTTAAGTATTTTTTCTCCAGAAATAAGAGCCCGATCAAATAATTTTAAGTTCTGCTTCAATGCATGCTTGGGTGCAGCAGGAATTTAAGGGTGGCATACATATAACGATTGAGTAATTTTCGTGTTGACATAGCACACCTAAAAATTTTACTTTTACTCCCCAAATCAGCTAAGAATGTAATTTTTCACCTAGTCCAAACAGTCAGGAATCAAATAATAACTTTTTAAGAAAGTTCCCTGAAACACTTTTTGTAAGATGGATTCTTTGTATTTGTGCATTCTGAATTCAAAGTTCACACTGCTTTTATGAAGATATCTCCATCACCAAAGCCACCGCGTGGAGGAAGTGGCATGAAATTGCGTTTTTTAGAAAATACCCTTATTATTCTTTCATTCTCAGACCAAGAAAGTTTCTTAATTTTTTCAGAATAACAAAATATAGGTACCTCTAGTTTTTATCCAAAGATAGTACTATTTTCAGAAATTAGCTGAAGAGCTGGGCCAATAAATCTACCGCACTTTTCTTTTCTTTTCATAACCAAGCTCAAAATAAGCATTGATTTGACAAAATTTATCATTTATTGAAGACCATTACGGGAGTACCTGTTGAAACCCCATTGAAGACCATTACGGGAGTACCTGTTGAAACCCCTGTTAGCCCATTAGATTGGTTACACGCATAGCATTGGAGATGTTGCAGGTGTGAGGAATTTGCGATTTGACTACTGATTCTTATGTAAAAGTTCTCAAGAAACACGATGGTGCCACTGGTTTTCTCTGAAATTAACTCCCAAGCTCAAAATAAAAAGCTCTCAAGTTGAGGCCAAAATGGAGGGGATATCCCACGCTATCCCGAAAGTCCACCTCTACATCAAGACCAACTCTCCATGCAAAGATAGGGAGCAAATACATTAGCAGGGTTGCCGTGTTTTCAGTTGTAGAGTCCCTAAATAAAGTGGCAGCCCTGCCAATGTATTTGCTCCCTATCTTTGCATAGAGAATTTGTTTTGATGTAGAGGTGGACTCTCAGGATAGCGTGGGATATACCCTCCATTTTGGCCTCAACTTGAGAGCTTTTTTGAGCTTAGGAGTTGATTTCAGAGAAAACCAGTGGCACCATCGTGTTTCTTGCGAACTTTTACATAAGAATCAGTATAGTCAAATCGCAAATTCCTCACACACACATGCAACATCTCCTTTGCAAGGCTAAAAGTTAGGAAGAAACAATAACTTACCAGGGCAACCAAAGCCATGTTTAATACAGTGCAACGCGTTCCAATAGGAATTCTGCCGGAAACAGAAGGAAAGATGATTTATAAAAAGTTCAATAAGTCGAAAGTGACAAAGAAAAATTCAGGCGGTGGACTGATAAATATATAACAACAATTGGGCAGCGCTTAGCAGGAGGGGACAAACTTCCACAAAAATGAGGAAGAGGTCTGCTGATTCGCTCAGTGCTCAGAGACAGGTCAAATCGGACAAAGTTATTCTGTTTGATTGCAGTGACCCAGCGAAATTATCCAAATTTTGAATACATACAACCCATGATTTAAAACTAGGACACTTTAATAAATGATACTTACAGCCTCATCGACCAGGACAGACAGGATGGTTTCAAAATGACAGGTAGCTTTAATGCAGCGCTCAACCAATGATGGATATTTGCAATGGATTGCATCCAAATAAGTATACTGCTCCAATTTAATGGGGTCATTATGAACAAGCTCTTTGAACTGAGACATTGTGCAACCTGTAAGAAAGTAATTGTTTGATCTTTAAGACAGAGAGACAGAATTTCTTTCCTGTTTCTAAGAACCCTAACTTCTTCATGTAAACCTATTCGACTATTCTCTAATTCTACATTGCCGATCACCTTTTTCTGACTGTCTACTTTGTAGCACATTGATTGAAGTAAAGATATTCTCATTTCCTTCTCTGCATTAGCACAAAAGAAAACAAGAGAAGAAAATTATACAGAGAATACCCCCAAACTCATAGGCTCGAATGAAGGTCTCTTCTTTCTAAATGCTGCAAAGCAACACTAGAGCAAAGTTAACAGAGAGACAGTGATTTTATCCCAAGTTTATTGATATCACCCTTACAATAAGAGAAAAAGTTCACCTGGTAATTCACATTCTATGAATTCAGTATCCTGGCCAATACAATCAAGACCACCATTGGAAGGAGGAGGATTATTGCATTGCCTTCTGCGAGTACGCTTTCCTATTCCACCACACGATCCTTCGCACGCACCAAATGAAGACCAAACAGACCATCCTCCATGCACATTCTTCAAACCAAAATCTTGAATTCTTCCTCCATTGTTGTGCATCAAATTCATTGCTACTGTAACTAAATTGATTCAACACAGGACCAGAAAAATTAATATATTACTCCCTTCTCAAAAGACGAAAGATAAAATTGATTCTATGCACTGAAGACTGAAGAAATGTTGTTTGGAACTACTTAATGTTGATAGAGAAAACTGTACCAAACTGTACAACAAAAAGAACTGAGTTCTTGTCACAGTGGACTTTCTGAAGCAAACCTTAAAGTCTCTGAAAGAGGAAGGAATGAAAGAGGGTGCCCCATCTTTTAACTGGGCAGCATTTTTTATCTAAAACTAAATATCCAAACAACCAGCCTTTTCTATTTGATTAATCACAACATTCTTCTTGATTTTGGCCTAAAGAAATAGGAAAATTGACTAAGAGCAAAGAACCCATTGGAACAGTTTTCAAATATAATGGTGTAGATTTTCACTTAAAGTTATTGAATGCTTAAAATTACCGAGAATCATACTTACAATGTTGGAATTGTAAAAATAATACATCACACAACAGTAAAATAGGAATTTTGAAAAAAATGTTTCTTGCAAAAATTATGATCATCTCAGCCTTCAATGCTTATGAGTGCTAAACTTAACCTGTAACACCGTTGATTTGCATAGAACAGAGACTTACCTATCATTTCACAAGGCCATTCCACAATGTCAGCTGTTTAGATGGAATGAGGTTCTTCACTTTTAGTTTTGTTAGTCATATTTTGCAATATAAAAAAAAGGGAAGATAAAACTGAACTGGCAGGCTGATTATTGAAATTTATAGACAAAGTTATAGACAAAAAAGAAAAAAGGGATATAAAGGCATTCTATTGGTGGAAGCAGGTGGTTGAAATGGACGAAAGAAGTAGGTAATAGACTAGCTAACAGCAACCGACGAGAGATCCATCAGTTAGTCCATCATTTTCTCACTTTGTCTATATGGACCACACATTTCAACCAACAGGATCGCTCCATACTCCTTCTGTCTATCAATTTCAACAATCAGCCTGCAGAAAAACTGACAAGAAAATAGTTAAAAACCAACAAAATCTTTGAATTTGTAATGATTCACATAATCTCAAAATGTAGGATTCATTACATTCAGTGCCTGCAGGCAAGTCCTTTTATAGCAATTCACAAATGAGAACAGACAGGGACAGATTGCACTGGACTACATTTTATAATTTGGAACTATAAATTCTAGCCCGGTTTAAAAACAACGTATGTGCCAATAGTTTCCCTTCGCACATAAGTGTTTTTCCAGAAGAACCAGAATTTATAGTTCCAAATAGCAAAATGCAGTCCAACTGTAGTACAAGCTATTAATGTGATGCATTTGAAATGTTTTCATGCCTGAAAACTTATGAGACCGCAGAGGATTATGTTAATTAAAAAGGAGTCCTGACGGAGATATATTGTTTTAAAAAGCCAAGAATAGTGAACTTTATAGGATTTACACTTACCGTTTGAAAAGTAATATACTTACCTCTGAAAATATTGAATATTTCTTCAAAGGTGAAAATGAAGCAGAAAACACGATTTAAAAATTTGATTCACAAAAAAATCAAGGGGCCCTTGAATTTACCTTCAAATTTGAGATGATGAATAAAACTGAATGATGAAAAACAATAATTACTTTGGAAGTCACAGGAGCAAAAGGCTCCTCATGACTTGTTCCGACCCTACTTTTTCAAGATATCGTCTTCAGGTGCGCCCGACACCTAGAGGTCACCTGAGTGGCCTCTGGCTGACTGCCCCTGCTACACTGCTCTCACGGCCATTGTACTTGTTATTCTCTACAGTTTAGTTATCCAGCAATCAAAAGTGACCTACCCCTCCCCCGAAAGTAATCGAAAAAACACCTGAAATTTAAGGAGGAAAATAATTTCGGAAAAGATGCAGTAACCTAAGGTCAGTGCCAACAATCTCTAGAATTAAGACTTTTGTAGCATTCAACTAATGGGGGAGTTTAATCGTGATCAATCTGCATTTTATGTGGCCTAATTTCTTATCAAGTTTTGTTTCCTTAACAAAGAATCTGACAAAATACTTTTTTGCCTCATTTAAAAAATCTTAATTTTTCATCCAAGTTAAGTTGCATCAGACTTTCATTGTGGAAGATGGCACTTGAAATGCTTATGTTTTTGTAACTATTCTTCTTTAGGAACATGAATACATCAAATCGGAGCGTGTAACTCAGACTTTGAAGCGTTCATTGTACATACAAGGTCAGGTTACGAGGAATGAATAATTGAATACACTTGATACTTTAGATTTCACGCTGTGATATTTTGGCTTTTCAAATATGTGTTGTGATACTGTGAGTGTGAGACGTTGCATGCTCTTGGTCTTAATCACTGCTAAGTGCCTCTTGTTACATTAATAAGTTCAAGTTTTTCAACGAAAATAAATAATTTTTTAAGCCAACATTAAATAAGTTTACTGACCGTTTGAGCAAGATGAAGCATCATTTGCCTTATTTTTGCATTGAAAATATACATGAATCAATAGAAGAGTTCTCCTACCTTCCTGGTAGTTTTTGGTAATAACTTGATATCAATTTTCATAAAAACTTAATGCTAAAGTAAAGATGGTAGATTCTCCATCTCCATCTGAAGGTAGGTAAACATATTTGACAAGCTATGTCAAAAGGCTCCCATAAATTAGGCATGGCTGTAAAAAATACCTCCTCCACTTATCTAAAAAATATAGGTACCATGTGAAAACAGCCATACAATAGTGCCATTCTTATGTAGCAGTTGGAGTTTGTATCCTTCAACTTGCATGATACATTTCGGGTGCTTCACCATCTTTTAATGTAAATTACTGTTCTATTTTAAGAGCTAATCCTCACAAAATGACCAAGATATTCCTGAGAAGCACTACTATCTTTCCTGTAAAATTTCAGATATCCACAGAGGTTTGACCCATTAGACTACAGATTTTAATTCAGAACTAAAGTGAAACTAGGAGCATGATTTCACCCTCACATTTGAATATTGATCAAATCATTCCTTACACAGGTCTGCAGTCACAATGAGGCAAAGATCAGGAAAGACACTTCAAAAAATTTTATCACTGGATCCAAAAATGCAATCTGTTAGTTTGCATCACATAAGGACTTTCCAGAGCGGCAGTTTTCTGAGTAACTGATACATGCTACAAGAAATGAGCCTACTGAAGGCCTTAACATTTTTCCGCCTCCCCTGCTAAGGAAGTTTCTTCAATCAAACAACAAAATTCGTTCATTTGACCAGCATAAATCTTACTTATTTGTTATTTATCAAAAAAGGAGAATAAAGAGTTGTTTCTGAGTGTCCACTTATGCTGGGACTATGATATTTTGACTTCTGAAGCCGAAAATGACTGTAGATTTTTTCCATAGCAAGTTGGAAAATCAAATTTTCTAAAAGCACGTTTTTGGAGCTAAAAAAAGGAAATTTTTGGGAAATTCGTTTATGTAATTGGTAGGTGACAAAAATTCGGAGGCAGCTTCATGTTCAAAAAAGTATAGGAAAAGCTCCATCAGGCATTTAGAAATAAAATGTTACCCTTCATTTGAACGCAAAAGAAATGAATGAGATATACAAGGGATGAGCAACAAGTCGAGCAAACTGGCAGATACATTGAAATCCACACAAGATGAGAGTAAATAAAGGGGATTTAATAATTTTATCCAGGCACTTTTGTCATCATCCTTGACAGCCCCCAGCTTACATGGACTTTTTAAAATTCCCCAGTATTTCCTAACTATCCCTGACTGTAGCAACCGCAACGCTGTGCTAGAATATAATATCTTTAGCTGGTTAAGTACAGATTTTGATTTTACTGATAAATATAGGATATTTGTTTGTAGACATTTAAATGATGATTTGGAGCAAAATTATGAAACTCTGAAGCTGCTCCTTTAATTTTTTTTTTCTTTCTTTCTTTTTTTTCTTTTCTTTTTTTTTCCAAAGATAGAAAAAAATACCCAACAACATTTAACATAGACAAAATTTATTTCCAACAAATAAAGACTCATTTTTAAATTCAATATTGACTCTGCCTTTTCACAGGCATCAACGTTGTTTAAAATGCGAAAGAATAAAAAAGACTTTTAAGACTTTTCAATACATAGATGATGTACAAGAAAAAAAGGAAACTGATCAAACAGGGAAAGAAAATAAGCTTACAGTAACTTACAGAAAGAAATTGCAAATTCTGTTCTCCTTGACATAATTAACTGGCTATTGGGAACATAAAGTTGTTTGATCACTACTGAATGATTGTGTGTCGACAGAGAAATTATTCTTTCCTGTCCTTCCATGGGTGGTAGTTCTTCATTTCTTCCGGCAACTCAGGTGCGAAGGCATTGAAGAATACTGTCTGCTGGATCTGTAGGCATAAAATACATAGGGCAAAACCATTAATCTCCATGATTTGAAGTCTTGTATGAAATTAAAATTTTCTATGATCATCATTTGGACTGAGTTGGACAGTAACGAATCAATCAGCATCAAGTTTAAAACAAGAAAAAGAGGTTTGAAGTTGTATTCATCCATTCAACTAGGCACTAAAAACAGAGTTCAGCTACATTACTATGTTCAAAATATTTTTTTCGACTTCAATTTTTGACCGAAGAAAATTTCCGACCAGTTAAATTCAAAACTACTCTTGGCGTATTTTCCAAAATGTGACTTTGTGCGTTCTTGTTAAACTCCGTCCATTATAAAAACTTGCGTATAGAAGGTAATTTATCTTTTTGATGTCCCACCGTATAATACAAAAAAGTTGTTTTCTTGACTGAAAACAATACGAAGAAACTGAGTAACTGATACTCGTGTTCACCAGGGTGGATCAGAAAAAGCCCCTTTCCTGATCTTTGAAGTTGTGAAAAGTTTGAGAGTCCGCAGTTCATATTATAATACTTAGTGTGCATTTGATTACAGGGGTATCTAAATATTTAGAATACAATTTGGAGTGAGTAAAGGGAAAACCCATATTAATTTTGCATAAATTCCATCTGAATCTAATTTGCTGAAATCAAGTATGCAGGCAATTTGATGCTTTACGCAAGGTATCGACAAGTGCAACTGAGAATCTAAAAGTTAGTCTTCAAGAAATTTTCTTAGCATGGTTATACAGTTTTTTGTAAACTCGAAATTTTACGCATACTTTTTTTTACCCCTGAAGATTACTTATGTAAAGCCATGCTAACATAACGCATACATAATGCATACTGTAAGCTTATGCTTGCTAGGTGCGTTTTCTGGTGATACAATAAGGAAGAACGCTGTATGAACCTTCAGTCATTACCAAATTTCATATGATAAAAAACGAATTTCCAGGAAAACCTGGGAATATTTTCCACCTAAATTTCCATAGAAATTCATTTGCAATCAGACCTGAACTATCTGAAATTTCCAAGAGAAAATATTCACAGCTTTTCTCAATAATAAACATTTTGTCTAAGGAAAGGTGGCAACCATTGAATGTTCATACCGAGTTTTTCCCTAGCATGGCAGAGTATTGAGCATAATACAGGTCAAAAATGAGATTGCTGCTAGGACAAACTTAAAAGAAACAGCAGCATAGATTTACATTATGCATAGAAAATAATCTTGCATAGTGTTTCTTTTATATATTCATTTATTACTTAATATAGGGGAACAAAAGGCACTTTACTTAACTTTGTGGGATTCTTGCAATTCCAATTCATTAGAATCAGAACTTAAGATCACTTTGATGGCACAATGTGAACTTCATTTTGTTTTCATTTTTCCGAGATTCTCAATACAAACATGGACACTATGTTAAATTGTTTCATCAATTACAGGCTAAAATGAAAATTGCCTGGAAAAATAAGCTTGCTCACTGTACGTTGGGACAAAAGTTAAGTGTTGTTTATGTCATCATTCATCAATGGAGCCTTTTGATTGCATTAAGTTATGACGTTGTTGAATGGTACTGATTTTAAGTGATTCAGAGATTGAAATTGGTCTCACTATACAATGTGCGAGCTGCAGCTCTCTCAAGGGTGTGAACAAGGAATTCAGGGCCAAAACTTGGCCTTTTCTTGAGGCGAGATGTATCTACAGGGTGTCTAGTATTTTTTAATTTTGAACAATCCTGATATTTTATAAGAAATTCCTGACTTTTTCATTTTGAAAATTCCTGATATTTTCCTGATTTTTCTCGACTCCTGGCACGGTAGGTAAGAAAAAGTAAGACTTTCTCCGCTGAATAGATTCGCATAAGAAAATTCCTCATAAAACGCCCAATTTTTCCGATTTTCCTGATTTTTTCTAATCAGCCAAAATTCCTGATATTTTCCGGTTTTTCCTAATGATAGACACTCTGATCTAGGAATGGCAAACTTACGGTAACAGCAATAGTCACGAAGAGAACAGCAGAAATTGCCAATTGTTTGTTCCACCCAGCATTTCGTTCATCGATGTATTCCTGCCAACTGCCTCCAACTTGTGGTAAATCATCCTGGTCAGCGATGTGCTTTGGTGGGAAAGTGCCCGGTGACAGTTTGTAGGGGTCGGTGAGACTCACTGGGATGTAGTTAGGGTCTGCCATTTTATCATCCGCTCCATGATGAGCAGCTCGTACAGCAATAGCTGCCACGCCTAAAAGTGAAAATTAGAAATTAAATTTATTGCATACAGCAATGAGAAGTTTCAGCAGGAAAGGTATTAGAAAATTTAGAATATATCATGGGTGGTTAATTCACATGATAATCAAGTATGCAAGATTTTACAAAAATTAAGCGAACTAAGGTGCAGGTTAGAAAATTGGCAGTTTGCAAACTTGACCAAATGATAGCTTATGCACTTAAGTACCCAGGCAGGTCAGAATATGTGCCAATTTCCTCCAAATGGTTTAAATTATTCTAGACTAATAGTGATAGATATTAGACACCATCTAATATCCTACATCATATACAGTTGTTGATTAAGAGAAGTGATATCTGTTAAGTTTCGTCGACATGCTTTGAAAATATCCTGAGTTGGAGTTTCGCCTTGAATTTAAGAGAAGATCGCCTGCAAATTTAGTATGTTAGTGTAAATTTGTGCCAAATTATATTAAGACCGACAAATTAACCCCGATTTGCTGTTTTAAGTTGGCTGCCCTAGCATATTTTTGCAGATGTTTGCTTTGGCACACATATTTACACTTTAGGCAAAGACATTGAGTCACGTAGACCATGCGCCTGGCTCGGTTTAGTACAGGCGAAGCGAAGCAAGTCTCTCGGGGCCCTATGATGGGCGGGCAGGGAAGGGGAGAGAGCAAATGTCCCGAGCACTCGAGGAGACTGCTGAGAGGCAATGGAGAATTCATTCCTGCACTCGGTTTTTCACAAATATTTCCTTTAGAGTCCATTTTCAGACAAAATTCCTGGGAAGAAAAGATTCAGAACATGTAATTTTGCACCCGATTGGCAATATTTCATTTTTCCGAACTATTCATTAACCGAGAAAAAAGCCTCACAATCCAACAAAAATTCACTGAAGCCGCTACTGCCCATGCGCAGATGTGCGCATCTGGGACAAACGAACTCATTGATGCGGGTCGGTGCCACCACTCATCGGCATGCGAATTTTAAAAAGTTGTCTCGCCTTCCGCAATACAGGATGCACAGTCTACATGATTCAATGTTCTTAACTTCAGGACTGAGTAGCAGCTTAATTGAAGTCGGGTCAGCAAGGACCTTGGTATAATTTTTCACCTTGTTTGTTAAAATTTGGTGAGTTTGAACAAAGTGCGCAATCTTCATAGACAACTGCAAGGAAAGAGGGCATGTAGGCTTACGGGGCAAAGACTCTCAATGATCTGCAAAGGAAAAAAAGATTGCCTCTGACTTGCAGAGCCAAAAGTGTGTTGATAACTGTAGTCAATTTGAAATATAGTTCATGGGTGTCATAAAGGCAGTCCATTCATATGTACATCTAATTGGATGCAGATGTGAGGCTGCCTTCTCGGTGCGAGCCTGCATTGCCTGACTAGGTTTGGGCCTGCAGAATAGTGTGACAAAGGAGAAAAGGAAAGAAAGATCGTCAACTTGACATGTTGAAGTATTAATGGAAAATAATAACGCATAAATTCCTCTTCACGATTTCGGAATGAGAATGTCCTAGGAAGTTCAAGGTAACTTCAATGATAGCCTGGTTGGATAGAAAATAATAACTTATTTTTGTTCACCTGAGGGTTGTCGGGTGGTAGCTGCTCGGGCGACTTGCCTGGCTAATTGACTAAACATTATGCCGAACGACAATTCTCAGATCGGCGTGAGAAAAGAAATAGATGTGAATTCAACTGAGAAGTGAGAATTGACCCAAGAATCAAACCCGAATCACCAGATACCAGAAAATGAAAATTACACACGGACATAGAGAAAACAAAAACAGATGGTGGTGCGGGGTACGTGATGGCGAGACAGCCACCCTTGGATTCGGTTGTGACGTAAAACGTCTCATTGGCCGATCGGCCAATGAGAATGAGGCTTGCAGCAAGGCGCAGACAGTACTTCATGCCGTACATGGCTCAACTCTGTCACAGCTCCCGTTGAACTCTAGTTGAACTCGCGTTGCGATTGCGGTTACAGTTGCAAAGCTAAACAAAAAAGATTACAGTTGATCATATTTTTGATACTCTATGATATTGATTGGATCGAATGATAACATAACCTCTTTCAATGCTACCAGTTGAAATATATCGATTCATATCGCATTATATCTACGGACTACTACGGACGTAAGACGTCACATTATCTTTTCAGACGAAGCTTTTCGCTTTTCGGAAGTTCGCCGCATGACTTCTGGTTTAATTCTTTTGAGAGTGAAAATGTGAATATTAACTTGTTGTCAACGACATCCCCTTGAAAATTTGCTGCTCATCTCGCCTGGTAATCATAATTTCATCTTCATCAATTTCTATCAGGTTGTGTCGTAAGCGCACTGAGTGTGTTGCACCTCTTATTCCTCATAGAATGCTAAGTATGGATCCACAATTTTTTCTTTGGATTACCATAAATATTACTCATTAATTGCCTCTGATTGTTAACAGTACATAGTCCTCATAGGGAACTCCTTTGTTGGCAAATGAGATAACTCCTAGATCGTCAGGCACCTTGCTGTTCCAGCTTGTGATAGCGAACTGTAAGGAAGAAAACCAATAATATACCAGGCTGTGGAAGGCATTGAAAGGGTAGCTCACAGCTTCCTCAGTCATATTGGTGATATGAGCCACATCATTCATGTACTTCTATGAGAGTTACAATCAAGTACCACTAGTTCTTCCTTTAGTTCCTCCCCCTTCAAGACTTTCATTGGAAGTTTCCCGGTTTGAATCTACTGGCTTGAAATCTGACTCTCCTAAGACATTGACAAATTCCTCACGTGTGCACCCAAGTATACAGGTGCTGAAACCTTATGATTACATGTCCTGCTCGGTTGAGTGCTGGTAGGGTGAAATGGTGAAAGCCTTGCGAGATTGAGAAGAAAACTGGGAACCCCCATCAAAATGGGACGAAAGGAGGTTTGGAACTTTCTGCAGCCCTGTCTTAGGGCAGCAGACACTATTAATTTGAGGAGTAACTGTAAGTGCTCTTGAAAAAGTCCTGAAGAACCATTCTACTCGAGGTAGCTCACTTTCCTTATTTATGTTCATACCTTTTCTCCCTGCTTACTGTACTAAGAGACGCTTTAGAGGAAACTAGATTATATTTCATTGATTGGTAAGCAGGCTTAGTCATTTTAAATTGTTGCCCTATTAGCAGAATGCCAAGTAAATAGAGAATGCCACAATGGCTTTACTGCTTTTGATATTTTTTTACTTTTTAGTTTGGACATCTAAAGTATGTATTTTTTTCTTTTCAGATTGCATTTTTAAGTTTGCAAGATGAGCGGTTCCATTGAAATACCTTTGAAAGACACAGACGAGGTGAGACCTTTATTTCTAGCCTAAGAAAGAAGAGTGCATTTCATTCCCAGCTATTATGGAAGCATCATCTTTTTCTCCCATATGTTTGCGTTTCATTGAATTTATTTCAAGTCACATTGAAAGGCATTTTGTATCTTGCAGAGGTGTAATAATTCTTAGTCATGAAGTTTTTTTTTCATCCAACCATCAAGTTACTTCGGGGAAACTCTACCGTGAAATGCACACAATTTTCATAAAATTAAGTGGATCATCTCTCATTTAAGGTTATGTCGGATGCTTTGCAGCCCGTGTACAATTATAAACAATTTAATCAAGGGGTAACGAGGTTTTTTTCACCCAAAGAACACCAAAATGCTTCGGCTGAGAACTCAGCCTTCCTCAGTTGAATTAAAGACGATCAAAAATTTTTCAAATCTAAAATCTTAGTATTCGGCTGTACCTTTCAAAACAAACAATAGTCTTCTCATTTTGAAAGGTACAGCCGAGTTTTAAGAATTTAGATCTTCAAATAAATTTTATTATCTGTTAGCCAACTGAGGAAGGCTGAGATTTCAGATGAAACGTTTTAGTGTTATTTGTATTAAAAAAAGCCTTTTTTCAGGTTGCTTAAATTGGTTGTTTTTAGAATAAACTTTGCAATTTTTGTAATTTTGAGGTTAGATTTGCAATTTGTGTATACCCTACAGCACTCTGATGCAAAATTGGAAGTAACTAAGAACTTCAGCTTGCATATTTTATACTGTACTTCGAATGCAGCAAAGTTGCTAACTCACTCACTGAAATTGTCGGTTAGACAGTGTTGTTCATTATAGTCCACCACTGCACAATGGAGGCAACCATAAAAAACAAGTCTGAAATATCTATCAGCTCTCTAAGTTCTAAATTTTTGCCACTGACGAGCATGCTGTCAAAACTGACTAAACAGTTCAAAGTGCTGAGCCTAAGGAATCTTCTCCTAGAAAAATAGGATTCGTTGAACATCTGATAAAATTTAACCCCTTGATATTTGAAACACTGCCAATTACCTTGTCGTTAGAGGCTTTTGAGTGAGAAGAACTTATTTTAAAACGTTACTCAATAGAGGAAATCTTGCATTAAACATGAAGCTTCATTTTATAATGAAAAACTATCACATTGGAAGTAATGAACACATATTTTAAAAATAATGAACTAAGGAGAAAGCAAGAAGAAAACCATTTTTAAACCACAGTTAAAGAATAAGTGAAATGTCAAATCAAGTCTCTAGCATTTTTCTGTCTATGAAGAGTTAAAGTAGTAAATTTCCAAAGTAAGCCCATGTACGCATTGTAAAATTATTAGTTTTTGCTCAATTTTTAGGCAGGATGATAATAGAATGCTCCTTCAAATGTCCTCACTAACATGAAGAATCAAGGAAGTTAATATTAGGAGATTTTTCCTTAAGTTGTGTCTGTTGTGCCCTTGCTCTCTACTTTCTCAATCATCTCAATTGGCAAAAGACTCCATTTTTAGTCCTGTTTTGCCCTTTAGCCCGGGTGAAATGCAAATATAATTTTTTTATCTTTCATGATTTCAGGTAATTGAACTAGACCTCGATCAATTGCCTGAAGTAGATGAGGTACTGCATATTTTACGTCAAGAAAGTGTACAACTGAATATTTGGGTTAAATTAGCGGTAAGTTAATTTTTAATCTTTTCGCTCACTTTTAAATGTTGACCATTCTCCTCTTTTACTTTTAAATTTAAATAAATGCACCCAGCTTAAAAGCATGACAGTAAAAAGTTATATTTTCTTACTTTTGAGAGTTATTTTTAATTGAATCAAATTAAATAAATCTCCAAAGGTTCAAGAGTGATTCTTAATCTTCAAGGACAAAAAGCCCTTGCCATGCTGAATGGGATTTCATGGGGTCAAAGAATGTCTCAAGGCAGCAAATGAGGATTTAAAATCAACTGTCAAAAATACTATGACCTATGGCAGTGAAGTGTAGCAATTGAAGAAGCGGACCCAAAAAATGTACTAGGCCACAGAGATGGATTTCTGGCCAAAATTGGCTGGAATTTTGAGGAGAGAAATTATCATAAATGAATGCTTGGACAATGGAACCGATTATTTTCTAAATCTTGTAAGCGCCAAAATTGTGAATGCGAGAAAAACAAGAAAAACAGTTTTATTCTCTTTGTTGACAACCTTCGAATTCCAAAAAATGTATGTGCTTTAAGAAGGATATTTTTAAATCAGACATGATTGATCATACCAGTGAAAACAAAGAAAATACAACCCCTCTACCACCGGAATAGAGTTTGGCGCTTACATGATTTGGAAAATAATCGGTTCGATTGTGCATGATATTGTGTCCAAGCAGTTTGTATGGTTTGGGCATGTGCAGAGAATGGCTGATACGAGATTGCAGGAAAAGGTTTTGGATTGGGTTCCTCCAGGTAAGCATCATAGAAGGCGTTCAGCCAAAAGGTTGATAAATGGCATCCTAAAAAAAGTGAAGAGGTGCCAGCCTCCAGAAAATCTATACTTCGATAGAGTTCAGTGGCCCTCAAGTATTGCAGATGACCACTACGTACATATAAATAAATTTACTTACCCATGTGCTAAAAATCAAGGCACCTGTGTTCTCTCAAAGTCAATTTTCGGAATGTGCAGAAACAGAATTATCTGTTATGAAATGGTCTATGTTTTTCAGTTTTGTTTGCATTCTGCCTGAAGAATTGTGAAACCCCCTCCTAAGGATAAAAAGACAATGTATCATTTGGACCAAGTTCATCAGGAAGAACCAACCCACATTAAGTTAAAACCGAAAAAAAAGGTTTAAAGTTTAATCCTGCATGAGGCTCAATGTAGTAAATAAACTTTAACCCCTATTTCCACAAACAAATTTCTGTTTTTCGACTTTCAGTTTTTGGTAGGAAAAAATATACGGCCAGTGAACTCAGAAACATTCTTAACTCAATTTCTTCGAAAATAAAGGTTGGATCCTTTCTGATAAACTCAGTCCATTTACCCAACTGTCAAATGGTCTCCAACCAGAGATTGCTCTGTTCTTTCGTTTTTTTCTTTTTACCGAAATTAGAACAAACAGTACCAATGTTGATTAAGCTGCTTAGGTATCATGACCAGTGAAACATTAACCTTAAATCAATTGCCTGCTGAAGTGTTTTTATGTATTCGTTCCTGCCTCTGTTTTTTTTTTTTTTTATTGAATGAATCATTGATCTATTTTCTTCAAAAGTCCTAAGTGTAGTAAAAGTCAATGTTTTTAAAAGAAAAAAAAATCAAAGATGGAGTTCGGCTCAAATTTGAGAGAAAAGTTAGGGTCTTCGAAAATTCTGAGTCAGAGAAAAGTGTGGATAGTGGAAAATTGGAAAATAATTGAAACCCTATTAGCCTGTACATAATATTGAAGTTGAAAGAAAAAAAAGGAAAAAATTTTGTTCCGCTCTTGAAATATTTTAATGTCTGTTTCTTTAAGTCAGTCCTGCTTTATAGGTCTGTAATATGTTATGCTCTGTGTCTCAAACTTCAAATTATTCCACTATAATCTATACTTTTGTTGCAGCTTGAATATTACAAAAATGGCAAAGTACAAGCTTTTGTCAAGCTTCTGGAAAATTCCCTCCATGAAGCAAATCAAAATTATCGAGATTATGAAAAGGATCAGATGGAAGCCTACGATAAGCTCGCCGCATTTTATGTGGATGAAGCTAATAAGGAGAAAAATAAAGATAAAAAAAGGGATCTTTTCACCAAAGCTACACGGCTTTACACCACAGCTGATAAGATCATTATGTACGATCAGGTAAGTCAGCAGCATTTTACAGGGATACAGAGAGTTTTTCGCCTCCTCATTAATAGAGCCAATTTTCCTCAAAATTCTCAGTGATAACCCATTCTCGCTTCCTTACTCACGAACCGCCAAAATTTTGCTAATAAACATGTTATTTTCTTACTGTTGCAAGCCAACCCTTTACAGCTACCCCATTTTTAAAACCCATTTTCGAGGATTTTCCATTTTTGCATGCGACCACTTTCAACTGCTTGGTTGCATCATTGAGGCTTTTCTGCTCCCCCGATATTTTATTTAAACCCATTTTCTACTTTGCAAAATCGGTGGTCGATTTTTATAAAACCCTCTATATTTTTTTAGGATTCGCATGCATACAAATTTCAAACCTATATTTCATTATCCTCACACATCCAATAATTTAAACATATTAAAATGTCGAAGTAACCAGTTTTATTTTGATTCAACCAAGTATAAAATTTGTGGACTGAAAAGAACTCTGTACTGTGAACGTCATCTGTTTTAGATTGGTTCATTGGGGCAGCGGCAAGGCATTTGTACAAGATTTTAGTGTAGTCTTTATCATGTAACATTTCAAAGAAAAAACAAACAAAAAAATCATAAAAAATTTCAAATAGCCCTTTTAAGGGGTAAAAAGCTATTCAAAATCCAATATACAAAAGTGGACAGAGGAGTTGACGAAGTAAAGTGAAGCCCGAAGCCAAGTTTAGCTAATCAGCAAACGCCAATTCCTTTGCCTGACTGCGTCATTAGAGCTCGCCAAAAATATTGTTTCAAATTGGTCTCTTTTTTGGAATTTTCAAAATGGGGTCCCTTCGCCATTTAGGGTTTAAAAAAATCCTAAAAAATTCCTAGGAGCTCAGTTAACTCTATACTTTCCAAAAAATGAATAAACTAAACGGGTGCTGCTGACCCATTTCAAATTGCTATTGATAGCTAATGCGAATATGTAATAAGTATTTCAATTGAAATTTTCAAAAATCTCCTAGTGTGTTTTATTTGCTTTAAAAAAACTTAACAAAATGTTTTCTCGCAATTTTTTGTGATTTTTTTAGAATGAGTGAAGAAAATTCACTGAAAATTTCAATGAGAACTGTCAGTTACTTTTCCTTAAAAAATGAAATGTGAGTGGAAACTAACCACATTGCAGCAGAGGTATTATTCTTTTAATTAAGCCATTGATATACTTATCATTTATATATTTTCTCTTCACTTATTATTTTCAGAACCATCTTCTGGGACGAGCAAAGTTCTGCCTGTTGGAAGGTGATAAAATGGATCAAGCTGATGCCCAATTTAACTTTGTTTTAAATCAGTCTCCAAATAACATTCCGTCCTTGCTTGGGAAAGCTTGCATAGCATATCACCGGAAAGATTATCGTGGTGCATTAGCATTCTACAAAAAAGCTTTACGTACATATCCAAAATGTCCTGCCGATGTGCGCCTGGGAATGGGACATTGCTTTATTCGTTTGGGGAACCAAGATAAAGCACGGCTTGCATATGAACGGGCTTTGGAGCTGAATCCACAATGTGTGGGCGCACTGGTGGCATTAGCTATTCTGAAGTTGAATGCTCAAAGTAAAGAAGACATTAAAGCGGGTGTACAAATGCTTTCAAAGGCATATTCCATTGATTCAACCAATCCTATGGTTCTTAATCATTTAGCCAATCACTTTTTCTTTAAAAATGATTTTAAGACATTGCAGCATTTAGCCCTTCATGCTTTCCACAACACAGAAAATGAAGCAATGCGCGCAGAAAGTTGTTACCAACTGGCACGTGCGTTTCAGGCACAACATGATTATGATCAAGCTTTTCAATATTACTATCAAGCAACACAGTTTGCCCCCAATTACATTTTAGCACATTATGGCTTAGGGCAGATGTACATTTATCGTGGAGATTCTGAAAATGCTGCTCAATGTTTTGAGAAAGTTCTTAAAGCTCAACCTGATAACTATGAAACAAAGAAAATTCTTAGTAATTTGTATGCTAATTCTACTAGTCAGTCCCGGCGAGACATTGCCAAAGACTACCTGAAAAAAGTAACCGAAAATTTCCCTGATGATGTTGAAGCTTGGATAGAATTAGCTCAAATTCTAGAATGCAGTGATTTACAAGGCTCCTTGCAAGCCTACGGAACTGCCATTCGCATTCTACGTGAGCGTAAAGCTGAGTTGAATGCAGAGATCCCTGCAGAAATTTTAAACAATGTTGGCTCTTTACATTTTCGCCTCGGCAATCTTCAAGAAGCTGAAACTAATTTTGAGGCAGCTCTTTCAACAGCAAAGCAAGAAGCTGAAAAAGCTGAAATCGAACATGATACTCAGTACTATAATCTAATGTGCGTAACGATTACTTACAATATTGCAAGGCTAAGCGAGGCCTTATTTCAGTTTGACAAAGCTGAAACAATGTACAGAGCTATTTACACAGAACATCCTAACTATATTGACTGTTATTTAAGACTTGGTTGTATGGCCAGGGATAAGAATCAAATCTCTCAAGCTTCACACTACTTCAAAACACCTTTAGGAATTGACAATGAGCATCCAGATGCCTGGTCATTACTTGGAAATCTACATCTTGCACAACAAGAGTGGACCGTTGGACAGAAGAAGTTTGAACGTATCCTACGTAACCCTGCAACCTCTTATGATTCATATTCTATAATAGCACTTGGTAATAGTTGGCTGTCCATCCTTCAGCAACCTGTTAGGAATCGTGCCAAGGACAAAGAGTACATGGATCGTGCTCTGAAACTTTTCGAAAAGGTTCTTGAAAAAGATCCCCGCAATATTTGGGCTGCTAACGGAATAGGTAACTATACTATTTATGTACAATTATATCACTGAGTGAATTTCAAGTGTACATCTCTACTGAGAAATAAATGGAACTTGGTTCGGTGGGTTTTACTCAGAAGCTATTGGCTCTCCTCCATTCATTCAAGATGATTTCGTAAGTCAGCCATTCATAAAGCATTTTAATGCTTGTGGAAGGCTGGTTATCTGTCTTCCATTGTGTACTGGCGGTTTCATCTCAGGATCTTTTTCAAAATTTCGTGCAGGATTTATGAAACCAAATACAAGATATTCAAGCCTTATTTCAGGTTTGGTAAAGATTCTCTCAGCTTTCATCTGCAAGTTTATTGTTCAAATGGAAGTCTGTCGATACATATTTAATTGTGTGTTGTTTTGTGATCAGGCTCCTTATGAACTGTTTACATATAAGATAGGACCATGCCTCAGTTTTCCAAGGATGTTAGTTGTCACAGTAAATTGATAAATTGCTGAAATTCAGATCAATTTCAAAATGTTCCCTTTTAGCTTACCTTGCAAAAGTGTTTCCAGTCTACCAAAATCTCTTACAAGAAAATGATCCAAGACCATTCTCAGGAAAAAGAAGCCAAAAGTGCCAACTACCCTTTTGATCCCGCGTTATGTGCTTTCCTTGCAGGACTGCACATCAACGTAATTTTCAGAAAAAATAAATAAATTTTATATTTTAAACACATATTGATGGATGGATTGATGGATAAACAGCAGAATTATTTATACAATTGTGTTAAGTAGTTACAATTCTTCTCTTTTCAGGAGCTGTCTTGGCACGTAAAGGTTACTTTAATGAGGCCCGAGATGTGTTTGCGCAAGTTCGTGAAGCAACCGCTGATTTTTGTGATGTTTGGCTAAATATTGCTCACATCTATGTCGAACAAAAGCAGTACATAGGAGCTATTCAGATGGTAATTTCATATTTCCCCAGTCATATCTTGCAATGCCCCCAGCATTTAAAAGTTTTTGTCGCTCAAGTAACCTCTAACAGGACCACTGACCTCTCTGGAGTATGTCAGAATGTAATATTTCTCAGCAGGACACATTAATATTATCCTTTATGATGTCCATAGATCAGTCAATAAGAGTTCAATTAGATTAATCCACTAGGACTGAAAAATTCATCGTTACTGACTAAAGTTATTTGATCTGTCTGCAGTAATCTTCCTTCCAGTATGCGTATCTATTATCTTCTTACTTCTCCCAATTTCTAGGCGAGTACTTTATCCTGGATGATTTTAGTAGGAAGTATTTCTGTACTCTTCAGACAATTTTTTTTTAAAGCATGAATATTAATCTACTGTAGCTGTTAGCACATGAGCAGCTTCACTATTGTTTCGATTGCGAAACCTCAAAATTTGGATGGGAGTAATACCACCAAATTTTAGGAATTGCATTCATATGAGGCATCAAAGCCGATAATATACATTTTTGTTTTTTTTAGATAGTCTTATCATAATTGTTATTGGTAAATGATTTTATTTTTCATTTTATTTGTTTGATAGTATGAAAACTGCATGAGAAAGTTCTTCAGGTATCACAATGTGGAACTATTGCAGTACCTAGGACGGGCATACTTCAGAGCTGGGAAACTGAAAGAGGCCAAAAAAGTGCTTTTAAAGGTAAGTGCCTGTCCTGTTTTATTTCTTATGTCAACCTGATAACATTCATGGTCGAATTAAAATGTGTACAAAGAAGTTTTAAATCACCAAACGAATGTCACTCCAATCAAATAATTAAAAAATCACTAAAACTTGTTAACTGTCAGTTGAACTTTTATGTCTTTTTATCTGTTGCATCTTGGGCTACAGCCCACCTTCAATACTATTATACAGGGTGTACCAAAAGTCCGTCCCACCCCTGCTAACTTTTGAACGAATTGAGCTAGGGTAATGAAACTTTGGGAATGTTCCTATCTCAAAGGGGACCATCTTTTGGGGGAGTCAAAATTTTGGTCCCCCCTCAGGGGGGGCGCGGGAGGCCCCCAACTTTTTTTTTCAAATGGAAACCCCTATCTTGTGATACCTCATTCGAAAGAGCATAAAAAACTAAGTATTCTGGCGCAAATCGCAGATCAATATCTTAATTTTTGACCGAGTTATGATAGGTCAAAGGTCAAATTTGACCTATTTTCAAAAAATCATAACTTTGGTTCAAATTATCGTAAAGAAAAATTAAAACGGGAAAATTTACCTAATTGTGTCCGCTTTTAAGTAAAAATTGCAGAAATCACTTCGTTTTAATTTTAAGGGGGGGCTCGGACCCCCAAGTACGTCAATTCAAAGGTCATTCAATTTTCCCGTGAAATAAGCCAATTTCTCCTAGATTTGCCTCCACGTCATCTCAGGAAGGTCAAAATCAGTTCAACATTACGTTGGCAAGTCCCCAAATTTCGGGAAAAGTAAAAAAAAAACGAAATTTAAGGTGATTAAATTTGACCGTTTAAATTTCGTTTTTTTAACCTTTCCCGAAATTTGGGGACTTGCCAACGTAATGTTGAACTGATTTTGACCTTCCTGAGATGACGTGGAGGCAAATCTAGGAGAAATTGGCTTATTTCGCGGGAAAATTGAATGACCTTTGAATTGACGTATTTGGGGGTCCGAGCCCCCCTTAAAATTAAAACGAAGTGATTTCTGCAATTTTTACTTAAAAGCGGACACAATTTGGTAAATTTTCCCGTTTTATTTTTTTCTTTACGATAATTTGAACCGGAGTTATGATTTTTTGAAAATAGGTCAAATTTGACCTTTGACCTATCATAACTCGGTCAAAAATTAAGATATTGATCTGCGATTTGCGCCAGAATTCTTAGTTTTTTATGCTCTTTCGAATGAGGTATCACAAGATAGGGGTTTCCATTTGAAAAAAAAAGTTGGGGGCCCCCCGCGCCCCCCCTGAGGGGGGACCAAAATTTTGACTCCCCCAAAAGATGGTCCCCTTTGAGATAGGAACATTCCCAAAGTTTCATTACCCTAGCTCAATTTGTTCAAAAGTTAGCAGGGGTGGGACGGACATTTGGTACACCCTGTATGACGTTCCTGTAGAGTCCAAAAGGAAAAGTACACAAGTGATGGCGACAAGTTGGGCCATTTGCAGTAGAAACCTTGAAGATGGGGGATAACCTGAAGTGAAGTGGATCAAAACATAAAAATTCCATTAAGCTGTAACTGGTTTTAATGATTTTTGAAGCATTCTATTCACAGTTTACTTCTTTTTAACTAAGCACTCATTCTAATATAATCAAGGGCTGCTATTAATTGTTCGTTCCCCTTTAAGTTCATCAATTTATTGCAGGTAACAATAACCCACTATTCTTTTTTTTCTCCAGGATATAGTGAAATCAATTACCATATGCTTCCAAAAACTTAGCCTAAAATTTCAATGATCAAGTTAAATCTAATAACATCATGAATTATTTTTTTATCTGGAAACTTCTCTAATCATTGTGTCAAATTTTCTTAAGCAGGGTTTTAAATAATCGAATAAGATGCAACCTGCTAAAGTTTCACTAAAATGAAACTTCAAAATTTCTTTGAACTTGACTTCTTTCTTGCAGGCTAGAAGAGTTGCCCCTCAAGACACTGTAATCTTGTACAATATTGCTCTTGTGTTGCAAAGACTGGCAACACAGATCTTGAAAGATGAAAAATCCCCATTAGATGTTGTTCTTCAAGCAGTCCATGAACTTCGCCTTTCTTTAACGTAAGTGACATCCAACATGGTGAACAATATTGAATGCCAATTTTTCCTGTTTATAAAAATATGTACATAAAAAGAGTACAGCTAAAATCTGGGCTCATCCAAATAATGTTTTTTTATTTGAGGAATGATTGTTACCCTAAAAATTTGACTTGCATTTGAAGTAAATTTTACTTCGAGTCTAATGGTAAGAAAATTGAAGCAGTTCTTTCTATGATAAATAGGATGCATTCATGCAGGAGAAGTCTATATACATATGAAGACTTCAGAAAGGACCCATCTGTCTAAGAAATTAAAAGGATTTAGGATTGGACTATGAAAGATGGATCATCAAGGCTATTTTTCCGCCAGGGGCTACATAAGAGGAAGACATGGTGGTAAAAACCACGACTTTTCCTGAAAAAGACGGAAGGTGTTTTCCAACGCTGTTGTGTAGATAGACTTGTTTATTATAATGTTGCTGCAAGTGGAAATAGTATTTTGCGAAAGAAGCGTTTCTGCAGGAGAGTTAAAAACCCTAAAGTGCTTCTGACATTTGGACCGCGTTAAGCAGAATGGAATCAAGCCACATCAGGTATTGCCAAATTTAACCGAGCAATTTAATTTTTTACAAGATAATGTTTGTGCAGATTATTTTGAAAATTTTGAGGAATTTGCTGTGTACCATGCAGAAAATTCACTGAAATTTGCACGAAAGTTTGCACAACCGTTTTCTTTTTTAAAATTAAATTACCCTGTTAAGGTTGGCAATAGCTGATGTGGCTTGGTTTCCTTCTGCTTAACGCAGTCCATTTAGTAAAGCCTTACAATGTTTAGTAAGTATTCCATGGTGTGAACTAAGTGGCATCCTTGAACTTTCCAATTTTGTATGCTGTTCTATCACACTTATGGTAGCATTCCTAAATAAACTAGAGACTTCCTAAACTAAAAAAGTTTGTGTAGAATTCAATTGGACATTTCAACTGTATAATCATGTTTTGATTATTGTCGAAATTTTTTACTGACCTCTGTCAAAAATCCATCCGCCTTGTCCTAGGAATACTGCAGGGCCACCTCTTCAGCTGTCAAACCTTTCAGTTGCATACTAAAATAAATTTTTCAAATTCTGTTTCTATTCACTAACCTGAGGGAATCCTATTCTAAATTGAAAGGTTACTCAATCCTGTGAGCTATTTTCATGACTTTTTTTAATAAATTGATCCTTATCTGTACGTTATAAAGGCTATAAATATGGCAGTTTTTATTCTCTCCAAAATAAGTTTTTCATTCTAGGAAAACCGTTTCAATCTACTATCTCTTGAAAATTGCGCCTCATATTCTTTACAGTAATTTTAAGTTTTTTTCATTTTTCAGATATTTCCAGTATTTAGCAGTGCATGGTGATAGAATGTCTTATGATCTTGCTGTGGCTAGTCTAGAAGCTAGACAGTGTCAAGATCTTCTCTCGCAGGCTGAGTATCATGTTGCAAGAGCCAGAAAAGTGGATGAAGAAGAACAGATGTTGCGTAAGAAACAAGAAGAAGAACGGCAAGCATTCCGATTGAAGCAGATGGAAGAAAAGGTTTTATTCCCTTTCTAGTTTTGGTTTATTTCAGTTTATTTCATGAAGTACTCAGCCATTTAATAAGCCTGATTCATTTTGTAAATTTTCTTTTCCCATTCCTTCTTTAGGGATGTTCATATTGGCTCATGCTGATTTATAACAATTCACTGCTAACTCTTTCTGAAATCCTTGAAAAGTTTCAATTTTTCCTTTAGAATTTTGTCAATGAACATGCAGAACAAGATTTTTCAAAATTATAAATTTAATTTCTGTTTCAGAAATTGCAAGAAGAAAAGATGAAGTCACAGTTGGAAGAGATCATTCAAAAACGACAGGAGTACAAAGAAAAAACCAAAAATGCTCTCATCTTTGAGCCTATCATTGAGTCCAAAAAAGGGAAAGGTAGAGGACGTGGACAAGGAGGAGAGGTGCTTGACAGCGACTCAGATGCAAGTGCAAGATCGATTAGCCCAACAACTGGTGAAGCTAGACCCAAACCACCAAAACCCAAGAAACCCAGCAAAAGGAGGTGAGCGTTTTTTAAGTTCAACTCGATTGCTATAGAGTTATCTTGTGAGGAGAAACAGTATAGAGTAGACGCTCTTAAGATAATGACAAAGAAGAAAGAAAGGAGACGTGAACCATGGTAAAGGACTGAGGAAAGAATAGAGTAAAGGAAGGAGAAATGTAATCCTTTACCCACAAATTTACGCCTAAGCTCAGAAATTAACTCTCTCAGTTACTGAAAATCCGACCCGTTCCACGAAAAAGTATTGCTCCAACAGATTTCATTATATCATATGGACATATTTCTATCAAACAGAACTATGTGCTGTCGGGAAAGATGGGGTCTCCTCGTTAGTGCTCAGGCCATGAGAACGAATGGGACATATAAAGTGCCAGTGACAAAGCCGTCATCGCGGCTCCTCGTGGTGGGCATTAACTCATGAGCCCTGGCCACAACGCCTTAGACACATGCCCATTGCTCATGAGTGCCACATTCAGCTGGCTCACAATTCCATTTGCTGAATTGGAAAAGTGGAATTTTACATTCTGTCAAACGGAACTATGTGCAAAGTGTATGAGCCATGGGCATGTGTCTAGAGCATTGTGAACAGGGCTCACGAGTTAATGCCCATCACAAGGAGCTGCGACGACGGCTTTGTCACTGGCGCTTTATATTTCCCATTCATTCTTATGGCCCGAGCACTAACGAGCAGACCCCATCTTTCCCACCTGCACATACTTCTGTTTGATAGAAATATGTCCATATGTACCCTGGTGAAATGTCTAACCTGGCCTCTTTGTATTTTTCAATCATATCTTATTAGGTTCTCGATAATTTAGGCTTAGACTTCAGATCGAGTTTTTGTGATGCTCTTACCGTGCATTTGTTAAGGCTTTAAATTGTATTTGTTCCTTTTTTCCAGCCTATTTAATATTGAATCTGTTATAGTAGGTAATAAATAGTAAAATTGGAAGACCATTATATTTTGATAAATTAGTAAAAATGAGAGCTACAGAAGCGTATTAATATTATTTTACATTATATCCTGGGTGACTGAAACGCCAAATCCAGTGATTTTGGACCAGGCAGTCAATGACAGAGGCCTATGCTCCATTTCAACTTTAAATCACTTCTTTTTAATAAGGAAGCTTTTCAAAGCTTTTTTGAGCCAGGAAATCTATTTGTAATCATTACCTTCCGAAGCAGCCTCCAATATCAAAGCAGTTTCAGGATCCTCCATTAGCCCTATTTTCTGTCTTTCTCTGTTCATGTCTTTCACTAACAAACTCGTGATCGTCTAAATGCCAGGTCAAAGCCTTTGTCTGTGTAACACTTTTGTGTGTTTTTTTGAAGGTATGCACGACTTTAGAATTGTATAAATTGCTCATTTTCTACTTGCATATAGGGAGAGGTGTATGGATGAAAAAATGTACAGGAAATGACAAAATAGTCTGTCTGCAGCTCGGCTGATTTTATTCTTTAAACTGCACTTTACTGCTGATTAAAAATTTGCTTCTCTCTCTATTCGTTTGAAATTAGACCTTTTTACTCAAATTTCCTTTGTTTTTTCTTACCAGTGAAAAGTCTGGCAAAAAGAAAGTCACCAAGCGGAGGAGAGATTCAGGTTCTGGAGGTGAAGACAAACCCAAGCGCAAACGAGAGCGCAAGACTAAGGTAACTATGAATGAAGTAACCTCATTTTAAAGTTTTCTTCATCCATAAGGTGAAAATCTCTAAAGTCTAAAATCTAAGAAATTCTTCATATAAAAGTCACTACTCTGATCAGAATTTGCCAACAGTGGTGATTTGATATCCCTGAAGCATGTCAAATTGAATGCAGAAATAAAACACTCCACAAATAATAAATTGACCAAAATAAAACAGCAAAGCAAAATGAGAGAGATGCCATCATTCCGCAAATTGGGGAGTAAAATTAACAGTGTTTTTGAGCCTCAAGAAAGAAACGACATGACCGAAGGCAATACTAACATTTTCGAAACTCAAAACAGAATTAACATAAAATTGCTCAAAATTAAAAAAGGAACAAAACATATCAATCTCAGGATCAAGGATGTCTCAAAGTTTACCGAACCAATCATTAGGGGGCATGTCCAGCCTAGCTTGCTTATTCCTAGAAAAATTTTAGAGTGTGACCTTAAATTTGAACCAAATGCAAAATTGTTAACTTAATTGCTGTGTAAATCAATTTAAGCACCAATTTTCTCAAAGATAAAAATATGAATACTCAGGTGAGCTTTTAGCGAAGAAAAAATGAGCGAAATAGAAAAGTCAGGTTAGTTATGGTCTGATTCCCCATAGCTTTATCAGACTTTAGCTCAAATATGTAAGAAATAAATGCTGCACCTTTCTCAGTGCATGTTTTTCAGATTCAATGTTCTCAAGCACTCATGTAACTATTAATCATTCACATTTTTTAATTAAATAAGCAAACAAAAAAATTAATGTTTCAATCCCAATTTTTCTTTCTGTTTTCTAGGAACCAAAAGCCCCCAAAGGAAGTAAAAAGAAGGCCAAAGCTGATGATGGGCTCAGTGGCAAGCAAAAAATGCGTATTGTCTCAAAAGCTACTATCTCGAGTGATTCGGATAGTAGTGACAGTGACAGTGGAAAATTGAAAATTGTTAGCAGGTAAGATATTCATGATGTTTTACACATATTTTGAATTTTCACCAGGGTTGCTAGTAATTTCAGGTTTCTTCGATTTTCAAACTTATCTCCACCACCAATTTTAGAGACGTGTGATTTCTTTCAGAATGTTTTTTAAGTTTTTATTATTGTAGGATAAGTATAGTCGGAGGTAGAGTGGCAAGTTTGAAAAAATAACAATTGAACGGGGAAATCATTAATTTTGAAATAACATTACCAAAGTAACATTATAAGACTGAATTACGGAATTATAGTCTCAGTCATGTCCCACATCAATGACTGAAGTAAAAAAATATGGATCTTTTTTGCAATGGTTCAGCATCTCACACTATGTTTTGTATTTAAACGGATACTAATCAAAATATCACTTTGGAACTTTGTGCGAATATTTAAAATAGTACAACAAAAAAATTTGTTAAGAAAAAGAAAAACAATTTGTTAGTTTTCTGCTAGAAGAAAGAAAAACACATGAGTGGAGATTAGCAACATTGTCATCACTTTTCAACTCTGACCATCAGTACATATTTTATTTCTATTATATTTTGAATGATTTTATCTCCCCAATCATACCTCATCTGCTAGTCAAATATATTTTTCCTTTAACTTTCATGCCAATTGGGATCAGATTTTTAATTATTTTTTTCAATTCCTTTGTTTCAGTGGAAGTGAAACAGATAAACCTAAGAGAAAGCGCGGAAGGACGGCAATCAAGAGTCAGTCAAGATCACGATCAAGGTCTCGCTCTGGTTCAGGATCGGGATCAAGATCTGGCTCTGGCTCTCGATCAGGCTCAGGATCCAGATCTAGGTCAGGGTCCCGTTCAAGATCAGGATCCCGCTCAAGATCAGGTTCTCGCTCAAGGTCTGGATCCAGATCAAGGTCAGGGTCACGATCAAGATCAGGGTCACGATCAAGATCAGGGTCAAGGTCACGCTCAGGGTCTAGATCAAGATCAGGGTCCCGTTCAAGATCAGGATCTCGCTCAAGATCAGGGTCCCGCTCAAGATCAGGATCTCGTTCAAGATCAAGATCCCGTTCTAAATCGGGTTCCAGATCAAGATCAGGATCCCGCTCAAAGTCAGGATCTAGATCAAGATCTGGCTCTAGATCGAGGTCAAAATCAAGGTCTAGATCAAAATCAAGATCTAGATCTAAGTCAAGGTCTAGGTCAGCCTCTGGCTCACGATCAAGGTCTGCCTCCCCTGGCTGAGTGTAAATATTTATGTATACATTATATAATTTTTTTACACACCCTGTACGTCCTTATCTCTGTAATTTGAGGAGGAGATATTTGAGAAAATGAGAAATTTTGTAACTAGTGATAATAAAATGAATGAATAAAGGTGTAATTTGTAATTAAAAAAGGCCGATTTATTTTAAATTTTCTACTCTTCATAAACAGACACATTAACAAAATCACAATAATCAACATCAAGTGGTTGAATATTACTTTGAATAACATCTTGGGTTTAGAAAGAAAAAAGAGCTTTTTGAAAGCTGTACCGCAAGGAACAAAGAAAATCTCTGGCTTAAAGATCATTGTAACAAAAAAAGTCATCAAAATAATTCAGTCATATTTTACATTTAATCAGATTTCTTCTATAGGAGAAAGAATTGTCAATGGAGTTCCTCCAAGAGTTAGGAACTTTCGATCGAACAAAATATTCTCATGTAGAATTATGCCAGTAATATGATGGTGCCATTGTATCAGTTAGACTCGCAGTGTTGAAGAGGTAATATTAAGCCTACCATCATTGGAACCTTGCGAGTGAAAAAATACTTTGTCTAGAGGCAACACTCAGAATATTTTCTGAAAATAAGCAAAAGCCATATTTTGTTCAAAGATCGGATCCTATTTTGTTCTGAATTGCGGTGGCAGACATTTTCACGTTCAAAATTGGTGTGCATTAACTGCTATGTGCCTTGGGGTATGTCTGTGTAGTTTTTCAACACGATTTCCAAGACAATGCTAGTAAGAACTGATATCAGTCGCAACCTTAAACCCTGCTCAAAAAAATCCTTGCTGTTCAAAATCGAGTAAGAAAAAAACAGCAACGCTTAGTTGCTTCGTACAAAATATGTCTCACGTTAGCCCTATCTTTATATTAAGGATTGGAACCAATAAAAAAAAATTATGGATTTATAATCTCTTACTTCAGTATTATGTTTCCCTATTACGAATTTGAATTAAAGACTGAGCGTATTTTGGACAATGGTAGCATCGTACTTCTCACACAATTTTACTCAGGAATGGTTGTGACACAAAAAAAATGCTCATCTCCTCAGAACTCTGTTCAAATCACTGGCTCAAAACAACAGCTATGTGTGGCAGGCTCCACTAAATGCCAGAAAGAGCACAGAAAGACCTGCTGGTTGATTGTTGAGACTTTAGGCAGCACGGCAAGACATCGAGAATCGATGCATTTCATAGTACGGATAATTACACAGCACGTTGTCTTGTCTTGTCTTGCCGACAAGCAGCCAGCCTGCCAGAGTTTTGGTTCTGGTATATTGTGATACCTTTTGAAGGGAAAACGGATTTTTCAAAGCTGATACAATCAGCTTGGAACCATCCGTGAACCATCAGCTCATTGAGCCCAACAACCGAGAACTGCCAAGAAGAAATACTAAGGCACAACAAAAGTTGATTGTTGCTGTGATGCATACCTTAGTCAAATCAGATAAGTTAGGAGGCAAGAGGCAGGCAAAAAAACCAAAAAACAGTTGGTGGCTAATCATACAAACAATGGAATGTCGCAAAAATAATTATCCCATTTTTTTATTCTCCTCGAAATCTCACCATTTTGAAACTCGATGATCCAAAGTTTTTTTCTAATTTCCTTCAATTTTACAAAATTGGAATTCCATATAATGTATTTTCCATTCTTGTGAAGGAGAACTACTAGCACATTTAGTGAGGTTATGAAGATGCAAGCATTTTTAAAGGTATTTAAGAGTACATGCAAAAAAAGAAAACATAGAAACAAAAACAATACAGTATGCAAGTCAAGTTCCTCTATTAAGAAAATAATGCTTAACAATGCAAATAACGCTTCTGAACTGAAAGAATGATTCCTAATGGGAGGAAACCATGAAGCTAATAATATACTATTGGAAAACACAGGGAGAGAAGAGTGAGTGACGGGCACTAAAATGCAAGGCTTCGGCAGTGCGAGTCAAAATTTTTGGGGATGAAGAACTAAGATCATATACATTTCCCCCTTTTTCATGGTCCTGTAATAATATATAAGTAGCAAGATTTCAAGCAAGATAAGTCCTTTTTGAATCAGAGTCATGTCCGTCTAAAGCTACTTTCATGACGGTGAAGTCTGGATTCCTGTAGATGACCAGGCACCAAATCTTAACTGGAATCTCCGAACTTCATTTTTTCAAATACTTTTAGATTCAAACTTTTCAGACAGGTCGTTGGAACCTTTTTAAAATTCTATAATTTCGTAAAATTTCGGACATCATTTTATAATGTTTGAGCATAAACTTGTCAGGAACAACTTTGAAAGTGCTGTACCAGAGTGCATCTGAAGTAAAAAACCGAGATGACAGATGATGTAAACTTTAGCATGACTGTAAAGGTTTCTGACGAGTGTGTGATCAAATCGAGAAAAATACAACGGGTTTTACTACCAGATGAATCCGTCACAGTATATGTGCGTACATATTTTCTAATCAATATATTTGAAAAGTAAAGACTGATTTAGTCTAAACTTCAACGTCACAAAACTTTGACATAGACTTACTTGGCCATCCTCATAGATAATCAGAGTAAATAGAATTGACAAAAGAAACTGTTCCACAGGTTAAGAAGTAATGAACTAATGAATTATAAAAATACGGAATGTTTACAAGGGGCTCTCAATGATCGACATTCACAAAGGGCGAACAACAAAATCTTCAAAAATGTATAATCTTGAGAGGGATAAAATGCAAATGTATTACTGTTATAACTGAACCTCACCTATTAACCTCATTGTTGTTCTTTTCCCTAAAAGATACATCATTGGCAAGTTACAGTTGTCCGATTCCTGCTGAATGCAAAAATTTTATTGAATCATGGTGCTAAGCAACTGGCTTCAATACAGCTAATTGAATTTTAAAACAATATTCCTGCTCTTCCTGTCTCTAAGTTGACTTAATAGTGGATTCTTATGTGTAAGCCTTACCATAATATGAGAGCAAATTAGCCAATGCCTTGTTCTCTGCACATTTTTTAGTGTATTTTCCGAAGAAAATACACTATTTTTTTTTATATATTTTCATCTTCTTAGTTTCATTAGTACAGCTCTCTTCTTGCAATTTCAATTATTTTTATCAAGGCAACACTGCATTAGGAATTCTCTTGTTTTAATAAAAGGATGTACCCCTTTAAAATTTCTGGAGCGGAATAAGTTAAAAACCTGTCAATTATCAGGTGAGAGTGAAAGAGCAGGAAATGGTTTGAGTTTGTTTGCCATCATTTTAAGGTAAAGTGTTTTAAGAACTATGAGGAAAACATCAGGGTTGATCTTTCCTTTTGTCTCCAGATGAAACATATAAAACTTGACCATAGCAGGTTTCCAAACCGATTTTATAGAACAGATAACTATAATAGAAACAGATTTTACTCAGAGGTTATTATCATTTCGTTGAACGGCATTAGTATAAATTATTTTATGACCATTGTCAGAGAACTTTCCCTGAAAGTGTAGACCTTACATTATTCAAAAACTCTTGTCAGCTGATATTCTGAAGAACATTCAATGAATCTTAGCAACAGCTGCAAATTCCAAAGTGAAATTGTAGATAATTTGCAACCCAACTCTGAGCCTGATCAACTATCAACCTATGATATTTTTACAAGAGATAGCGAGTGCATTTTGATAACAACTGTACAAAGGTCTTTTTGCTTTTATCACCTTTCCGGATCAAAAAACACTAACTAGGATGATATGAGTTGAACTAGAATTCAGTTATTGAGTGAGACTTGGTGTCTCACTCATTTGAAGATTGCGATGAAGTCAAGGGAATTGTGTTGGGCGGAGGTGGGGTACGATGTCAGAATTTCAGTTCTTTGATTGCCTGCGGCAGGTCTGGTAGCTTGATATCTTTCAACTGCTGAGGAATATTGATATTTTTCACAGCAGATACTGCTCTCGAAGGAGCCCCAGATATGCCTGCCTGTAAATGAAAAAGACAAATTGTGAAATTTACACTTTCTATACTATAAGCTCCGAGACCTCCTAATTTTGCGAAACTGGTGACCCTTAGTTCCAGCGTTCTACCGGGCCGATTTTCATGATTTTTGCGGCTATTGACGGGCAATTGTCTCTACATAAGCCAACTCTTTTCAGATTTTGAAAATATGGCCCAGGTTTTTTTATATTACGTGGTAAAGTTGCGAATTCTCCCATATAAACAATGTAAATTTATGTGTTTTGTCATAGTTCGTTTGAGCATTCTACTGGGCCGATTTCCATGATTTTTGCGTAAATCGACAGGTAATAGGCTCTAGATGAGCCCGCTCTAATCAGATTTTGGAAAAAAGACCCAGGTTTTTTTAAAATCACGTTATTAAAGTGAGTGAATTTACAGAGTGCTCCGGGACTGCTACCGCTATGCGCGGGAGGATGCGCAGTGGTCGAGGAGGTTGCGCAGTAGGTGTGTAGCCTGCGCATCAGCTCTACACTTATGTACACAAGATTTCCGCCGATTACCTCAAGACGAGCGGTGGCCGAGTCGTCTACGACGTCGGAAGTGTCCACATTGATCAAGGTGTGGGTTCGATCCCCGCCTCCAGAGATACTTAATAATTATCCGATTTAAACAGACGGTTGTTTTACTGTAATATTTCATCAAGCAGTCATTCCAAAACGCGTCCTTTTGACTTCAAAATTTTTTTTTTCTTTATTCATCAAAACCAAAAATTATTTCATTCTATTAAGTATACCTCATATCGAATTTTTTTTAGGGGAAAAATAAAACTAATACTAATAGGAGGGTAAAAATAGGGCCGCGAAGCGGCCCATTGATGGCGCGGAGCGCCTTCGGGGGGTTGGTATTATTATATTACTAGTATACCAGCTTTCACTGCATGAAAAACGATTCATTTAATGGTTAGTATGAAATATCATGGAAAGATTTTTGCTTTTTGATCAAAGTTGAGGACAAAATGCAAAATGGGATAATAGAGGTGTTTCCTTCCAACTAATTTTCCAGTTTTCATCCTTACAATGGACATTTGGTTTTTGGAAGAAATGATATTTTCTTGAACGTGAAATTCCCAATTTTCCACAAACAAAACCGATACAAATGTTACGTACAAATTTAATATCCTTGCTTTCTTTAAAACAAAGAAGCAGACAAATTTAGTGAAACAATTTTTGTTCAATGCAATTTGGCCCATCGGCTTAGAACCGAGATTGTAGATGTTTGTCAGCGGTTTGGAGGATGAGACTTTCATTTACAGTGTTCAATCCCCGCCTGAAAATTTTTGGAGTCACCTCCTAATTTTAGGAGTCCAATTAACTTGAATGAAATTTGCCTTAGCACTGCAGACAATACTTTGAGAGTCTTACCGATGCTTTGTGGTTGCGAATTTGAAAAAAATCAATGGGGTGCATCAACTTTTTTAGGTGCCACAATGGCTCTATTTTTGACACCTAACTCAATTTTTAGGCGCATTAGGCACATGGCACTAAGGGTAGGCAGATCATTGATGACAGCAACATCAGAAAAGCTGTGACTATCTACTTGTGCATTGAAATTCGGGCTTGGTATCAGGAACCTTTACTTCAGTTTATTTTTTGATAAAGAATCAATACTTCAGCAATGAAGAGGTGTGTACATCTTTGAATGTAACGATGAAAAGGGAGGTTGAAATTAAGAGACCTGCCTTCTAAAAGACTGAAAATAAAAAGCTGTGGTACCATGTCTATTCCACAACTGTCTGCACTACTACTAGCTGTCTCAAACATTATTATGTACCAGGTCAGAGTAAAAACATACTACTGGCTTTTGATTTACCAGCCAAAAACTGTGGTGCTTTTTACGGAAATTAAGATTCCTTTAGCTTTGAAGATCTATGATAAGCAGATGTAGAGGTGTTGTCAGATAAGTTGGCATTTGTTTACTTTCGGTTTGCAAGCGCAGATGACAAATATAGGCCTCTGCACAGACCATCGTTTGCTACTATCCACCTTGAAAACATCTGTTTCAAGATCGTATCGTAAAAAAAAAAAACTACCATCAGTTATGATCCGCAACTTTTATGTGGTTGTGATTTCTGTGTGGTTAAAAATTGAAGTGTTACAAGGTTTGAAGGTATTAAGATACCAATCCAAGCTTGTGTTCTTGCTTCTAATAGAGTTGGATGATTCATGTGAACAGTAGTTACGCAAAAATGCCTGCAAACCAAAAGGAAACAAATGCCAACTTATCTGACGACACCTCTAGTTTTCCTAATAACATGCAAAAGTTTACACAAAAGATACTATTAGGGATCAAAGTTACCTCTTGCTTTTCCATTCTATTTTGGTCTTCTATTCGATTCAGAATTTCTGACATATTAGTTTCCAATACCATGCCTCCCATTACCAACTCATTCAAAATATAGTGCACCTGAATTGAAAATAAAAATTATTGGGTGAAAAATATCAAGATAAATGGATGTAAAGAGGAGGGCAACCAAGATTATGTACCATGTTTAGATTTTACAAAGAAATAATTTCATCGTTGCATTATTTTAAAGGTACCCAGCTCGCAGATAGTACAAACATGAAAAATTTGGAGCAATGTAAAATTTGCTGGGTATTACACAGTATTTACTATTTTGTACTAATATTGCTTAATGCTGACAGAATCAGCTAGCTGGAAGGCTAATTCTGAAACTTGGGAACAGCTTCATCAGATCAACCAGGCAATAATGTCTAATAGTTGTAAGTAGCATGAGTGCCACAACACCCATCTAAAGCGAGGCATACAAAATTAAAAGTTAGAGTTACCCCTCAGGTTTCAACAAGATTCTCACTCTATACTAAAAATTTTCTACCTGACTCCATTTCTGATGGTTTCAACTCATTTTTGTAATAGGATTTGTACCTTTGCAATCTTTCCTTCGATTGTGTAAGTATCATCCTCTTTTGGAAAACCATAATCATTTCTTACTTGTTTGTTTTACTGCTTTGAGTTTATATAAGAGAAAATACTCATAAAACTTACCTTGTCAACATGAAATATTAAGTCTAGCTCACAGACGTTTTCAAAGCATTTATCTAGCGTTTCCACAAAAACTTGAATTAAGTCTAGGATCCCTAATTCTGACTCAGAAGAATCAACACAAAAAACAAAATACAGCGTTGCATAATGCCGATAAATAAGCTTGAAGTCAGATCCACCGATCAGGCTGGAAAAAAGACAAAACATTCATAGTTAGATTTAAAGAGGAAAATGTTTTCCGAATACAAGAAATATTTCATGGTCAAATTTCACTGGCAGAAAAAATCTAGTGAGTGAATGCACCAGATGAATGTAGATAGCTGTCGGCCTCCTGTGGTGTAGTGGTTGTAGTGCTGGGCCTATGACCAAGAGGTCCCAGGTTCGATTCCCGGTCAGGTGATCTGAGTTTGATGGTCTCAGGCAATGGTCACCTGGGGCCAGCATGGGATAAGCCGATAGGCTATTTGAAATTTATAAAAAAAAAAAAAAAAAGCTGTCAGTTTCATTTGGGTTTCAAAACAAAAAAATTAGATATTGTCCTCGATCACTTTATTTTTGGACAAGGGAGCGGTGTATCAGAAGAAGCTCTAATTCCTCAGAATGTTTGCAACATACATCACAGTCTGTCCCAGGGTGAAGAGCCAGGCTGGTCGAAGGTGCACCTCTGTAATTCGCTGCCCTAAAAATATTTAGTCATGTTGGTTAATATCAAATAAATTTAAAAAGAATCTTTCAACTCTACCAAATTAAAACCATTCAATGATCAAATGCTGGTTACTGTAGATCCATTAGCTCATTTGCCTTACCAGCTAGAAATAACCCAAGTAACTATAATTATAATTTGAAACCTCAGTATTCCAACAATCTTCAAGAAATCATTGTTTAAGTCAAGTTTATCCTCTTTCAAAGAAGAAACTTTTAGTTGTAATGTAAATACCTATAATAAACACAGAGGAATTTTCATAGGATCATTTGACAGACACTTCCTTAAATTAAAATTTCAGATTGGATGATAACTCACCTGCCACCTTCGAGAAAATTACAAATATTATCGTCTCTCTTGGATACTAGCTGAAAAGTTTCTTTGATAATTTGTTGCTGCATGTCTTCATTCTGAAAAAAAAAGGGAGTGTACTGCTTATTAGAGAGGCAAAGAGGAGCGAGTCAGAAAAAATAGTGAGTAAAATTTGCTTTTGTCGGATTTTAATTAACTCCAGACATGTGCATATGATATTAATGATAATTTCATGTAAATAATTTTTGTGTGGGTTCAGGGTTGAGAGGAAACTGTGCGTTACATAAAAGGGATCCTTAAGAATTTTTTTCTTAAAGTTCCCACTTGCTTGAGAGTAAACTGAGCAAAAGACAGCGTGGTACAGATATAATATGCTAGAGCTAACCCTAGATAAGTTGGCAGCTTTCCACTTTTCACCGTTTTACTCATTAGACCAATTTACAGCAAAAGGGGCATTGTTGCTTATTGCTATTTGACGATGGCAGAGGGGTCGTTTTTAAATGAAAAGTAAACTAAACTGCCAACATATTTGATGCTTGAGTTCCGTCACGATGCGCAGCGTTTTTCATACTGCTGAGACAAACTCTTTCTGCTATGCTAACAGCTACTCACACATATCAGCTCATTTACGATAGGAACGAATTAAAATCATGGTGGCACAACAGCATTTATTTCCTTGGTGGGTGGTGATTTTATCATCTACAATAATATGGTTCACTCTCTAATATCGTTATTGAAGTACATAATTATCTAGGCCTGTGAAATAAACACTTGTGATCATAGGGAAGTTTTTATTAATTCCTTTGATACAATCGCCATTTAAATTCTTAGATGATTCAATGTGTGTGGACCCATCTCTCCAGGTCATTCGTGCATGTGACAAGGATTGGTCCAAAGAATGGTGTTGCGCCAGTGTCATCAGAGATCCATCTCTCATTTTATGCCCAACTGGATTGTACTCTAGTACCTGAATGGTATCTTTCGAAGGGGGCGATTTTATTAAAACATTGCAGATAATTGAAGGAGGGAGCCCAGATTGTAACGTGAAAATAATGGCCAAATTCGAACAACCAGCAAAAGGTTTCTGAAAGAATTTTTTAGACGGTTGAAAAGATAAACGAGAGAACTTACGAAATAATGATAAAATTTGGACAATCTGGGTTTCCCATGATTATTGAAAACCAGTATAGCTTTAATCATGTTGGATGATAATCTGAGCACCGAGTTTAATGTGATTATGCAGAGTACCTCCCTATGAAAACATTGTAGCGAGAAACATAGATTCGCATAAATAAGTGTAACGATATCGTTGGAATTGATTACTATCTCAAAATCATTAAAATTTAGAAGAATTACACTACAATCAGACGATTACAATCACACTTATCACAACAATTCATAACCTAAAAAACCTGAACAAAACACAACCAAACATGGTCAGCTGACCTCCAGTGATGCAACTGAAAAAACTCCACAATCAGTTTTCCCAGATCATTACTTTTCGCCCAATAAAATTTGTTCTATCCTTAAAATTTGGAAATTTTTATTTTTCATTTCTAACTTTTTTAGGTCAAATTTTACGACCTCTCTTGGTCAGGCGAAAAAAAAGAAGATAGGAACAAAATAACATGACAGTAGCAGATTTTTTTCGCTGCTCCCATGATTCACCGTCATGATCGGAGGTTAGGTAGGATAGGAAAGAAGATTTTTGAGGAATCATCTTGTTTCTGTCCAAATAATAAGTTATTTTTTACACTTTTCTGCTATAATTTGTATTATTCTAGTGCTCCAAGACCAAGTTTAGTTGTTGCAGTGTTTAAAATGTCTACACCTGCAAGGAGACGATTAATGCGTGATTTTAAAAGGTAAGCAAGTCAATACTCACTTGTCAAAACAATCTCTAGGTCAACCACCTAACAATTCTTTGACAAAGGATATTATAAGCACTTAGGACTGGTTAAAATACAATCTCTCAGTTTGTTGTCAGGAAGTTTAACTCTAAAGCATCTCCTCTGTCTATAGCATGGATTGAGAATGGCCGATGAGTTTGCCTGTTTATGCCCTTATTCTAGGTGCAGATGCTTTGTATTCGTTTTGTAGCGTCTGGGGACTAGTGAAAGAACTTCGCAAGTATTTTTGTTCTCTTCAATTGTAAATCAAGAAGTTTGTTTTTCACAGTCTGCAGTTGAAGTTTGCTAGCGCCCGATATTGCGCAGTAGTATAGCGTAAAACCCCTAAAAATTGCCAAATGTGCTTATTCCCTTAAGGGTCAGGGGTAGATTTAGTTAAATGGCATTTACCCTTAAATTGAAATAGGTAGTACTTTTCTGCTCCAAATAAGATTATGATCTTGCTGCTGTGTGTGCCAAAACTCTTCCCTCTCAGTGACAGTATATTTAGACTCAGGAGTTAATTGCAATGAGGACAGTTACTTACAGTACTTAGAGCTCTCATGGGATTCAAGGCTACTGAACCTAGAAGTAAATTGAATGATAAGACCAAAGGTAGACCTAATCAAGGCTGAACAGTACATATGCATATGCAAATTGTCTCTCTTCAACATTAGTTTTTACAAACGCACATTGGAACATTACAAGTATACTGGAAAATAAAAATAAAACAAGTATGTTCTTACTTCCTGTATCTGGAAAGAGCCTCTTGAAACATATGTGTATGTTTATGCTTTATAATATGTTTCATATTTTTGTGCCACAAGCAAGTATGAATGTTGCTGTTTTTTTAATTTCTTATGAAACTATTGAAATTAATAGGGGAATGTATATGCGTTCTTTCATAATTTTTTGCTTATCCAGCTCTTTTGTATGTAAACAGTGGTTTTTTTTTCATCCATACCTTATAAATGTAGATTCCTAAATTGTTTTTCTTGAATCCACACCACTGAATTTAATTTTCTTGTTTACAGACTTCAGGAGGATCCACCTACAGGCGTAAGCGGAGCTCCTACAGACAACAATATCATGATCTGGAATGCTGTAATTTTTGGGTAAGTTAGCCAAAAAGCATCACTAAAGTGGTCTTTCAATTTTAAGTAGATGTATTTTTGGGAAAAATATTTCTTTAATTATGTTTTAGCCAAGTATCTGTAATAACCCTGTTCTCAGATTTTTTTTTTCTTTCTTTTTTTTCTCTCTTCTTCATTTATTTTACCTTATCAAAATGTTACCAATCTACTTTCGAATTTATTTTGCAATTTCTTTTTCTGTTTTCTGTCTGTTTCATTCATGTCTGTGTATTATCAAATAAAAATGACTCTATGAAAAAGAAAGAGACTGAAAAAGTATCTTTCAAGCAAAGTGTCATCGAAGAATTAACTCCGGAAAATCAGGGATTAATCAAGGAATGAGCATGGTTAAGCATTAAAGACACCATGCTTGTAAGTGGCTCGTAATTTTTACCAAGTCCTAAAAAGTTGCACTTTTGCAAAGTTGCAAATTTTAGACTAAAATGTATTTCTCTTTTGTGTTTAAAAATTATTGAATTTTTTGTTTGCTTGGTTTCAGCCCTCATGACACTCCTTTCGAAGATGGTACTTTTAAATTAACTATTGAATTTACTGAAGAATATCCTAATAAACCACCCACAGTTAGATTTGTTTCAAAAATGTTTCATCCAAATGTATACGCAGATGGAGGAATTTGCTTAGATATACTGCAAAATAGATGGAGTCCTACTTATGATGTTTCTGCAATCCTAACATCCATCCAGGTTAGATAATTGATTTTTTTTTCTTTTTCCAAGAGTCAAATTAAGTTAATACTTGATGGAAGAATTAGCAGTTGAGAGGCATAAATTCTCGATTCAAGCTTTGTCTTTTTGAGATTTTAGGCTGAATTAATTTCATTCATTGCTGCTGCTTGTATAAATTGCCATTCCTGAAAATTAACACTATTTCCGTAACCGTAGCTGTAAGTAAAATTTTTTATTCTTATTGATCATACCTTTGGGGACCACTTACCTCTTTTAAGTATCACATCGTGAAAATTATTAATATTTCAAGTTATTGATAGAAAAGCATGTTTCCACCTAGCTAAGCTAAATTGTTCCCATTTACCAATTGATATAAATAAAGGCTTTTCAATCAATGCAGAAATTGATCTACTTTCAAGTTAAAGTAAAACAAAAGGTAACTTATTGTTAAAACATTGTCCAAAAATTCAATCATTTTAACATAGCCGTCTGTTTAATTTAAGCAGAAGAAAGTACTAAGTTTATCTGACAGTAGTAAGCTTGTCTTAAAGCCATGGTGCACCAATTGGTTAGTCGCGCTCGTCTTACAATCTTGTTTTATTGTTTGAAGCTAATAGATTGGCAAATAACAAGTTTTGTTCCTATGCAAAGTTCCTACGTCCATCTTTAATAAAGCTACTGCTCATTGGAGACCTCAGCGCATGACACCATTCCCTGCGGTAGTGCATACCATGATCTCTTCTATCTTGGTTTCACCAATCATAGATATACACACACTTGCACTGGTTGCTTGATGTAAAACAAGGATGAAACCAAGATGGAAGAACCCATGGTATTCATTATCCAGGTGGATATGTTGTATGCTGCAAATTTTGATAAGCAATATCTCCGTCAATATTGAATGTAGAAACTAGACACTTGAAGAGATCTTACCAATTTTTGCTGATCTGCAAGCTTAAACCATTCAAACAAGAATCTTCTGTGACCAGCAGAATTGGCCAATTATGAAATCTGTAACTGATGCTGATGACAAATTTGGTGGATTCCTACCACTACTACTATGCAGGTTTGGACTGACTCACTGTCAAATAAACTTGAATTCCATTTTTTCTGACATTCTGGAATGTCAACAGTCAGTGAGCAGTATAGATTATTGATACAGCATTATGAAGCATGAACATTATAAAAAACAAGGACAAAAGAAATCTAGGGGCTAGGAACCTCTTTCATGTGACACAACACATGAATAATCGAAGAAGACGTAGAAACTTCAATTAATTTTACTTAGCCAGGAAAAGTTGAGGAGCTTTGCTGTCAATCATCAAATGCTCTTGTTTTGTCAAAATTTATGAATGGCTTTGATTGCATTTATGCACTCTTACAGTAGAGCCTTAATTTTGCGCTTGATGGCTCGTGAGAAGAATTTACAAACAAAAGATCCATGAAAAGTCAGAAATTTTTTTTCTCAAAATCTCAAGAAATCAGATAATTTTAAAATTCAAGGAACTTTGTTACCCTGACTTCTCCTCATACTAATATCTTTTTAGGTTAAAAGTTATTAAAATTCCCTTTCTAAGCGCTTTTTGCGCAAGACACTATGTGAAGTTGGAACACTGATAATAACAATATAACCATTCACGGTATGGATGCAAAGTTGTGACTCACAATGCTGTCTCCATTTTTATCGGATGATTTTTCTTTATAATGCCTTTTTTTTATCTCCATGAGAAGGATACACTCCTATACTCTTCCTTCATACATTTTTAATATTTGTATTTTTTTGCATTTTTTCCAGTCATTGCTGAGTGACCCTAATCCTAATTCACCGGCCAACTCCATGGCAGCGCAATTATATAAAGAAAACAGAAGAGAATATGAAAAACGAGTCAGAGCTTGTGTAGAACAAAGTTTTGTTGATTAACCGTTACTATTTCACTATCATTTTTTTTATAATTTAATTTTTGTTTTTAATTTTAATTTTTATTTTTTCCATTATTTTTTTTCTTTTTTTAATAATTTTTTTCTGTCTCACATAAAAAAAAAAATTAAAATGAAAAAATGATCAATGAATAATGGCAAATCAATTAGGCAGATAAACGGAAAGGAAAAATAAAATAAAAACATTAAAATAATTAGTACGTTCTCTTCTAGATTGAAGATGAATTTTCACACATTCTGATTTTATACCAAAATCTGTACATACACTGAATATATTCCAATCGTTTTTCTGTATCATGATTCCCCTTCCTTTTTCTACTATCTCCTTACATACATTAAATTATCTCTCTTTTGATTTGCTAAGTATTTACCTATTCTTTTTGTAACTTTAATTGTACATGATTATAAGGAGTCCATCTTCCCAAACATTTTTCCCACAAAATGTACATGCATGCATGCAAGCTTCATATTCCCACAAAATGTACATGCATGCATGCAAGCTTCATATAGGTCAAGGAATCAAAATATTGTTGGTGACAACCTATTTTTCTTTACAGATAAATTTCAATTTGTAATGTCAATCCATTAGCTTTCTTGTAATCTCTTTGAAGATTCACTTGTAAACAGTAATATGTGTTGTTTCTTTGTTTTAATTATCCTTTATTAAGGCAAGAATTAAAAGTTGTCAGAAAGCTCCTGAAATGTTTCTTAATTTCTGTAACAGTCTGAGGTCTCTAAGAGAAAGATAGGTCTTCTGCACTAATGCAATCTCCCAAAAATGACAGCAGAATTAACAAGGCAGAACTCAATCAAGTAAGCCAATAGTTTCAGCTTGAATACTCAAATTCCAACCATTCGATATAGCTATAGACGTAAAAAACTATTCTGGCTACATCCGTCTTAAGAACAGGTACATTTTTTGTCAAACTAGCTCTCTGGTAATGCCATTTGAACATGCTTGCAGAGAAGGAAGTTAAACCACCGAAAAAACTCTATGGAAATTCCAATGCTAGAACTCAAATGAATAAAATTAATTTAGTTTTTAATACTTAAGACTTCAATTTGAAGAATTTAAATTTAATTAAAAAAGTGAGTCGAATAATTGCTCTCAATCTTGGTGCAGCATCCTCTTCAACAACATTTTGTCTTTCTATGAGAATTATCTACCTCTCTAAATCATGCCTGTTACCTTGAAGGATAATGTTTGAAGTGGTCATCAAGTTTACGAAGCAAGATTGGGGTATCACAAAAAAAAAATAATTTTCTCAAACTGAAAAAGATCTATTAGATATGTCAAATTGAGATCATGTTCTGTGTTTATTTCTGTTGAGGCTTCTTAAACATAATTCATTCATCACATCATGCTTCATCAAGAAAGGCTGTCAATTCTCAACAAAGAACAACATTGTTGGAGGAAAAGGGTTGCTGCACAGATTAGGTCCCCTCACTACTCATGCTGTCAGTCCCTTCAAAGCTTAACTTTCCCTGATTTAAGCTTTCTAACAAACTAATTGGTAGCTGTAAATTTTGAAAGGCCTCTCATTTGCTCTCCAAAATATGTAGTAAGAAATATTGAGGGATGATATATCTAAAATGTATCAACGATGTTTCTTCTTCATCATGAATTTATTTTCCTCTTTTATGGCAAAATTAAAAAACAAAGAATTCTTGGAGTGAGGTTGAGTTTAAGTTTACTACGATACCTAAGTACCTGCACTTAGTGCTTAAATGTTTATGAGTCTTAAACTTGAAACTATCTCTCTCCTTCTCTTTTTTTCATCTGTCAAAGAATTCCCTTAATTTAAATGTGTATATTCAGGGAGAACAGGGAGGAAGGAAATGAATAACATCCATGTAGTTCAAGTTCATTTTGATCAGTTTAATTTCAAATTCTTGTCGCATTATTATTTTTTTTCTTAAGATTAGGTGTTTCATTGTTAATAAATATCATGTAACTGTGTCCATTCGCAATAAATTCTTGCATCAAGAATCTCAGTAGATTTCCATATTTTGAATGCCCCTCAGCTCAGAACAATAGAGTAATTCTCGTTCAGATTGACTTCCGTAGGTATCTTAATCCCTAGCGCCACCCTAAAGCGGTCTTCTTATCCCTAGCTTAATTACCCTGCTGTCAAAGCCAAAAAAATAGAAACTTGTCTGCAAAATCTGAGGCATGAAGCCCCTATATCTATCCTTTACAATGGCAGCTTGTTGAAGATCAAATATTTAAGTCTCCAACTGGCTGCAATTTTGAAATTTTGCAAATCATAAGAATAATTGCCAATTGTTTATGCTCTTTCAACAACTTAAGGCGTAGGTAAGGCGAATCTTCAGCTGTAGTTCCGAAAAAATCCACCATGTCGCGCTGCTAAAATCCGGCTCCAAAATCAGTGCGATTATTAGGTATTTATAAATATCACTAATCACTATAGATATATAAAGTTCTAAAACTCATAAGTTTTAGCAGCATACGTCTGGAATGCTTCGGAACAAACGCAAGCTTTGAAAGTTTAATAATAAAATAACGTTTTTTTTTTTTTCAACTTTTACAGAAATTTGGGGAATTGCCAACGTAATGTTGAACTGATTTTGACCCAACTGACTACTGAGACAATGTGGAGGCAAATTCAGGGGAAATTGGCTTATTTCGCAGGAAAATTAAGTGTCCTTGAATTGAGGCATTTGGGGGTCCGAACCCCCCCCCCCCCTTAAAATTAGTTCGAGGTGATTTCTGCAATTCTTACTTAAAAGCGGACACAATTTGGTAAATTTTCCCGTTTTATTTTTTTCTTTAGGATAATTTGAACCGGAGTTATGATTGTTTGAAAATAGGTCAAATTTGACCTTTGACCTATCATAACTCGGTCAAACATTAAGATCTTGATCTGCGGTTTGCTCCAAAATTCTTAGTTTTTTATGCTCTTTTGAATGAGGTATCACAAGATAGGGGTTGCCATTAGAAAGAAAAGTTGGGGGCCCCCCGCCCTCTCTAAGGGGGGACCAAAATTTTGAACCCCCCTAAAGATGGTCCCCTTTGAGATAGGAACATTCCCAAAGTTTCATTTTTCTATCTCGAACCGTTCTCTAGAACCGTTCGGAAGTTAAAGGGGGGAGGGGGCTGGGGCTGGACTTTTGGAACACCCTGTACGTCAATGACTGGTGTTGACGATGACGTCATAAAGCAAACCCTAACCTCTGAATTCTTTCCTCGTTTTGTTTTGAATTTTGATTGTGAAACGATACGTTCCCTTTTATGCTTTTCAAGACTCTAAAGTTGCTCCATCGGTCGTTGAATGTTTCTCTAATGTTGGCGTAGGCTGCATTAAATATTCTTGGCACTGCAGACAGCAAAAGTTTCAGGGAAGTTCTTTCCTCAATGATCTACTCCTCCGTGAAAGCTGGGTTTGTTTCGACTGCGAAAGGATTTTCTTTCCGATGTAAGTTCCTTATTAAAAGTAATGTCATTTTTGGTTCTTATCCTATTTTTGTGCTGCTTCAATGATGATGGAAATTGACTGTCTATTTACCCTCTCTTTCCAGTCCATTGTTGAGTGGTTTCAGAGCTGGCTCCAGCGGGCCGTTTATTGAAAGTTTAAAACAGCCTGATAAGACATCGAATTGCGATATGTTGCATGGTTTAGATAGGGCTATGTCTTGTCGTGTCAGGGTGACACAGCTTCAATAATCGGGCCGCAGGATGTCAGCATTGGAGCTGCATTTTGGCTGAAGTAAGCGAACGATGGGCATACTGCCAGCCTACATTGATTGATGTGTCTGAAATCAACTACCTGCCCGTTTTAAACTGAAGTTGATAATCACAATACTGTTGGATTCAAAACCATAGTATACAGAGAAGGTGTTTTCTACATTGTCAGTTCATAACTTGTGGATGAATTGATTTGCCAAGAACCAAGGCTGTCGTCGTATCATCCGCTAGCACTAAAATTGATGTAACAGACAAATTTTCCGTTGCTGACATAACTAACTACCAAACCATCCTCATTATCTCTTCTACCTCCCTCTTGGCCCCCCACCTTTGAAATTTTCAGAGCTTGCTGTTCTAACATGCTGACTAAACTTTACTTGATTCAATATCAAATCTGTCTTTTGCACAACATCCCAACTATTACGGACCATTAATTAGCTCTTCCGTGAAGAGCATTTGTTAAAAATCTCTTTGAAATGGTCAGCAGTCATGAAATTTTTAAGATTTTCACTGTTTATAAATGGCTGCTCACTATGATGCTCTGCAGTATTTTTTAGTATAATAGGTCATTTTTAGATGGCAGGTGAATCTTTTCATATGGGTGGGTGGGGAGGCAAGTATTAATAGCCTGCAATATCTTTGAAAATTGTTGATCGATGTTTTTTATCTATTCTTTGAGAAGTGATAAATGTTTCTGTGGAAATGCAAAAAGAGCCGTATGCAAAAACGACATTTTTCGCCCCCCCACTAAAACTTATTCAAACTTCGTCTATCAGTTACTAATACTGGAGCGCTTCTTTCCCCAAATTTTCAGACCCCCAAAAAATTTTGGGGGGGCGCTAGGGGGGGTGGAAGTTAAAACCTGTGACCCTCGATATCTTTCAAATGAAACAAGATATTGAGGCCCGGTTTGGACGAAAAATCGTCAAAAATTGCATACTTTAAGATTCTAAAGGTCAAAATCCCAAAATTAAATTTTTAACTTAACTTATGTGCTTTTTTTCAGTTTTTGAGGAAAAACAATTTCTTTTAAACAGATTAAACTGAAATTTCACATTTTTTGATTTGAACCAAAACCAGTTTTTTAAATTGTTCGTCTTTTTCCGCATCCAACGAGTGGTCGTATAAGCTGGGGAACCGAACGGTTCCGGAGTTATGATCGATTGAAGTTTCCGCTCAACGCGCGCCGACCGACTTTCGCGCGCAAAAAAGTCGGATTTGACTGTTATTAAATTAGATTTAATGTTCAAACTGAGCAAAATGCATTATTAGGGACTCTTGAGGGTCGCTGAGTGCAGAAAGTACAGATACTTCCAAAAAATTCACGTTTTTAAAATTACAGCTCCGGACAGGACCACTGAGCGGCCGACCGGCCGCTCAGTGGGCCTCTAAAATAGCGCTACGGAGCTGTAATTTTAAAAACGTGAATTTTTTGGAAGTATCTGTACTTTCTGCACTCAGCGACCCTCAAGAGTCCCTAATAATGCATTTTGCTCAGTTTGAACATTAAATCTAATTTAATAACAGTCAAATCCGACTTTTTTGCGCGCGAAAGTCGGTCGGCGCGCGTTGAGCGGAAACTTCAATCGATCATAACTCCGGAACCGTTCGGTTCCCCAGCTTATACGACCACTCGTTGGATGCGGAAAAAGACGAACAATTTAAAAAACTGGTTTTGGTTCAAATCAAAAAATGTGAAATTTCAGTTTAATCTGTTTAAAAGAAATTGTTTTTCCTCAAAAACTGAAAAAAAGCACATAAGTTAAGTTAAAAATTTAATTTTGGGATTTTGACCTTTAGAATCTTAAAGTACGCAATTTTAGACGATTTTTCGTCCAAACCGGGCCTCAATATCTTGTTTCGATCGAAAGATATCGAGGGTCACAGGTTTTGACTTCCACCCCCCCTAGCGCTCCCCCAAAATTTTTTGGGGGTCTGAAAATTTGGGGAAAGAAGCGCTCCAGTATTAGTAACTGATAGACGAAGTTTGAATAAGTTTTAGTGGGGGGGCGAAAAATGTCGTTTTTGCATACGGCTCTTTGGCTGGGTAGAAAAAATGTCTAGTGAAGGAAAATAACCAATATCCTGAGGTTCTGCACACTTGCTTCCTGCTAATCTTATGCGGTAGACAAAAACCACCAAACCATCAGCAGTATTAAGTTATTTTCTACTGTTACTGTGTTGTCAAGAAAATTCAAGAACCAGGAGAAATGAGACTTTATCCATTACACGTTTATTCTCAATTTTGAACCTACACAAAAACTTACCTCTTGTGTCATTTCTTTCTCATATTTATGAAATCTGAAAAGTAGTGAATTGTTGGATGGTACCAGGTTAACTAGCTTGTGCTCAACTCTTTTCGTTTTAAAGCACAAGTAAGTTAATCTGCATTATCCAATAAGTAAGTGAAGTGTCGTGATGCAGGGGACCTCATGGGGAAACCGGTGACCTGCAAGTTTTGACGTATCTACTGCAGTGGTGGGAGGCAGTGAAATGGCTTTTCATCCCCGTTTTAATCGGAATCGGTATGTCAACACTCACATGGCAAACAGTTTGTGTGGATAGTGATGTTCCTGGAATAAATCCACCACAACCATTTTCACAGTAAGTGTCAAATACTGTCTTTCTCATCGTATGTATCCATTTCCTCTCCTCTGTCCCATACTTAACCTAGGTGTATATTAGAGAAGACTTATTTTTTTTCTTTAATATTCTATTGTTCTATTTTATCAATAATCACACATTGACAGTGAAACAATAATGATGCGAATCGCAATTTGCCATGCCGCAAACTTCCTGTTATAGAGCAATTTCTCAATAGAAAAATATTGGAAGTCATTTTTTTAAAAACTTTCTGGATTTTTTTCTGTGTGATTTTCTACGAAAATGTCAAGCAATAGTGTTTGTTTGTTCTTCTTAGATAAAATGAGAGCAAAGAGTTTGAGACATTGCCAAGGGTGTCGCCATTATGCAATTTTATCAATGATATTTCCCCTTTGAAAAATGTACTTATCAAAGACTGTCCATAAAATACTTATTGCTCCAGGAGATAGGGGGAACTGAGGCTGTGTTACAGAGGAGGAAGAGAGTCTAAGGTTGCAGTTCGTAGTAAGTTTTTGGGAGTAAAAGTGAAAAATTCGTATCGAGAATTTCTTAGCAGCCAGTTTCTGCTTTTCCCCAACGCCATGTGCCAAATGCGCCCAGAATTGAACTCNGGGGGGGGGGGGGGGGGGGGGGGGGAATGACGCCCAGAAAAGTTTATGGACCCTTTAGATTTTTTTCAAACTGACTAAAAATAACTGGTAGCACCCCGATACTGGTTGGTAGGTATTGATCACACTGATTGTTTCCCAAGGCTGACCAAGGTGCAAAGAAGAGATTTGAAAAATCTTTCCTCCAATTTTTGTCTTGTTTGTATCAGGCATTAACTTCAAAATATACCTTCCTAGTAGCAACAACTGTTTAAAAAAAAGTTTTAAAAAGCTTGTAAATTTTAAAAAGACATTTTCTTCAGAAAATAGTTAAAAATTATGATGCAGGAAATCCTTTTGGGGTATTTCAAAGTTAAATTTTACCAGAGATAAAGTGTAATCAAATAATTTTAAAACTGGTAAAAAAATTGTATTTTTTTTTCACAAATCTTTCATATAATTTACTTTAAACAAATATCCAAAAATAGTTTTCTAAGTTTTTTTAAAGAGTTTTTGAAAAGTGCTTTTTTAACGGTCGTTCTTGTTGTTACCAAGTTTTAACAAAATCGTTTATACTTACACTATTATATGTAAAGCTTATACATTCCGCTAAATTGACTAATTGCTCCAATCAGTCAGTCAGTGAAAAACTTCAATTGTTGGAGTTAAATATTTTAATTTAAAACCATGCAGTTTTCCTGGAGTATTTATGTGACCTTTGATTAGTTGAGATTTCTGCCATCAAGAGGCATAGAATTGTCAAAAGCCCTCTGTCATAATAGGAAGAAGCACATCAGAATTACGGATAAACATAATGGAATTTTGGATTTGATTGTTTATTTAAAACTTTATATCCTGAAGTAAAATTATACTGTTACCGCTTTGCTTTTTACTGACTCTTTTTCAGGCAGCCTGGCCCAAAGTTTCATCTGGGATATATGTTTGCGCTCATCATTGGACCCATTGTTGCAGCCATTTTAATTTTTCTGGAATGGCCTTATGACCGCAGTCTAGCTTAATGGGTCCTTATTGGACTGACAAGCATGTATTGCTACGAAATTCATAATTATTTTTAGCCCACCTTCCATACATTAGCTTCTTGAATGTATTAGAGAACTTGCAAATGCTCCATTTAATTTTTTGTTGCAGCTAATTCTGATGAATAATTCTACCAGCTTAGTGGGATTTGTCACTATGCCTCCTCAAAGTACAAATATTTAGGTTAAGAACCTTAGTGGAGCGGTGATTTCACCAACACCCCTCCGAATCTTATATCTCATGATGATGTTCTGTAATTGTAAGGCGACCCCATTAGAGTACCTGTATAGCGAGAGTATAGACAGATGTGAAACTCCAAGAATCCATCAGTTCTTCACCGATGCCTCCGCGAATAAAGTTAGGGCCCAGAAATGCAGCCAACCTATGAATTTCAATTATCCAGAGCGATTTATTAATACAATTATTACGAACCATCGTTTATAAAGCACGTATTTGACTTAGTTTTTGCATAAATTTACTCATTTTTGCGGAAGAACGCTCATTTATTTACATCCTTAGCCATCTTGGTTAGAATTGGAATCTGCAGACTGGCAGTGAAATTTTGTGCGTTAGAAGTTGGTTAGAAGGGTGGCTGCATTTTTGGGCCCTAAGCCCTCCATGAAGCGGTCTGTCCATACTCTCGCTATACAGGTACTCTAGACCTCATAGGACGTAGCCTTTGTTGTCGATCATAATTCTTTTTTCCTTTTTTGCATTTCTTGTACCTTCGTTTTTTGAAAATTAGCATAGTAGCCAGTCGCTTGTTTCATGATCACCTTGAAATTTTGTTGCCTTTCAAGTCCTGTTGATTCTTCTTTTAACCCATACTTAATTTGTAAGTTGTAGCACTCTGTATATTGTATGATATTCTTCTGACTCTATCATGATGCATATAAATTAATTGGTTGGCATTATGAAAAAGTAGGAAAAATAATGAGACCAGAGTTAAATATCTCCTAGTTCAATCCGTATAGTTAGAGTACAGAGTGGAGTAATGGCTGGAACTGTACCTACGTTTTTTGAATTGCTTTCCTGCTTCCTTTTGTGGGAAAATTAATTTGCCCAAAGGCATTGTTCTATAAATACTTCCTCATTCACAACTGATTAATGCATTTTTTTTTTTCATTCACCAATTAATTTTTGCTAAGCAGTGATTATTCATAAAACTATTGAGTGATTCATCACCACTAATCACTAAAATAGAATCGACTCTTATAAACATGGTTTCATATCTTGGAATTAAAAAATGCTATTAGCTTTCCTCTATTGTAAAATGTACATTTGAAACATGGCAGTCATTTTTTTCAACAATTGAATTGTTAAATCAGCGATCAATTTTTCCGTGTATATCACCTGTCCTGGTAATTTTGTTCCCCTAATTTTGCCAGAACGCCAATCAATAGAAAATGAGCTGTTCTCTGCTGCAACCACAACCAGTCAGGGAGCTGCTTCCGTTTCAAAGTCATGGCACCAATCCCAGTACTTTCGGGAACCCTATGCATAATTTTTAAGAAAAGCTAGAAAAAATTCTCTTAAATCCAACTGTTACCTAATCGATAGTGTATTTTAATGTCCACATTAATCGTGTAACGGTGAGATTTGAAGATTTTACTGATTATTTTGCACTCTGAATGAAGTCGTTTTGAAATGATAATTTATGATAAAATTAATTTCCATTCATTATTCAATAGAAAACGATTATTGCCTTACACAAAATCACATGGTTAGCATACTGCATAAGAAACAAGCAAGCAACAGTACCAAGAAAGAGAAATCTTTTTTGCTAGTTTTCACTGAGTTCCTGTCAATTAAGATGAGGTGTTATCAAGCCCATGATATCAGAAATATACCACTGGTCTTAATTTCTTGTTGATTTCCTTTGTTGGGAATTCAATGTGAGTTTAAACTCATTTTTCTCCGTTTTTTTCCTTTTCTATGTTGCCATTTTTATGAAATATTTTTGATTGTTCAAGTATTTTTAAGTAGCTACTCAGAGCATTCTTATGTAAAAGACATTTATTATCAGGGACATTTGCAGCCTAATTACGTACAAAGATATTTTGCATAGACTTCTCTCATCTCTGCAAGTTCAATTTTGATGTAAAAATGAATCAATTTCTCATCTTTCAACATATTTGTTTCTTAATGAAACTTTTCATAGATAGCAATAGTAGCATCCAGTAATGTAAAAACTGTAAAGCTATTGTATAAAATCTAAACGAACTTTGTACCATATGTTTAAAAGCTACAAGAAAAAAAACATCATCATTGATTTCGTCATAATTGGTCCTGTCATGGTTTGATCTGCTTTTGTGGTGATCTGCTGTACATCTTAAACATCAGTTATCAATGTAGAGAATTTAATTTTTCTCGCTAGTAAATAATCGTAACCCCCCGTTTGTCATTTTTGTCTCACTTTTGTCAAATCTCTTTGATATATTGTCCTTTTTAAATTCAACCCGAGTTTTATCAAGGTCTGGATTTTTGTGATATTCTTTTACCCCCTCTCATTTTTCCCCATAATGTAAAAGCATTCCTTGTTCCTATTATATTGGTTTTTAAAATAGTTTTTGTGATTTACTTGTGTCTCTGTCTATCTCTGTTCCTCTTGTATTAAAATCTTCGATGCTGATTATTTCAATTTGCAAGTCACTATTCATCATTGATTTAATGGCCATTCCTTTTTTTTCTCTCCTATAATTTTCAAAAACAAACATTGTAAAAAGTAGTTAAAACAGCTGTAATCTTTGATTCTTTTTATGCCATTATGAGTCGAAAGATTTTGCGCCATTGTGTCCTTACTTTAGTTTTGTCACATTCACTCAGCTTTTTTAGTAATTTTAAAAACTTGTTCAGAACAGGTAAATAGGTGCTTCCTGTTGCTCAAAGCAACCCATTTACACAGGTCGTTTTGTACCTTAATTTGTGCAATGCTGTCATCATACTCAATTTTATTCATACATTTCATCTGAAGTTTGTTAATATCATTGTTGCACTTTGTAGTAAATGAAAGTCTTACAAGTTGCTTCTGGAACCTTCTATCTTGAAGCATCAACTAGTCAGAACCGTCTGCACGGTTATTGCACTTAAAAATTGAATATTCTCCTCTCTTTGTCTAGAATGAGAAGTTCCATTACCCTTGAAAGTCCTCATTTTCCCCCCCTTTTTTTTAAATTTCTCTTCTTGGACAAAATACTCTGAGCTATTTACCCTTTATGAAAACAAATGTTATGAATGAGCTAGCTTCATATTTTACTCACTTATTTTAAGACGTGTCCATGAGTATTTCATGTCTTGTGTTTTAACCCCTTATCTTTAGAATAACTGTTTCCAAGTGCCTTAATGTTCACCTAATTTAGCTTTAATTTAAAAGATTTGGCCATTTGTTAAATTGTTATGTTCAGGCATTCCAAATGTTGTACTTCATAAGTTTTTTAATTACGGATTGATGACGACATTGCCAGACCTACAAAGAACTGATCGTAAATGTAGACATGTGTCTATGGGCTTTAGAAGTTCAAAGTTTCAATTCGCTTGCAAAAGGATTTGATAATGGCCAATTTAATTTGACATCTTACAAAGCCTCACATAATTCCCTCATATTAATGATTAAGCTTTTTTTCTCCCAATTTTTAGTGTTTAAATGTGATTAACTCTATATGTAAATTTAGTATTATCATTTTCATTTTTCCAATTTTGTCACCTTCATCTCTCCTTGAAAACTGAAAGCACACTCTTCGTACCTCACATTCAGCCTCTACTTAATGTGAAAAAATGAATTTTCAGACATTCCATAGAAATTTTCGAGTGTTTTCACTCGTTCAATGCTGGTTTAAGATTTTCAGCTCTTATAATATGTTAAAGAAAAAAAAATGCACCTATGTCTTGAAAATCAAACACAAAGAGGCTGCAATTAAGCTCAGCAATTCATGTTTAGTAGGAGAGATGACTATAATCACAAATTTCGAACCTATATAATTACTTTATCTTTTGGAGTGGCAAAAAATTGGTTTCGCTGCAGTAACTTGAAATAAAAGGTATTTGTTAAATAACACAAGTTTTGAGTTTTTATTCAGTTCCTCGCTCTCTGATTTTTCTCAACAGCATCTTATCAAGTCAAAATGATTTTTTAGGCATATAAATCAATTAATGAGTATCTGATAATTATTCTCGGGAAACTGAAGTTTCGTTAGTTTCTATAATAGTTTTGCTTGGGGGAAGGCATTAATCCAGATAACACATCAGTTGTTTCTGAGACTACATCCTTACATAGTATGTCTCATAGTGATTCTCAATAATTTTCATGGAACACAAAGGTCATAAATAAGTAACAGTTCATATTAATAAATTAAGAGGGAGAGAGAGATAAAAAAACGGTGGCTTGCTTAAGTGAATAATTGTGTATTCCATTTAGTAATTTAAAAAAAAAAGGGGGGGGGAGAGAGAGAGAGAGAGAAAATTAATGAGGATTAATAGTACGCTTCAGGTTGTCTTCAAAATCTTGTGAATTAGAAAGTTCATCTTAGATTTCAAGAAAAATGTTAGATAGTTCTCTTTTAACAAAATGAAACCTGCGTGGAGATTTACATCGGACTTAAAATTTCTTGACTCTAGCCATCAATGTGCAATAATCCAGTACAGTGCAATGCAGTCCAGTGCGCAGGATACAAACTTTAGTCCGAAAAAATTGAAAATTGAGTCATTGAGACCAGAGCATAAAGGAAATTTTATGAAAATTTTTGGACAAAAATGCCGTATCAAACCTAAATAACAATGGTTTGAAGTTTTCAGCGGAAAAATACACATTTGAAGGAAAGATATACAAGAATCTAATCTGTTACATTCACGGCAGTAAACTGCTGGATTATAACGCAATTTTGCATTCTGTGCTTAGGGGAATCGACTGAACAGCTTACACTTTATACTGTAGAATACTGAAGATAGTTTTCCATTGAGATCTTAAAATTTAATCTCGGGATCAAATGTTTATCTAACTTGACCGAAATCGCTTTACTGAAAAATTTTGCCTCTGAAAAATAAGATTGCTTTATCTATAGACGATCACAAATCAGAAATACAACAAAAATTGAAATGATTACCCTATCAGAAATTGGAATAAATATTCAAGCTACCGTGTGCTTAACGTTTGATTGGTACCTATCAGATTCCATTAATTTGGCAGAAAAAAGGAGAATCCCAGTATTGACAGTAAACAAATTGAGAACGAAAATTTAGATGATTTTCACCTCCTCCAATTAGAATCTAACATCAGTAATGTCCAGTTGTTTCGTATTATCCCACAAAAAGTGAAGCATCTTATAAGAATTTTCTGTTTCTAAATAAATAATCTCTCAAATTTCATTTTGAACATTTTTGTTGCAGTGGCTGATGGATGTCAAACAAGTTGTTCCGATTGGAACAAAAACCTTTGAGTCTCTTTTAGATGGGCTAGCATTACTGAATTTGGACTCGTCACAACCAGAAGAAGTGAGCAGTGCAGGTAGAACATTTTCCAATACCTCTGTATTCCGTACTATGATTAATTCGAACAATCAAGGCACACAAATTTGAAAAAATTGAACACCGGAGCGCATTTTTTTGCCTTTGTATCCAAGTTTTAAGTTGACAAATAAGTTCCTGTACAAAGTCATAACATACATTGTATCTATGTAATCAAAGCTACAAAAAATACACAGGTTACAAGTAATTTTGAGCTCTAATAGTCTCAGATTTTCTCCTGCCAATGAGTCAAAGACAAGAAAAAAATATTTTGATTGTGAAATAAGGAATAACATTTTAAATTTAACTGCAAGCCTCATGGAGGAATAGAATTTCAAACCTCTCCATCTTAGTCCCAACTTGCGATTTGGTTCCTTCCTGCTGAACTTTCCGAATAATAACCATACAAGTTACTTTTTACCACAGGACCACCCCTCGTTACTTCTCCCTCACCTCCTTTTTCCCCAATAATCAGTTATATTTAGTTTTTATTCTAATTTTCTTTTAGCTGGAACCCTCAAAACTCACTCACCTCCATCAGAGGAAACTACAAAATCAAATCAGACTGGTTGCTCTGTTTGCAAATGCTCTTTCACTGATCATGATAAATTTCGGCAGCATTTTAAGGAGGATTGGCATCGTTACAATTTGAAACTAAGTTTGAAAGAAAGAGATCCAATCTCTGAAAAGGAGTTTGAAGAATTTGAAGGTATGTAATCTTACTTTACAACATTGCTGAATTATTGGATCAACTCCGGTATCGTTGAAATGAATTATGATAACATTCACTAAATACTTTAGCTGGGCACCAGATGAGCTCTTATACCCACATATTGTTCCAAATCATACTTCAGTATTTTGCTTCGGTGAAAACCCTCAACGGTATTTAAGGTCCATTCTCATTTTTATTTTGAAACTTCATGAGCCCAGTTAAAGTTAATTGTGAGCTACGAAATTGTTAGCTGTGTAAGCTAGTTGCTTTAAAAGTCATAGGTACTGACCTCAGTTAAATATCCTGAAAGAAATAGCGCAAGTCCAGGTATTCCCCCCCCCCAAAAAAAAAGAAAAACCGACCTGTTCCTCCTAATTTATCCTCTCAACATCCATCACCATACCTCCATGTCATTACATATATCAGAAAGTGATGATACTATTAAAAAGGGACACAGTTTAGCGAGGTCCTGACTCTGTTTTTCATTCCTGACCCCACATCATTCATTTTGCAATCCTAAAAAAATATTGTAAGCCTGAGCTACCTCTTAAATAGAGGAGGAGTCAATGTAAATTTTTTTTGCAGTCACAAAAAAATCTCTCTTTTTCATGATAACAACGATTGCACGAGGACAGTACTTTCTGTAAAGCAAGTACCTATGCAAAAGTATCCTTTATGGTCAGAACAGAAAGAACTTACACAATTGAAGGAAATTCCAATAAAAAAGCATCTCTCTCTCGTAACTTTGCACTTTAACTTTGTTAAAGTTATGGACTGGTTTTGATACATTTTTAGAGTTAATAGTGGTGAGATAAAAATAAAGTTCAAAATAGGTACATATAATATCCGATTTGGGCACCAGCTGGTTTTAATTAACGTAGAACCAACGAACCGCAAACAACGGGATGAAAACAAATGAGGCAAAGTTTAAGATAATGTTTTTCACTGTATTGATCCGAGATAACAAGTATACGTTGCACAAAATTTAGAAAAGAGAAGCGAATGAAAAGTTTGTCGAGTTTCCACACAATATCGAGAATTCACGCAATGATGCACTTTCCTGTTGAGCCACTTGACAAAAGGGATTTGAACAAGTCACTTGTGTCTCAAAGGTATAGGAGAACCTTTTGGTTGAAAGATATTAAGAGAGGGTCTGAGGGATGGAAAAAGACCTCCATTTGGGCGCAGCGCACGCTGATATAGACTCGCTGATGTTACGGGTGGTGAGACAACAAGTCTACACATGATTGGCTGGTTATAATCTATGAAGCTATCAGTTGCAAGTCTAGTAATTAAAATTAATGCAGATGGACTGAATTGAGTCGTGTTATCAACGAGATCAGAGACGGTCGTCTCTACACTCCACTGCTCTTAATAATCTCGACTTATCTCATCATCTTATCTCATTCTGTGAAACTCTTATAAACATTGTGTCAAATTGTGCTACAAAAACATTAGAACATGTGATTGGTGCTCAGTGTAGAAGCTCCCTGGTGCCTGTAATCGGTGTGGCACCATGGATAATCACGTGATTAGGCTTAAGCCGGGTGAGGTTATGCCGCCGCCACACCCTAGAAATGAACCTACTTTAAATCAATCTGGTAATTCTAACAATATTGACTTTAACGAAATTCTTACAGAGGCTAATGGAGCTATTACTGCCCTTATCCCTACAGACAATTTAGATAGCCCTGTTGTTCAGAAATTTCGTGAATTCAAAAACCTTACAAGTAAATTAACACTTGCACTCCAAAAGTCAATTGACGATACTAATAATTACAGACATATAAAAATTAATTAAATACTAAATAAATAAATAAATTAAATACTGAAAAATTAATACTAATTAAAAAAAAGGATGGACTGAATAATTGGAAGTAAAGAAAACTTGAGATCGAAAAATAGAGTTTTATGAATTGAAAAATGAATGTTGGGAAAAAATTGAAAAGTGTCGACAAACATATTATGTGTTTTTTGTTTTTATTTTGTCTGATGTATGTATCTAATTTTTAGATGATGTCTCTAGTATCTCTGGCTCGGAATCAGAAAGCAGTAGCGATGATGACTCCAATGCTAAGTATGAAAAACTGTCCAAGGATGCAAGAGTCTTGTTTAAAAATTCAAACAATCAGGTTTTATCACTCTACAGATGCCTGTTCTCATCAAGAAAGGTACTTATTTACACTTAGACTCAGGTATAATAGTGGCATCACACATTAAAAATGCGAGGAATGAAACAAGGTAGGATGTAATGTAATGTTTGGAAGTTTTATGCTTTCATGAGCATTTACTAACTTGAAGCAATTCAACATGATTGTCCACACTTCAAAAGTACCGATTCAAAGACTGTTAAGCTGACATCAGTTTTTCATTTTGATTTGCATTGCCATTGGAAACTAGTTATTTGATAGGTTAGCTAACTTTTTATCAGTTTTAAACATCTTTTCAAGGTAGAATTGTCCTCAGAATGTATGCGTCTTCCCCTATCTGTGCATGGTACATATTCTTAACTTGACAACTCCAAGTTGAATAAAGCTTAGTTAAGTACTAGGGGTCTATGCCCCCCTGGCCGCCACTTGGCCCAACGTCCAGAGGGCACTTCACGCTCTCTTAGGCGCGCTTTGACATAAGAACGACCAAAAAAAATTAAGATTTCCTTATCCAACTCTCATTTGTCCAATCACCTTCTGGCGGGAGCAATTGGATCATTAAGAATCGCATGAACAAATCGTAATTTATTTCAAACCTCACGCCAAGACTGGAGCGTTTCGTCGCTTTTGGATAGTCTAGTAAAGGAGTATACCTTCGATTCACTTATCTTACCCTACTAACAGACCAAGATTCAGCATTTCCTGCTTTGTTCAATTTTCCGCTAAATTTGAAACTCCTGCCATTTTTCATCAGTGGGAATTTCAAATTTTGCCCCCTTTCCTCTAGGCTCCCTGGTCTACTCTTATATAATGAAACCTGGGTACTATATCCAAAATCGGATTAGAGTGGGCTCATCTGAAGACTATCATCTGTCGATAACCGCAAAAATCATGGAAATCGGCGCAGTAGAATGCTAAAACTAACTGTGACAAAAAATAAAAATTTACATTGTTTTAGTGGGAGAATTTGCAACTTTATCATGTAATATAGAAAAACCTGGGTCATATTTTCAAAATCTGGATGTAGGGGGATCGCCTAGAGACGATTGCCTGTCAATAGCTACAAAAGTCATGAAAATCAGCCCGGCAGAATGCTGGAAATAAGCGTTACCATATATGCAAATTAAGGTCTTAGAGCTTATAGTATAGATATTATAGTGTCTCAAGCTCTGTTTAACCTCATTCACTGTCGAAAATTTTTAATCATATCAAGGAATGTATGAAACAAGCAATCTTCACTCGCTGCTTTTCTTGAAAAAGGTTCCAATTTCAAAAAAAAAATTTGTGTTTTAAGCGCCTCTATTTTAGTCAGATAGCTTGCTTTGAAGGGGTTTAAAATTATGTGATGGGTTTTCTTGAAATTGGCTTGAATGAGAAAAATTGAAGTTTGCACTATAATAGTCAATGAGTTAAGAGGCTGGTCTTTTTAGAGAGATCTAGTTTTAACTTTCCAATGGATAATTGTTCATTTTTTCTCCCTCGCGATTTTTATAAGAATTTTGTCATCCTCTATTTTATTCACCTTGCAGGAAGATGTCTCTGAGAATGAATCAGTGCTAAGAGCAAAAGCATTGGTTCAAAATCCTACTTGCTTAATCATGATGCTTGGAGGAGGGCATTTTGCAGCCGCACTTTTCAAAGGTAAATTTGAGTCTGTTTTTGATCCAATCATGTTTCAGATTTTCAAATAATAATAATAAATCAAGTTCAACAGGAAGGGGTTGAGAACTTAGACCCATTAATCGCAACACCTTTTTGTATAGGAAAAATGGACTGCATTCTGCAATTTGAACCTATAAATTCTGGCTCTTCTGGAAAAACACTTATGTGCATAGGGAAACTAATGGCACATGCGTTGTTTTTAAACCGGGCTAGAATCTATAGGTCCAAATTGCAGAATGCAGTCCTAATAATGGCATGCATTTTGGTCCTAAATCAGGCCAAAGAAGTTGTTCTATTTCTGCTGTACTTGCCAATTATTAAAAGAGATTTTTGTTTTCATTATCATTATATATTTGCCTCCATGCTTTGTAGCTCCATTGTCAAATCGTCCAAAAATTAAGAGGTAGTTCTAAATGTTGGCTCATTGCAGTGAAGAAGACTGCTGCAATTAAAAAGTCAACATTTCAATCACAGAAAATAGTCAGGAGGAATGATGCACGACTTTTGAAACAAAGAAAATAGCAGCATGACCACAGACATGTAACACAATGTGTGAGTTATAAGTCTATGGGCAAGACGCATCAGTCACTAGAACACAAGTTGGTGATCATATGATCAGCAAAGGTAATGTCATGACTCTGTATAACACGAAGTATTCTCACTCTTAACTTAATGAGGGGAATTATGCTTAAAGCAAGATTTTTCCCTGTATAATGAGAATAATTTATGTCTCGTAGAATCATGACTTTACCTTGGCTGATGGTATGATCACAAACTTGTCTCTTTTGAAACATCTTGTACAGTATATTAGTAATACTACTAGCTTAGAATATGATGATTGGATCAGCTTTCACATATGCATACTTTTTTATTGTCTGAATGTTATTTTTCAAACATTGAGAATAATTTTGTATGTTTCAGATGGCGAGCCTATTCTTCATAAAACATTTCATTCCTACACTGTTCGTCAAAAGCAAGGCAGCTCCCAGAGCTCGAATGACAATAAAGGATCCTTTGCTAAAAGCGCTGGTGCCAGTCTGAGACGTTATAATGAAACTATACTTGCTCAGGTTTGTGTTAATTTGATAATCTTTTTCAGGCCTTAATTTTTCTTCTTTTCAAGCTTCAATTCATGAGTTTTAATTTTTCACCTTTAATACATTAATATCCTCATGTTATATGTAATTTTTTTTCAATGGGCCTGTTGCAAACTTTTGCCAGAGCAAAAATAAGAGTTCTTTCTCATAGATAATGTCTCAAAAATCGCGATGAGCGCATCGGCAAAGTCTGAAATCTACTCGACATAACTTCACAATCTGCGTAAGAAATTTGTGTCTTTTTGAGCTTCCCGCTTCAAAAACGATACCATGGCACAGGTGAACATTTTGCTAGAGGAGTCGTTCCATTGTCGGCAATATTCATCATGGCCGACGCTTCCGCAGTTCCGCGTGTAATTCAAGGAGAACTCAAGGTCAATCAAGGCGGGCGAGGAAAATATGAACTATGTTATCTCGTCCTGTCTCACGTGTTTTGGCGGATTGGCGTCGGCCATGATGAATATTGCCAACGATGGAACGACTCCTCTAACAAGATGTTCACCTGTGCCGTAGTATCGTTTTTGCAGCTGGAAGGTAAAAAAACTGCAAATTTCTTACGCAGATTGTGAAGTAATGAGTGCATTTCAGACTTTGCCGATGCACTCATCGTGATTTTTGAGACATTATTTATAAAAAATAACTCATTTTTGCTCTAGCAAAAGTTTGCAACAGGCCCATTCTGCTCAAAGATCTTGTATTGTTACTAAGAATTTTAATGACGAATGAAAAAACGTTCTGTGTCATACCTGTTTCGTTTTTAAATCATTCTGTTCCAGCTGGCAAGAAGCCAACAAATTTTCTTGTTATTTTTTACAATCTATTTTAATTAATTAGCTTTTGAGCATTTCTTCATATCAAAGTTTGGAGGTTTGGGCAGTTTTCTTTTATTTTCCTCGAAACAAGAAAAAAGCAGATGCAGTATACCTCGGATTATCTGAATCCTGGTTTATTCAAACTCCGGATTAACCGAACGATTTTTGGGAGGACAATTTTTTTTAATGCATTTTTTGCACTTTCTCAGAACAAGACCATTTTCATAACCCCTTTCAACCCACCACATGCTTGTTTGTTTTCCAAACACAGATGTACTCGGATTTCCTGACCTTTGTACCTTTGAATGAATTAGATCGGACTACGCATCTTGCATTCATACATTTCCTAATCAGTCTGTTTTCAATATCAGTGGTGGCAGTCACACTTATGTTGCATAAAATTAAGGAATACTAATGGCCCCTGGATTATCCAAAATTTTTCGTTATCCGAACCGGCGGACCACCACATTAGTTCGGATAATCCAAGGTTTAGTGTAGTGTCAATTCATTACCATTGTAAGATTGTTCATGTTACAATGTATGTTCGTATATTTTCAACAAAATCATGGGGCTTAGAATGTAAGTTTGTTTATTTCTATTGAGTTCACAGGGTCTTTTTTTGTTATTTTATTTCTACATTTTTAATATTCAATTTACAGCATATTCAAGAAATAACTGCAGCTTGGGCCAAAGAAATTGATTCCTGTGATTTTATATTTTATCGGGCTGTTGGACCTGGTAATAAGAAGGCATTTTTTGGTGGGAAAAACCCTCCTCTTGATAAAGCAGACCCTCGTTTACGTACAATTCCATTCAACACTAAAAGGGCAACCTTCAATGAAGTAAAGAGAGTCTACAACTGTTTGAAATCAGTCTTGGTCTATGGTAAGCTGCATTCTATTGATATTACTATACTACTGAGCTACACCCCTTGTCTGCTCCGTGGCCCAACCTCCAGAGGACTCTCCGCGCTCCCTAAGGCCTGCTTTGCAAATCTGTGTTAGTTAATCTAAATAGAACGGGCTCATTTAAGGACTATCTCCTATCAATAGCTGCAAAAATCATGAAATTCGGCCTGGTAGATCATTAGAACAAAATGTAACAAAAAATGAACTTCTTAATTGTTTCAGTAGGATAAATCACACATTAATTACATAATATAAAATGTACAAAAACCTGGATCACATTTCTAGAATTGAATAAAGTGGGTTCATTCTCTAAAATATCACCTGTCGATAGAGACCAAAATCTTGAAATTCGGTAAAATCGAATGGTAGAACGAATTGTTACAAAAAATACATAATTAGGGGCCCAGAGAGCTGCACAGGACTGCACATATTGCACTGAACAGGTCATTGTTGGGTCGCATATCCCAGAATTGTGTTCTGAAGATTGACTCTTATGGGAGATCAGTGAGAAACAATGAAATTTTTCAAAACATTACGCTCAATTGACACCTTACAATATCATCTTTTGAAAGAAAAAATGGATGATGTTATCAAGCAGTGCCCACTGCGTCACCATACACTATGGCTTTATCAACATGTAACTATAAAAATTTGTTCCTGTTTTTTCTTATGTAATAATGAAATATCCAGGCTTGAAAACCCTTCCGTCCACTAACACAGTTCATGTCATCCAGAGTGTCCCTCAAAAGGCCACTTAGAAATATTCTTATCATTTGCTCCTTTACAAAGTTCAATAAAATGAGGGGGGGAGGCCAAACTGATTAACTGTCCAAAATAACTTTGCATCTGTGTTTAAAGTTGGATCAAAGCAGCTGCCATATTGTCACAATGGATAATCCTAAATACATATTATTGAAAAGGAAAGACCATATTATTGTGGCCTGGTTTTTTTTTTTTTTTTTCATGGAGCATCAACTTCAATTCATAATAGGGTTAAAATTAATATGTATAAAAGCCCCAATCATTAGACGTCAAAAATAATTGTGACAAAAAAAAGGGAGGTATCAAGGATTTTTTGGCTGGAAAAAAATGTGATTGCTCATAAATAATGCACTTAACTTACGATTTTTCATGAATCATATTCTAGCTTAAAATATTGAAACTTGCAACTTCAAATTTAGCGAATAAGAGTCGTATTCATAGTCATTCCTTAAACCCAAAGGCCTCCTTAACCAATGTGATTCTCATGGCTGACACCATACATATTTTTAGCGGTATCTTTTTCTCTTAAGGAAGCAATAATGTCTAAGGAACAACTATGATTATGACCCTTCCTGGTACTTGCAATTTCATGAATCTATCAAGTATGTAATTAAAATTATTCTTCATGTATGCTGTAAAAATTATGTATGAAATATTGTCATGCGTAAGTTTGTAACTTATTTTAATCTTATTTTGTAACTTTGTATTAAATTGATCCTATCGTTGATCATAAAATTGTATAAATACCAATGCCTTATATCATTTGACAACTGCAAAAAAAATCAAACTCTAGAAAATGGTGCAATACATCTAAAAATTGTTGACTTACAAGAATTTTATTAAGTTTTGTCTTTGTTTGTTTGTTTTTTTTTTTTCGTTTATAATCCTTGTTTTAAACCAGTTATTTTTTTCCAAATTATTTTCACAGATTTGGATGAAGTTTTGTCAGTTGTCTCAAAACCACCAAATATCTCTGAATCAATGGAACAGAAACAACAGAAACAGGAAGAAAATTGTGTACCCAACGTAGATGAAGTAAAAGAAACTCCAATTGCAATAGAGAAAGAGTCTAGTAGTTTGATGTTTTTTGGAAACAATTGTGGTAAGTGAAATATACCATAGTATCAAGCCATCTCTTGTGAAATATATAATTTGAGTCAGCAGGACTGTCTATTAGAATAGTTTGAGCTAGATTTAAAAACTAGATAATCCACTCAAAAAAAGCCTCTGCTTTTTTTGATATGAGCAACTCCAGCTTGAAAGCTATAAATTGTCAAAAATTGTGCCTTTGATTATTTTGTGCACATTTACTGCTTCTACTGTATACATAAATGATTGGATTATCCTCTTAAGTCTAGCTGTTAGCAAAGGTTAAGACAGAAAAGGTATTGCTTGGAACTGCATAATAGGTATTCTGATCATGAGCAGAGCTCGATTTTGGGAATGAATAAGAGGTTAAAATAGTTCACTAGGGGGCAAACGGTAATTTGACCGTGTTTAGGAGAAAGGAACCAAGCCACATCAGCTAATGCCAAATTTAACTGGGCAGTTTAATTTTTTACAAGAGAACGTCTGTGCAGATTCTTTGGAAATTTCAAGAAATTTGCTTTGTACTGTGCAGAAAATTCATTGAAATTTGCACAAAAATCCTCACGAATGTTTTCATGCAAAAAATTAAACTGCCCAATTAAATCTGGGGATAGCATATGTGGTTTAGTTCTTTTCTGCTTAACACGGTCCAATTATGCGCAATCAGGGATCACAGTTGTCAGTAAAATGCGGACGTTAATTACAGTAGACTGAGGGCAACACATGTGATAGATGAATGCTGTGATCTGTTTCCTGAATTGTAGACAAGATAATCCTATTGTGTATACTATTCTGTTTGAATCGCTTTTAAAGTACAGTTGCTGTATGTATATGTTCTCAAAATATTTTCAGAATACTCGGTCAACAATACATCAATGACTCAAAATATATTCAGCTTTTCAGTAACACCACTGTTTTAACATATTGCATTCTGCCTTATACTTATTTTACTTTCATAAATAATTAAATGGATGCAAAATGCACTTAAAATTTTTTACAAACACCAGTGATGGAACTTGATTGTGGAAACTTAAGTGTATCGCAAGCATGAAGATAGACTTGCTAATTTGTTTAGACCATTATACAATTTTTAATTTGTATTCCCTTTGCCCTGTCAGATTCTTTCCATTATATCAAAGTTTTCCAAGAAGAAATCTGAACAACTTTGAGGGGAAGAGTTCTGTACATATTTTCAGAGTAAACTACAGCATTGCAATTCTTTTATATGAATGAGAAGTGCAGCTTAAATACATACTGCTGTCTTCTGTCTGACAATAATAGCTAACATTTCAATTAAATCATTTTCAAATGGTTTTAAATTACCTGCTGATACATAAATTTCTGGCTTCTAGTTTTGGCTGAGACGGCTCCATTAAGTGAAAATATACCTGTACGGAGAAATTTCTTCGATGAAATTAACAGCTCATCATCTGAAGAAGAACAGCCTGAAGAAGATAATGCTGCAGAGAATGAAGCACCGGATGATTCAGGCCATGAAGCTCCCAATGTCGTATTAGTAGGACGGAAGAAGAAGAAGAGGAAAAGAGGGAAGCAGAAAATGCTCGGTGAGCAGTTTTTTCATGGGTAGTTTTTAGTAAGAGGGAATCAAATTACATGGATTTAGAACCGAGTGAAGTTTCATTACTCTGTAAAGCTTAGTGTCTTTTTGTGCACTAAATATTTTTTACAGGAAAAAGTTTACCACTAGACGAAATATGAATTTAAACACTCTGATTTATGTTTCCTCTTCAAAATTTCATGTAGAACATGATTCAGGAAAAAAAGCCTTCCGAAAGTGAATCCTAACCAATATATTAACGTTTTTATTTATTAGTTACAATAAATTTGAATTTCCGGCCAACAAGAAAAAGTAGAGTCTAGGTGAATAAAATCATGTACAACAGTTTTAGCAAGCTAAAGGAAAATTGACATTCGGTTGGATTTTTGTTCAACAGACAACAATCAAGGGGCAAGTGTACCTGAAACTCGATGCGTGTCTACATATTATATCAAAATTGTACGTACAGAGCCTTCAGAAATATTACACTGTTCAGCAAGCTCGAAACGACCATTTTTGAACACTTTTGCCCGCATTTTATCCACGTGACAAATGTCAGTTGCCGTTAGATGGTCGATTCCCATGCTCCTCATCTTCGACGAACTTCTGACCAGTTTTGAATCGTTTAACCCACTCAAAACAGTGAGAACAACTCATAAAATGATCTTGTTAAACTTTACTTAGCATACCAAAAGTTTCGGTACAAGGTATACCGAGTTTAAAACAATATTTAGTGTTAAATCTTTGCTCTATCAGTGATCGCATGATGAAAATTGCAGAACGCACCTGACTTACTCATTTTAAAGTTGACACAGAATAAACACTGATCAAAATAAACAAAATCTGAGAATCTAGCGTTCTTCAGTATGTTATCAGCTATCAGTAAAGTCCAAGGAAACCTGATTCGGATGCACACTGGGCCAGTTATCACCAAAATCCGGTTTCTAATCTAACAGACCTCGTATCCCTTGAGCAAATCATGCTCAACGTTAAATTTTAATGAGAAAATATTAATTATATTGCTTAAATTTGCACCTTGTCTAGTGGTCCATAACCAGTGCAGTTGACTCTTTGGATATGCAGGTAGGGGTGCTCCAATTGCTTTTTGGTAAGATTTAAAAACAGTTCCATTAAAAAGCATTATCGATGAGAAAACTCTTACTAGTAGTTGTCGGAGTTTTCGGAGCTGGATAAAATAAGCTGTTGCCATGTATGTCAGTTTTTTTTGGCCAGGTAACTCAACAGACAGGCAAACGAGGTAACAATGCTTTAACTTGGAGCTCACACAGTGCCAAAAGCACCAGCCGTTTATGAAAAGAGCAGCTTTATTGGAGCATAGTAGCATGTTAATCAAGGTGTATTGTGTATATAATGAAGTAGCTGTAAGTCTACAACCACAAGTATCATAAAAAAAAACATGCAACAGTTTGCAAAAGACATAGATGTCAATATCAACATGTCAAAGATGTTAATTCAAAGCTCTGCTTAATAATGATGCACCTAATAAGTTCTTCTTTTTTTCCTTTCACTGTAATGTAGAATCTGTACTGTAATGCGTTTTTCAGATGAATCGACACCTCCAGGTGTGTATCTAAATCGTATCTTTCTGTCTGCTTTGGAGCAAGAAGATCATGTCATCTTGGAACAAGCGATAGCTGAAAATGCAGTCAATAAATATTTGCGGAAAGGCCTTAACAGCTATATTGACGCAGAAAAAAATACCCTGCTTCATTTTGCTTCCAAAAAAGGATATTTTCATCATGTTTGGTACTACCCAAATTTTAGCTCTAATTTTAGTATTTACAATCATGCCCACTAGAGGTGTCGTCAGCTAAGTTGGCACCTGTTTACATTCCGCTCGCAAGCGACCGCGATGCAGTTGTCCAATGGTGATTCAGGATTAACTAATGCTCGTGATTGGGTTGCAGTCAGTTCTCGATTGCTATTGGACAATCGCATCGTAATCGCTTGCAAGCGAAAAGTAAACAAGTACCAACTTAGCCGAAGACACCTCTATCTATCTTCTAGTTCTCTTGGTAGATTACCTTCATCCTTATCATTGAATATTAAAATATGTTGGACTGAATAGCATTGTGTATTGAAAATATTAGGATGAGAGCCAATACACTGTGATAATACATAATTTGAAAATTTATTACTCACATTGGGTTATACTAAATGCTGCTGCCTTTCGGTTACATAGAAACATCATCAAGGCAAATAGACAAATACAGCAATAATTTAGGAGGCAATTTCAACTAAAAACGCATAAATAACATGGGAGTTAGTGTAAAATATGCTATTTGGTCGGAGAGGTCCTCATATCCTTATTCTTCTTTGCTGACGAAAGGGGGAAGAAGACTCAGTGAACATAACTTCTCTGCAAATCAAATGGGCTCAATATTTCCAATTAATTTGCAGGCATTAGTGTGCTCCTTTCCCAACGCTACCTTACGGAGATTCTCACTGAAATGCTACACTGTGAAACAAACAGATGTATATAAATGTATTTACAAATGCTATTCCTATGCCTATTTTCTATAAAATACAGCATGTCCCGGTAAAAACTAATTTGATCCTCGTATTCTGAATTTCTGTCTCTTTTCCTCAGGGTTTTATTAGAGGCTGGCGCTAGTCCTTGCTACAAGAATAAAGCTGCACGCACTGCATATGATGTTTCCCTGAATAAAGATACCCGAGACACTTTCCGGCGATTTTACGCAGAATTTCCTGAAAAATTTGATTATACAAATGTAAGTACTCCTTTCTTCATATGATCAAAGTAGTTTTACTAAGTTGTGTTTATGGCCATCTAAATTGGAATAACATTATGATGAAAGAAAAACTAAATTGTTATGGCAGTCACATCAGATAGTTCCACAGATTATCGTAAAGAAAAGCTCTTTACATACACATGTTTCAGTCACGGTCAATCATTCCTTTTTAAGTATAAGAATGACAAGCTATCCTCATATTTTTATTTCTACTAGCTTCAACTAATTAAAATAGTATATATTTATTTATTAATTTATTTATTTACACTTTTTATGGATAAACTCTGTTTTCAAAAGCAAAACAGACTAAAATAACAAGATGAGCATGTGGAGACAGACTCTCAACTGTTCTACAAATTAAAACTATGCAGTTTGCACCCTTCAAGCAATTTTGTATAAAAGCTGTCCTAAAAAAGGAGAGTTAGCATTTTTCAAAGATATGATCAAATGTATTGAGGTGTGGTTTGGGGTTTGTACATTAGATTAGTAGCTTTCTGAAGAGCCCTTGTTAAGCTGATTTTGTCAGAAATTTGCCTCTTTGTGGATGTCTCGACAATGCACAAGAAAAAACCCGCCATGATTCTCTGGTGGCTTTCAAGTTTCCAAATAAAGTCTGTCAGCCTCTTGTTGTGTAGTGGTTGGTGTGCTTGTCATATGAATAAGGGGTCCTGGATTCAATTTCTGATGCAGCAACCTGAGATTGATGATCTCAAACAAGGTTCACTTGCAGGTGGATGTTAAATAGAGGATTGGGGGATCAATTGTAGAATCAGCCCCTCAGGGCTACTTGAAATTGGTAAAAGAAAAAAAAAACTAAGAACACTGCAACAATACGAATAAAATTCTCAACTATTTGTATTTTTGGTCTGATCTCTCTTATCTCAAAACAGATTAACTCATAGTTTTTTGGGGGGATAAGATTAACAATATTTATTTTGCTAGGAGTCTATTTTTCAGTAATTCAGAGATATGAATATCTAAACTGTAACTTTAGATTTAATGATAGTGTATTTGAAAATTATTTTTTTATTTTGACCGGATTTCACAGGTTACATGTAGCGATTGGACTGAAGTATTTTATATTATCCGGGTGTTAGTATTTGATATTTTGCTGTCTAGTTCAAAGGTTTGATTAAAACGGGAAAAAACATGTTTTCTTTGTTTCAGTCTCACATCCCTAAGCCATTAACTGAGGAATTAGTAAAAGCTCAAAATGAAAAAAAGAGAGAGAAAAATCGCAAAATGAAGCAAAAAATAAAGGAAAAGAGAGAGAAAGAGAAGGAGGAAGAGGATAGGCTCAGATTTCTTCAACTTAGTGACCGCGAGAAGGTATTCTTCATTTTAACCCTTTTTTCTTATTTATTATCACATTAAATTCCTGTTCCTGTAAAGATCCAGTTCCTATGTGGAAAATGTTGGAATGCAACACCTTCAATGAAGGTGTGTTTTAACAGTCTGGATGATTTTGTCAAAAGAATGCAAGATCAGATCTGCAGTTTGGCCCTAGATGTTCTTTTTTGCAAATATTTGGAGAGAATTTAATCCTACTATTAAAATATGTTATTTTATACTTAACATTTTCATTTAAATATTTCGTAAACGCAGCCAAGTTTTTTCCACATTAGGTATTCACAGTGGGAACCATTGGCAGGGGTGCTTTGTAAGAATATACAAGTATACCTCTAATTAATTTTGAAAAATCGGCAACATTTATTGGTGTAAGACAAAAAAATAGCGCAACTAAACGAAAAAGCTGCATGCTACCAAGAGCAGCCCTCATCATCTTCAAAATTAAGTAGTTACTAAACATTTAAGAAGACAAGAGTCAACTGGTCTTTCATAAGTTTAGTTTGATTCACTATGAGGTGTATACAAACTGTATAAACTTTCTTTTTTAACCCTAGTCTGCCAAACATGGGTCATTTTTGACCCGGCGCTTCGTAAAAGAACGCCCAATTTTCACCCACTGCCCCTGGAAACTTTACCCTCACAAATTGCTCTACAAAAACATTGAATTACATGAATTTAAAAGAAAAACCACTGGGAAAAAAAAATTCGAATAACTAGAGCTTTTTTTTCACGACTACTGCGAGAACGACAATACCGGGTCAGTTTTGACCCGTCTCCCATTTCCTGCAGAATTTTCGGTCTTTTTATTTCAACGACTCATGATGATGCTGCAATCATCCCTGAGGTAAAATCGAAGCCAGAGATCATCTTATATACTACAAGAAAACTAAAACAGGGATTGATACGATGGCTTAAATGGTCAGGTGCTGTATGGGCAGACGACCGACGCAACGGTGGCCATTTGCGTTTATCATGAATATGTTGAATGTTGGCCAATCTAAACTTTGGAAGAAAAAGAAAATATTAGGCCTCTAAGTCTAATTTTAGGTTTCCCTGATGTAAAATATCATTTAAAATATGTGCACGCATTAAAAAAAAAAAAACTAATAAAAAAGAAGATCCTGTGTATTTTAAATATGGTCTAAACTGACCCAGTATTGGCAAACTAGTGGAAAAAACTTGTTTGGCAGACTAGGGTTAAAACATGTGGAGTATTCTTTTTTCTTCTTCTCCTTTTTTTCTCTTTTTTTTTGGATGGCTGAGTGCTCCTATATCAGGCATTATGATGCTGCTTTGTGTTGGAGTGAAATTAAGATTATACCTCTGGTTATTATGACGAGTGTGACAGGTGACTGATGTCATATAGTCCCAAGTGTAGCGACCAACCAGTTAACTTGAATTTACAAAGTTCAGTATAATACCTGAGCCACCTGAGCTGATTTCTTATTAGTTCTAAACTGTTTTTTCTCACCTTATCCTCAGTTTTCCCCATAACTTTAATTTCTGTCTTTAAAGTCACCTTTTGTCTTGCCCATTGTTTTTTCAGAGAGCCCTTGCTGCAGAAAGGAGAATCTTAGCGCAGCAAGAAGAATCAAAGACAACTGCTGCATTACCAATCATTATCACGCGGTGCTTCCTTTGTGGTTGTGACATGACTGGCAAAATCCCATTTGAGTATGATTTTTATAAATTCTGTTCCATGTCCTGTGTCAAAGTTCATCGAAGCAAAAAACCAGAAGGCTCATGACATTAATACATAGACTAATTGCATCTGCTCAGAGATTGCTACTTTATTTTTGTTGTCTGTTTTGGATAAAAATGTTTGAAGTCTTTCAACCAAGATGAATAAGTCATAGTTAGTAAAATGTATAAAAATTATATTAAGTAAATAACAGGGGATATTTTATTTATGTGTAAGAAGAAGACTAGCGTTCAATGGTATTTATGATTTTTGTGAACATCTTGAGAAGATAGTGTATAGCACTCAGTATGATTTGCACCCATTTCATTGATGTTGTGTAAGTTTTTACCACAATTCAAGGAAAGATGTAGAGATGATCCTTTAATGTATGCTCAATGTTGATTTTATTTTACCAAATCCTACAACTCACCAAATTGCATCGGCAGTCAACAATCAGATCATTTTTGAAATTTATGACTTTTCAAGAATACAAATCAATGAACTTTTGATTTAATAGATCAATAGCTCCAAAAACTTTCATTTTTTTTTCCAGAATATTTTTCTTTGAACAAATTCATATCATGGTACTTTTTTTGTACCTTATACATACTTCATTCTTGAACATCTCTATCACAGGTTGTCAAGATATTGATTGAAGTATTTTTTGTCAATCAAATCAAAGGCTGCAAGTATATGTTTTCAAAAGGCCCATTTAATAGAAAAGAGATTACTCACAACTGAACCAGTGATTTTTCACAGTCAAGTAATTAACCCTCTCAGTCTTGTCAGTAAGAATAACAATGTAAGTACAATCATTATACTAAAGCCTAATGGAAAATTTAAAAACTAATATTTGGTTTTAAATGATTTCAAATAGTCTCAAATTTCAAAAAATCATCATTCAAATCGGTTTTTGAGCAAAACTGTTAAGGAGGTCTTGGAGCTTTTATGTATGATTATTGCGATGAAAAAATAGTGCTTGCCTCATTTTGTAAAAATATATTTTTTAGTCATTACCGTCACTTTTAAAGCCTCACTGTGCTTGAAAACCCGAGCTCTGCTCATGCCAGCCACGGGTTTTGAGATAAAGAAGAAAAATTACCAAGGAAAAACCTTTTCGGCTTCTGCTGGACTGCGTTAAACAGAAGGGAACCAAGCCACATCAGCAGCTTTATTGCCAAAAATTGGGCAATTCAAATTTTTTACACGATAACGGTTAGGCGGATTTTTGTACAAATTTCAGTGAATTTCCTGCGTTGTACGCGGCAAACTCCTCAAAATTTTCTGAGGAATCCGCACAAATGTTCTTATGGAAAAAATTAAATTACCCAGCTAAGTCAGGTAATAGCTGATGTGGCTTGGTTCCTTTCTGCTAAATGCGGTCCAGTTGTAAATGAGACATGTTTTCGGTGTTTTCGCTACTTTCAGAGCTCTCCCGAACGCCCCCAGCTCCGCGGTTGGGCGATTTTGGGGGTCAAGGTCGATTTCAAAAAATTGAATCAAAATTCAGAGTATTTAAGGAGAAAGTCATTATAAATATTGTTCGGCGGGAAATTTTTCTTTGAAACATCGTTTTGTCATTCAATTAAAATTATTTGCTTAATAACTGTTAAGGAGCGATTTCGACGATTTCGCCGGTCGCGAAGAGGCCTTTGGGGTCGCGCGGCGCACAGTGGGTCGAGTCAATTGGAGAGGTCGGACATGAAATTTTTGACTAAAACCGCAAATTTCGGTGTTCATTTCGTCTTATTTTACATTTCATGGGGTTCTTCAAGTAGAAAATTTAGCGAGGAAACCAATGGAACCACTTTAAGAACCTCTAAATTGTGTATTAACGGAGTTATAAGCGTTTAAAGTTTCCAAATTTTGTCCGACCTCTCCTATTGACTCGATCCGCTGTGCGGCGCCCCGGGGGTTGGGCCGCGTAGCGGCCAGGGGGCAGACCCCCTAGTTCTTCAATAAGTTTAATCACCCTGTACGGAGATATTTAAATGTTAGAAAAAAACAGCATTGCCAAGTCTCAGGGATCGCCACTGGAGACTGGAGTGGACACGATCCGTAGTCGGCGGTTTCGGGACTCGGCTTCGCTTCGGTGAGCGGTGCCCACCCGCCGAAAAAGGGCATCCGTCGGCGTCGCGTCGCTCCGTCAGTTTCACCGTTCAACGCAAAAATTGCCCCGCGAGTTCGGGTTCCGGTCACCGTTAAATTGCCGCGGCGCTAATTCGCTCGCGTGAGAAGCTCCTGCTCCTCCACCGTCAACGCCCCCCGCCCCCGCCCCCTTCGACGTCGTCAGCATCCGTCGTGCTCTGCAAAAACGTCCGAACGTTGTCAATTGTAGAGTATACCTGTACTACTGGCCGCTACGCGGCCCAACCCCCTGAAGGCGCTTCGCGGCCCTATTTTTACCCTCCTATCAGTGTTAGTTTTATTTTTCCCCTAAAAAATTACGATATGAGGTGTACTTTAATTTTAAACTTTACTTAAAATTAAGAGGACGCATTTTGGAATGACTGATTGATGAAATATTGCAGTAAAACAATGAACAATGATAGTCAGGTATCAATTAAGATATCATGAGTCGGGGATCGATCCCACAGTGAGTCCTTGGTGAACGCACTCGACGTCTTAGACGACTTGGCCATCGCTCTACATGAGGACCGGGGCGCGAATCTTGTGGAAATAAGTGTAGAGCTGATGCGCAGGCTACACAGCTACTGCGCAACCTCCTTGACCACTGCGCATCCTCCCGCGCATAGCGGTAGCAGCACCGGAGCATTCTGTAAACTCACTCACTTTTATAACGTGATTTTAAAAAAACCTGGGTCCTTTTTCCAAAATCTGATTAGAGCGGGCTCATCTAGGGCCTATTACCTGTCGATTTACGCAAAAATCATGGAAATCGGCCCAGTAGAACGCTCAAACGAACTATGACAAAAAGTATAAATTTACATTGTTTAAATGGGAGAATTCGCAAATTTACCACGTAATACAAAAAAACCTGGTTCATATTTTGAAAATCTGAAAAGAGTTGGCTAATCTAGAGACAATTGCCCGTCGATAGCCGCAAAAATCATGAAAATCGGCCCGGTAGAACGCTGGAACTAAGCGTTACCAGTTACGCAAAATTAGGAGGTCTCGGAGCTTATAGTATAGATACGGGAGAGTGTTGCCATCTCTGTGCCGCTCTCTGATTGGTTCATCAGTTTTAGGCACTAGTATCAGCACTTTTAATTAGTCGAGTTAGGAGAGAAACCAAACACGCAATTTGGCATGGAGGGGTGCGGCGCAGAGAGCAATAATGACGAGGACTTGATATGAAAAGGAGAAGCCCTCAGCGCGGCGCGGCGGTCGGAATGTAACACGTATTAGCACCTACGAGACTGCATGAATACTTCACGCATTGCATTAAACACAGTGCGGTCAGTAGCAGCCGACGACGTGAAACGCATAGCGCCTACAAGACTGCATGAATACTTCACGCATTACGTCAAAAACAGTGCGGTCAGCGTGAAACGCATGGCGCCTACTAGACTTCGTGAATACTTCACGCATTGCGTCAAACACAGTGCGGTCAGTGCGGCGGCGGAAGTTCAAATTATTAAACCACATTTATGTTTGTTCTTGCATAATGTTTACGTTCATAAATTACAAATGGAAGGCTTTGTTCGTTCAGAGGTAGGCTTAAGGAGCTTAACTTTCGCGCAAAGTTCCGTAAACTTTTGATAGGAGTGTTGACAGGGCTTTCGCAAAAAATGTGTCCAACACGAGTGAACGAGTCTTATGCACCCCTCCCCTCCGGTACATCCCCGCGGAAGAATAATCGCGGCAAAATCCCCGCGGATCCAAATTGTGCCATTCTTAGGGTAGCTCTTTCTTTTGGTAAAACTCGAATTTCCCAGTGAATTTATGAATGTTTCTCGTTCAGGCTTTTACATAATTTTTTTCTGCAACTTTACAAAAATTTCTTGAAAATTTCAAAGAAAAATGTTCAAATTTTTCTTCAAAAATAATAATTTTACCGGGGGAAATCTGACAGCTCTCGAATGTTCATACGGCGTTATTCCTTAGCACGGCAGTAAAAGAGAAAGGGCTCTTTTCACGGAGAAAATGGACTCAAGGTTTGAAATCTGAGGACTGAGGTAAAATTGTTCATCTAACGCACTAGCGGGAAAATTGTTGGAATTGAGTAGGTATACCTTTGTGCAAGAAAGCCCTTAGCCCGAAAATCGCCATTCAGGGGTACGCAGCTTTCAAAGTTTTGGTTTTGTTTTCCATATATGTAAATTATGAACATATATACTTATGTCATCAAATAAAAGTTATTGTAATTCTTACGATAGAATTTGTTATTTTAAGGGCATATCTTAAAAATAAGGAAAATACGAAAGCTCCCAGCTGAGGGCCTTCATGCATGGAAAACATACTCAGTGTGAGAATGATTTTTCAAAACTCTATTCTAAGAAAAAAAAAAACTCCGCATCAGATTTGAAAATTACATTTAATTTTATTAATATGACAGATCATCGATTGGAAGATTATCTAAACTTGTTCACAAACTGAGAGCGACAAAAAAAGTAATATTAAACGTTTTATGAGCCTCTAGGCTCTTAGGAAGTAGGGAGATGCCAAGTAGCATTCTAGTGCAGGGATCATATCGGATGGGTCCAGTGACGTGGCGTGAATTGCGATATATCGATTGCTGTGCCACTTAAACCTATGAAAAAAGATCGATAAACAGGGTGTTCGCAGCGAACACCTTAGTAATCGATTCTTTAGCATAGCTTCAAATGGCGAGATATCGATAATCGATTATTCACGCCACGCCACTGGATGGGTCTTAAGCAGTGACGAGGCGTGAATGATTGATTTCCGATATTTCCCCGCATAAAGCTATGGTAAAGAATCGAATAATATGGTGTCCTTAACGAACACCCTGTTTATCGATCCTTTAACATAGGTTTAAATCGATGTATCGGAAAGCACGCCACGCCATTGGTATTAACGATGATCTCGTCCTTGAGAGTAAGGATCTTAGTGCTAAAAAAGTTAAACCTAAAATATATTTTGTACAACTACTGACTTAGAAGGGATTTTAACGATCAGTTCTGCACAACAAATATCAGCACTTATAAATGGGCTTATTCTTTAATTCAGTTTTTTTAAACGGCACTCCAGTAGAATAAAACGTACCGGGGCTTCCAATGCTAATATCTCAGTCAACATAAGGAACAGATTCAATGATGTTGATAATAACGCTTTGATACAACTATTCGTACTCTATGGACGCGCCTGTTGCATATGAAAAAATAGAAGGCGCTCTGGTCACCCTAGTCCACGAAGCAGTGCACGCAGCAATGTGTGGCGAGCCGGTACGAATATGTGGCAAGATTAAAGTCTCGGATGAAAACTAAGGGAACAGAAAAGGAGAGGATATTTCCGTACCATTTTCACATATCAGGACGTTATATCTCACCGCCACACCTAGTCGTGATAGTGTGTCGCGCTGGGAGCACTATACTTCTTGGGCTTAAAGTCACCGAAGCGCCTTCAATTTTTAGTTTGAAACAAGATTTCGCTTTGGATGGATTTGAAACAGTCCTAGGTAGGTACCTGAATCGAATCTTTCCATCTTAAATTAATCACGTGTAAAATGTGAGATGAAGAAAGTAAGAGGAACTCAGAATTTGCGTTGAAGTTTCGTTTTGATGAGTTTTCGTTTGAATCATTTTGTATGTACAGTTCCAAACCGAATATCAAATATCCATAGGAATCGACCACTACACCTAAAATTAATTCGTTAATAAGCTATGTTCACGAATACCTGAAGAACTATAATCATCAGGACTACAAAGGCTATTTACAAGCAAAGTTCTTCCATCGAGTCATGGAAGAGATTAAGAGGACTAGGATTTCGATGAAGGGTTGAGAGGGCTCAGCTATACTTTAAAGAAGAGACAAAATATTTTAGAGAACCCGCTTCAAGGTATCCAAACAGATACATAACCGAGACTCTTACAGACACCCTCCTTTATACTCCTGCTTTGGGACCCACTTCCTCTCTCTCAGATCTGAACTTCTTTGTGAATGACGAACTACGTGTTGAGATTTGTTCTCAACAGGTTTAGGTGGGTACCTAATTGTCCAAAAAACTACCTCTGTTACATGTTCCTCAGCAGCCTCAAAGAAATATATTTTAAGGGCTGATGAGTGAAGGAGTTCCGAAAATCGCCAGGGTGACAAGGGTATAGTGTCTAGTGAGGGAGGGCGGGGTTGCGTGAAACAGTTTTTTTCTCGGGTAACCACGATGCGACAGAATCTCGCCGTAACAACTGAATAATTATTTTTTATATGAGTAAAATATATTCTCGCAATATGTTTCAAGAATATGCTAAAAATATACTTCAATAAGAGATGGAACAGCATTTAACAGTGAAACTACTAAACCACTTAGCTCGGTTTGCGACGTTGCAGACTTTCATTTTGCATCTCTTATTGGACTAGAGACAAATACAGACCCGTCACCCTCCGTCAACATCTTAGCGACGCGACGGTGAAAACTTTAAATTTCGGGCATCCCTCACCTTCTAGCAATTTAAAGAAATTATGAGTCGCAGTCTTCTACCTTCTTGTTGGCCGATGCTGAGAATATTTTTGTTCTGCTGAAACAATAAATCCCTTTGTTGACTAAAGAGCCTCGGTTGATTTCAACATGCGTTAACAAAGAGGAAAGTAATATTCGAGTTACGAATGTAAAAACTTCCATTATTTCCCAAGTAGCATTTCTCAACGGAAAAATCGCTATATATTGCGATTTTATCGGCGATAAACTCGCCAGAGTCATCAACATCCGAGCGATTATCCTCGACCTTATCGCGGTAAAATCGCGCTTTTATCGCCCGAAAATTTATCGCGATATTTTCAAAATAAAAATCGCGATAAATGGCGATTTAATCTCGATTTTATCGACCAAAAATTGATCACGATTTTATCGAACCAAAGATTGAGATTTTTGTAGCGATTTAATCGCCGTATATCGCGATTTTGAATGCGATAATATCTCGATATATTGCCACCGATATAACCGCGGTAACCTACCGATAAAATCGCAATTTATTGCGATCACTGCCACTTGGGTTCTGAGATACCATCGAAGCTCTGGAGGCTGATTATTAAAATTGATAGACAAAGCGATGGACAAAGAAGACATAGGGAGTATGGAGCAATCCTATTGGTTGAAACGGGCGGTTCCTATAGACTAAGGGAGGAAATGATGGACTAACTATCAGGTACCTCGTGGGTTGCCGTTACTTAGTCTATTACCTACCTTATTTGTCCATTGCAACCACCCGCTTCCACCAATAGGATCCCTCCATATCTCTTTTGTCTTCGTTGTCTATAGCTTTTTCTATCAATTTCAATAATCTGTCCGCTGGATTTGACGCTGATTCTCCTCCTAAAGGACATCCGATCCATAGAGTACACAGAGTCGTAATGTAAGTGGGAGTAGAGTACCTTTATAGACAGAGTATGGCCATTTCTGTTCCGGTTTTTCATTGGTCGCGAGCGAATAGGCTGACACGATGCTCTTAGGGCCGTAAATAAACAAACAAGATGGCCGTTATCAGCAAGCAAGATTGAGGTTATGCACATCTTACATCCTCCTGTGATAAAGGTGAAAGGCAATTTAACAATGTTTTCATGTGTTTTTCGTGTGCTATTCGTAGATATGCTCGTTTAAATTGTTACTGCCGCATAATTGAAATTTTTGTCAAATTTAGCTTCTCATCGATGTTATGGTGAGCCGCCATCTTGTTTGTTTATTTATGGCCCTAAGAGCATCATGAAGCCTAAAAACTCGTTAACCAATCAAAAAGCGGAACAGTTTTCCTGTAGTAAAAAGATACGAATGGCCATACTCTGTCTATAAAGGTACTCTAAGTGGGAGAGCTGGCGCCATGTTCTGCTCGACGAATTCCGAGCCCGGTGTGCGCCGAGTTCGGGTCGCTTTTTCGATACATTTTGGATCCAAAATGGCGGTGTGGAATACGTTGTAATTCCTATCTCCTTTGTTGTTGTTGTTGTTGTTGTTGTTGTTGTTGTTGTTGTTGTTGTTGTTGTTGTTGTTGTTGTTGTTGTTGTTGTTGTTGTTGTTGTTGTCATCGGATGGCCGGGTACCCGTGTATCGCCAACAATCGATTATGTATCGAAAAAGTGACCCGGCGTCACACAGGAGTCTCGGAATTCGGGACATGGAAAATGCTTAAAAGTGGCGCCAGCTCTCCCACTTACATTACGACTCTATGTACTCTATGATCCGATCACGAGCGGACCCCACTTATTTTTACAGAAGTTTGAGGCCAAGTGCGAGGCGCCTAAAATATTTTGTCTCCGTTGACTACGCGTAAGATTGGTCCAATGAGATGTTTATCTTGTTGCCCCGATCGACCCAATTTTTCAGCTTCCCGCGGAGCTCCTCCAAGGACTTGGACTTGGCCTTGTTGATGCGCTTGTACTTGACGTCTTTCGGTTTGGTGACGGACCTGTGGTTGCTCATCACCCTGTTGTAGGCCGTGTGGCAGGGCTCGCTCTGAGTCCCCGGAGACGGGGTCAGGGGCCCGGAGTCGTCGGGGAGTGGAGCTGGGGTCGTCGGTTGGAGGATCTCGAAGCTGTTGGAGCGCTCTTTGAGCCGCGCCCGCGGGGGACTGTCCTCCGGGCTCGGCGCCTCCGCTTTCGCCGGGGGCTGCTGGTCGTCCTCCTCTACCGAGTAGACCGTCTCCAGAACCTGAAAGCAAACACGCGGTTTTTTTACCCTGGTAAAAATGGAGATGTTGCATGTGTGAGGAATTTGCGATTTGACTGTTGATTCTTATGTAAAAGTTCGCGAGAAACACGATGGTGCCACTGGTTTTCCCTGAAATCATGCCCCAAGCTCACAAAAAGCTCTCAAGATGAGGCAAAAATGGAGGGGATATCCCACGCTATCCTGAGAGTCCACCTCTACATCAAGACCAACTCACCATGCAAAGATAGGGAATAAATATATCAGCAGGGTTGCCGTGTTCTCAGTTTTAAAGTCCCCAAATAAAGTGGCAGCCCTGTCAATGTATTTACTCCCTATCTTTGCATGGAGAGTTTGTCTTGATGTAGAGGTGGACTCTCAGGATAGCGTGGGATATCCTCTCCATTTTGGCCTCAAGTTGAGAGCTTTTTTTTGAGCTTGGGAGTTGATTTCAGAGAAAACCAGTGGCACCATCGTGTTTCTCGCGAACTTTTATATTGGAATCAACAGTCAAATCGCAAATTCCTCACACATGCAACAACTCCATTGGCAGTAGAATGTGTGTTATCCAAAATACTATAGACCTACAGCCGGCTGTAAGAATTTCCAATAGCTTCTGTAGCCGGCTGTACAATTTCTTATAGCCGATGGCGATTAAGCAACAGCCAGACGATAAAGTTTATGCTAAACGTTACTAAATACGGATACTAGGACTTAGTTAGTTTTTGGACTACCGCTCTCTTTTTGTGCCGTAGTATCTTGATTTATTTTGCGAGGAAAGCTCCGTACTTTTGAGGGATGCCTGTCATCTATACTATAAGCTCCAAGACCTCCTAATTTTGCGAAACTGGTGACGCTTAGTTCCAGCGTTCTACCGGGCCGATTTTCATGATTTTTGCGGCTATTGACGGGCAATTGTCTCTAGATAAGCCAACTCTTTTCAGATTTTGAAAATATGGCCCAGGTTTTTTATATTACGTGGTAAAGTTCCGAATTCTCCCATATAAACAATGTAAATTTATGTGTTTTGTCATAGTTCGTTTGAGCATTCTACTGGGCCGATTTCCATGATTTTTGCGTAAATCGACAGGTAATAGGCTCTAGATGAGCCCGCTCTAATCAGATTTTGGAAAAAGGACCCAGGTTTTTTTAAAATTACGTTATTAAAGTGAGTGAATTTACAAAGTGCTCCGGGACTGCTACCGCTATGCGCGGGAGGATGCGCAGTGGTCGAGGAGGTTGCGCAGTAGGTGTGTAGCCTGCGCATCAGCTCTACACTTATCTACACAAGATTTCCGCCGATTACCTCAAGACGAGCGGTGGCCGAGTCGTCTACGACGTCGGACGTGTCCACATTGATCAAGGTGTGGGTTCGAACCCCGCCTCCAGAGATACTTAATAAATATCCGATTTAAACAGATCGTTGTTTTACTGTAATATTTCATCAAGCAGTCATTCCAAAACGCGTCCTTTTGACTTCAAATTTTTTTTTTCCTTTATTCATCAAAACCAAAAATTATTTCATTCTATTAAGTATACCTCATATCGAATTTTTTTAGGGGAAAAATAAAACTAATACTAATAGGAGGGTAAAAATAGGGTCGCGAAGCGGCCCATTGATGGCGCGGAGCGCCTTCGGGGGGTTGGGCCGCGTAGCGGCCAGGGGGCGTAGCCCCCTAGTTCTTAATATGTTGGAGCGCCTTCAATTTCTTATGAAACTGTGCAATACATCCGTTGTGAAATAGTTGCTTCAGACGCCGTGGCACGCTGCGGCGCGGCGGGCGCGGGCAGAGAGCGCGGAACGCGCATCGGCGCCTACAAACCTAACAGGGATACTTCACGCATTGCGTGAAGTATCCCTGTTAGGTTTGTAGGCGCCAGTGCGCCGCCGCTCCGCTTTGTGTTAGAATCTAATATTTAATCTCGTTAAGTCAGCGTTGTTCAACTCATGACTTTGAAATGTTTGCACACTCTGTATGGATCACTCTCATTTTAATTGATGAAAAAAAATATGTTTTAAAGGAAAATATAATGTGTGTTTTGCAAATATAAAGGTAGTTCCGTATCAAACTTAATGACTTCCAAAGCACACGAATTTCTACACAATTTCTTATAGCCTTTTATAGCCAATGGCGATTATTTTTTTTAAAAAATAAATCATTGCTAGGTTAGTTCTAATTTTTTTGCCAGCATTTATTCTACCTCCCCCCAGCTCATTTTTCTAGCTCCATCACCCTGTCCCTTCAACTCATTTTTCTAACGATTTTTTTTTTTTTTTTTAAATGGCATGTCTTGCTTCCCTACCACTACTTTTTCGGAGTTATAGATATTTTAGCGGCCTCTAGACCCGCGACTCCAGTCACCGGCATTTCGCTAGCGGTAGGATAATTACCTCGGGGCGGCGGAGAAGGGCGTTGTTGCGGCGCTGGTTTTGCGACTGCTTCTTCGACTCGAGGGCGTCGGAGATGCTGCGGACGACGGTGACGTCGACGCGGTAGGCGTCGTCGTCCTCCATGATGACGGCCGAGTCGGAGTCGTTGAGGGAGTCGAGGTTGGTCTCCTCGGAGGCGGCCAGTCCGGCCTGGGTGAGGCAGGCCTGGAGGCGGTGGATGAGCTGCTGCTGCTTCCGGATCCGCGTCTCCCTCTCCAGGAGGAGTCGGCTGATGTTCCGCTGCTTCCGACAGAGCCGCGACTCGAACAACAGGAGCTGCGACGCCAGGCTCCGCAGCCGCTCCGTCCGCTCCACGTTCATCCGCACGATCAGCTCTTCCTGCAACATCACAACCGCTCAGTCGATTACCTTTCCTCGTGGAGAATTTCTTACCTTAGGAAGTTAGGAGGCGGTCATTTCCTAATCTACCCGTTATTTTCCTCCCCTCCTTCTCCCAACTCCCAGTCCCCCTCTCCGCCCCTGGCGGCGTCAACCACCTGTTCCTTCCGGAATTTTGTTGTCCGGAAAATGGAGATGTGGCATGTGTGAGGGATTTGCGATTTGACTGTTGATTCTTATGTTAAAGTTTGCGAGAAACACGATGGTGCCACTGGTTTTCTCTGAAATCATCTTCCAAGCTCAAAAAAAGCTCTCAAGTTGAGGTCAAAATGGAGGGGATATCCCGCCCTACCCTGAGAGTCCACCTCTACATCAAGACCAACTCTCCATGCAAAGATGAGGAGGAAATACATTAGCAGGGTTGCCGTGTCTTCAGTTTTGGAGTCCCCAAATAAAGTGGCAGCCCTGTCAATGTATTTGCTCCCTATCTTTGCTCGGAGAGATTGTTTTGATGTAGAGGTGGACTCTCAGGGTAGGGTGGGATATCCCCTCCATTTTGGCCTCAACTTGAGAGCTTTTTTTGAGCTTGGGAGATGATTTCAGAGAAAACCAGTGGCACCATCGTGTTTCTCGCGAACTTTTACATTGAAATCAACAGTCAAATCGCAAATTCCTCACGCATGCAACATCTCCATTACCTTTCCTCGTAGAGTATTTCTTTCCTTAGGAAGTTAGGAAGCGGTCATTTCCTAATCTACACGTTATTTTCTTCCCCTCCTTCTCCCATCTCCCAGTCCCCCTCTCCGCTCCTGGCGGCCTCAACCACCTGTTGCTTCCGGAATTCATTCAGGTGTTTTTGACTATTTCCGACCGACGACGTCGTCTGGACACCAGGGCCGGATTTACTTACTTGCCGCCGTGGGCCGCCTGTATTTTGCCGCCTACCTCTCATTCATTTTGAAACATCAATAAGAACCATCAAGTGGACGTGCCGGAGGGGGAAGGGTCCATAAGACGCTTTTACTCGTGTTGGACACATTTTTTGCGAAAGCCCCGTCAACACTTCTGGCAAAAGTTCACGGAACTTCGCGCGAAGGTTGAGTTCCGTAAACCTATCTCTGTGCGGACAAGGCCTTCCATTTGCATGAAATGAACGAAAAAATGATGAAGGAACAAACATAAATGTATAGTTTAGTAATTTTAACTTCCACCGCCGCGCCGCGCTGACTGCACTGTGTTTGGTGCAATGCGTGAAGTATTCTTACAGTCTTGTATGCGCTATGCGTGTCACGCCGACCGCTGCTGCACGGCGTGCACGCACTGTGTAAGACGCAATGCGTGAAGTATTCATGAAGTCTTGTAGGCGCTATGCGTTTCACGCCGCCTGCTGACCGAAGCGACCGCGCTGTCTTTGACGCAACGCGTGAAGTATTCATGCAGTCTTGTAGGTGCTAATATGTCTTACATGCCGACCGCCGCGCCGAGGGTTTCTCCTTTTTATTTTAAGTTCTCGTCATCATTCCTCTCTGCGCCGCACCGTTCCCGGCCAAATTCTGTGTTCGATTTCTCTCTTAGTCTTAACTCGACTAATTAAAGGTGCTATCTATTGTATCACAGAAATACGATTAAGTTGGAGATATACTCTCAGGAAATGAGAGATTCGGTCACCTTTTCTAGTTTGTAATTTTTTTTTCTGAATCCGATTTTTCTTTATAGTTACATTTAAAAACATTGCAAAATTTGCCGCCCCCTAAATTTGCCGCCATGGGCCGCGGCCCATGTGGCCACCCCCTAAATCCGGCCCTGCTGGACACCCGTTGATGACGTGACAGTGTCATTCGTTGATGACATCATCTGAACACCTGCTAATTACGTTTAAGTTTCATTCGATGACTGTAACGTCATGTGTATGGCATCATCTGGACACCTGTTTATGACCTCACAGTGTCACCCGTTGATGACGTTATCTGAACAACCGTTGATGACGTCAACTAGACACCCGTTGATGACGTTCCAATGTCATTCGTTGATGGCGTTATGACATTCATCGATAACATCATTTGAACACCTGTTGATGACGTTATATATTATCATTCGTAGATGACGACCTAGGAACACCAACACCCGTATATGTGTTGTCTTAATGATGCCACAATTTTGATACCGGTTGAAGACGTCATTGGAACATGAACCTGTCCGATGTAATTTTGATTTTTATTCTGATTTGATGATTCTGCACGCCTGATGATCATTTGAATTAATGTCTGTTCATGAAAAAGCCTACGTGCCGGGTGAAGAAACAGGGAATTTCGAAAGTAGAGAGAAGTTTTAAACTGTCATGAGTAAAGTAGCAATGGTCAAAGTTTGCAAGTTCAAAGCTCGACAAAAATTGTGCCTCCGTGGATTAAGATTCTTTTTCCGTAGGTGATCACAAATATTACTCAAATTGAGGGGCTTGAAGGACAGGGCGCAGAAGTGCAATTTTTGAAAAAAATGGAGGTATTAATGATTTCAAATGAAACTAGTCTTCATACATAATCTGTCAAAAATTCGCTCCCAAATTCCAAGTTTTAAGCATCAAAAAGTCAGTTTGAGCTTTCTTTATTCCGCCGCAAGGATCCATGTAATTTTGAAACTTCAAACACGTATTTCTCGAAATAGCAAAAACTTCACTTATGCGCCTTGCCCTCTAAGCCCCTCAATTGAAAACGTAATGTAATCTCCTAGATGTGACAACACAGTAGATTTCTGGCTTAGTGCCACTCACTCAAAAAGCAGCGGCTGCCTTTTTAATTACCTTTTCCCACTGTTTAACTTTTAAATTCAACGGGCGTGTGGCACAGCCCCCTAACTCCAGCCGCTACTCCACCGTTGAGTTCTTTTTATTCCGTAATTAGCTGTGAGAGGTTTCATAGAAAATGTCACTCCTTGATGGCACTAAACACGACAGGCTCAAAAAGTGATCACGTCACTTTGGAACCGAGGAAACAATTTTTTCCCCATTAGCGGAGAGAGGCAAAACAGAAATACGTCTGAGCTACTTTCGTCTAAAGTTTGCCCGGTTTTTCCTCTTTTTACAAAATCCATCTCCCACGAGCGTTCAGTAAACCACCACTTATACCACTATACCACTTATACCACTTCTATACATATACAAAACGTTTATCTCATTTGTAAAAATGAGATAAACGTTTTGTATATGTATAGAAGTGCATGCCTGAAAAACACAAAACAGATTGAAACGAGGTAATAATTTTAAATAGAAACCCTGAAACATTCCATCCATGTACGTACATATCGGGGGAAAGGAGGTATAGGGGTTAAGTCCCAACTTGGACATTTCTATTGAATTGTGGTAGTATCTCAATAAATAAGGTCACTAAGCCAAATGTTGCGGCATTACCAAAAGGCCCTGGTAAAAATTGGCAATGAGGGCTGCGTTTCAAAATACCATAGGAATTCTTATAGCCGACTAAAAAAGGCTACAGAAAATCATATAGCTGGCTGTAGAATGCGGAGAAAATCATACGGCCGGGCTATACGAAGCGATAAAAAATGATGCAGCCGGGCTATAGTTCCTGTCGCCGGGCTTTACACTTTATAGCCTGGCTGTTGCTTTTTCGCTATCGATTATAAAAGGCTCTAAGAAATTGTGTAGAAATTTGTGTGCTTTGGAAATCATTAAGTTTGATACAGAACCACCTTAATATTTACAAAACACACATTATATTTTCCTTCAAAACATATTTTTTTTTCATCAATTAAAATGAGAATAATCCATACAGGATGTGCAAACATTTCAAAATCATGAGTTGAATAACGCTGACTCCGCCAGATTAAATATTAGAGCCTGACACAAAGCGGAGCGGCGACGCACTGGCGCCTTCAAACCTAACAAGGATACTTCACGCATTGCGCAACGCGTGAAGTATCCCTGTTAGGTTTGTAGGCGCCAATGCGCGTTCCGCGCTGGCTGCCGCGCCGCAGCGTACCACGGCGCTTCAAGCAACTATTTCACACCAGAGGTATTGCACAGTATCATACGAAACTGTAGGCGCTCTAATATATTAGGAATGGCAGGCATCCATCAAAAGTACGGAGCTTTCCTCGCAAAATAAATCAAGATATACTACAGCCCGAAAAGACAGCAGCAGTCCAAAAATTCACGAAGTCCTAGCATCCGTAATTAGTAACGTTTAGCGTACACTTTATCGCCTGGCTGTTGCTTAATCGCCATCGGCTATAAAAGGCTATAAGAAATTGTGTAGCCGGCTATAGAAGCTATTGGCAATCTTATAGCCGGCTGTAGGTCTATGGTATTTTGTAACACAGATTCTACTGCCAATTTTTACCAGGGGGATTTGGTATATCATGTAACTGCCCAAGAAGCACAGTGCAACGAAAATACCTATTGGAATTAAATTTCAATTTGGTTTCAGAAAAATTGTAATTTTTTCACCATTAAATTGCAATATTTTTACATCATTTAGTCGATTTATGCCGATTTTAAACAATCAGCAAAATGAGCTCCATGCTCCATGTGTTAAAAAGATAGGCAAGATGCAATGCAGTGAAAAATTGCAACTTATTTCAATTTTATTGCAACACGTTTCAATAAATGGAGCCTCTTCAAATAGGAGCTAGGCAACATACACAACACTCAGTGGAATTGCAATATTTTGACCATGTAATAGCTACTTATTGCAATCGATCTGTGCTTTACACAGAAAAAAAAATGGATGGTGCTGTCGACAAAACCTTCTGTTCACAGGGCTCCTGAGTTTCTTTGTTCTACCGAACAAACGACCGAAGTTCTGTTCTCACAACAGAAAAATTCTGTCAATGTAACAAAGAAACCGCAGGAGATCTGTGAACAGAGGGTTTTGTCGTCAGCGCCATCTATTTTTTTCTGTGTACTTGGGGGATTGGGGTAGTGTCACAATTTTACATTTTTTTCCGTGTCTTACACTGAAAAAAAAATCTCGGTGTATTTACTAAGAAAAGGGTAATATTACCAAGAATTCAGGGTGCTATTTGATCCCAGTTTTTTCTTGGTAAAATTACCATTCATGGAATTGGTAATTTTACCGAGAAATCTCGGTAAAATTATTGAACTTTCGCGGTAATTTTACTGGACCTTGGTAAAAACGCCAATATTTTTTATCGACTGTGGTAGAATTACCGTGGTAAAATGGCAAAGTTACCGGGAATTGATTACCAACAAAAGTGGTATTCTTATCTGAAAAAAAACAGTAAAAATACCGGTTTTTAGGTAAGTTTACCAGTCTGTCTTGGTAAAATTACCAATAATTGGTAAAAAAAAAGTGAGATGGTAAAGGTACCAACGGACCTTGGTAAAAACGCCGAGAATTATTTTTCAGTGTATTCCTGAGATTCGAACTTGGGACAAATCCCGGGGGAACGTCTTGTGGAGACGAGGCCTTAAGCGGCTTATAGTGTGATGGCATACCTGCTGTTTAACCCTGCGCCGCCATGCCATAAGCTCGTGGGACTGGGCGCGGAATTTAGCGCGGAGGTCGCGAATGGTCTTCTTGGCCTCCTCGAGGGTTTCGGCCCCCAGCTCCTGCATGATCTCCACCGCGGCCAGGGCCTCCTCTGCGTGTGGGGCCTCCTCCAACCGGGAGCTCTCCTCTTGCTCCGGCTCCACCCCCAGCCCGTCCTCTGGGCCCACCTCGCTGAAACAAAGTACAAAATAATCTTCATTGCAGCAACGAATCTTCATTCAACCCAGAGAAATGATAAAAAAAATTAATAAAATAATATATAATAGAGCATTTGCAAGTGTCTTAAAAAATTTGAAGTGTCTTAAAAAATTTGAAACGTCTTAAAAATTGAAAAAAAATCCGAAATTTGCCGCCCGGTGCCATGGCACCTTGCCCCCCCCCCCTTAAATCCGGCTCTGCTAATACATGTAGCATAAGTTCATAGAGTATATAGAGTCGTAATGTAAGTGGATGAGCTGGCGCCACTTTTAAGCATTTTCCAGTTCCCGAATTCCGAGACTCCTGTGTGACGTCGGCTCACTTTTTCGATACATAATCGATTGTTTGCGATACAAGGGTACCCGGCCATTCAATGTAAACAAACGTATTCCACTCCGCCATTTTTGATCGAACATGTATCGAAAAAGTGACCCGAACTCGGCGCACACCGGGCTCGGAACTGGTCGAGCAAAACATGGAGTCAGCTCTCCCATTTACATTACGACTCTATGTACTCTATGCGTAAGTTATGGCTCGGAACTTCGACGCAGTGTTCCCAGGCGTTTAGCAGCGAAAACTTCAGGTCGTTATTTCAAATCCTGAATCGGATTTTGAGTGAAAAAGTTTTAGTTAGTGGCGTAAGTAGTGGCGCTGAGTAATTTAAGTTTTCACCTTCATGGAGGGTCCTATTTTATAGTTCAATCGCAAACAACCTTGTCATTATGATCGTTAACTAAATAAGGGATCACAATCCGCGAAGGGATTTTTCCAGTTGAGAAACGGCTCTAATGTCAGATTTAAAAATTTGACTCGGAGTTTGAAACGGAAAACCCTCGTCTCCAGAAATGGACGATGAAACTATTCATTCATACAAATAAGTTGCGAAAGTTCTAGTGTAGGCCCTTTTGTGACGATTACAATTACATTGAGGTACACAAAATTTGAATTTAGGGATCTTGAGGGACCGTTTACAAACGACGCAATGCCCAAAAGGGGTGGGGGGGGGGCAAGACCGCGGCTCAAACTTCTATCGGTTAGGAGCTCGAAATATTTTATACTCACAATACATTTAAAAATAATCAAAGGCCTTCAAGGCTAAACTCGGCCTCCCAAACCGGGGAATCATGCTGAAAAAAATAGCGCTGGAAAAGTTATAATGGAATTCGGGTGGAAACAGAATTTGAGTATGAAACCTATTTTATATTCTGGATCCATAGCGTCTGCCGATCGACTTACTTGGAGTGTGCCACGACAAGCGTAAAACTTTTAATGGGAAAAATAAGTTTCGCAGAATAAATATTTAGGATCCGCTCGTATACTCCATGAATAAGAGCCGAGGAAAGCGTCAAGTGTTGCAGCTTCTCTGTGTCATCCCACTTGAAATTTTATCCTCCTCCGACCATTAGGATATTTTTTTTTTTTTTTTTTTTTGTTAAAAAAATTAAGTCAGAGGGATCAATCGAAAAGATTCCTGCAAAAAAAATGTCGCGAATATCTCAAAGAAGTGAGCAAGCGTCCAGTCATTTTTAAAGAAGTGCCTTTCGGAACAACTAGATTACCTTCACGAAAACGTTCCGCGGCTCTCTGGAGACCGAAATGTGACATACGACCATCAGAGCCGGATTAAGGGGGTGGCCACGTGGGCCGCGGCCCATGGCGGCAAAATGTATAGGGGGTGGAAAAATTTGCAACCTTTTTGAATGTAGGTATCCAAAAAAAAAAAAAGAGAAAAAAACGGATTCAGAAAATAAATTACAAACGAGAAAAGGCGACAAAATCTCTCATTTTCTGAGAGTAATAGTATGGTAATTTCTGATTTTGTAGTCTTTCGGTGATACAAGAGATAGCACCTTTAATTAGTCAAGTTAAGAGAGAAACCAGACAGGCAATTTGACCTGGAGCGGACCGGCGCAGAGATCAATGATGACGCATGACGAGGACTGAAATGAAAAGGAGAAGCCCTCGGCACGGCGGTCGGCATGAAACGCATAGCGCCTACAAGACTGCATGAATACTTCACGCATTGCGCCAAACAGTGCAATCAGCAGCGGTCGGCGTGAAATGCATAGCGCCTACAGGACAGAATGAATACTTCAAACATTGCGCGAAACACAGTGCGGTCGACGCGGCGGCGGAAGTTAAAATTATTAACCACATTTATGTTTGTTCTTTTATAATTTTTTTAGTTTGTTTGTTAAAAATAAAGGCCTTGTCCCAACAGGGATAGGTTTACGGAACTTAACTTTTGCGCAAAGTTCCGTGAACTTTTGTTGGTGTTGACAGGGCTTTCACAAAAAATGTGCCCAACACGAGTAAATGCGTCTCATACACCCCTCCCTCACCGGCACGTTCACTCGATAGTTTTTATAGATCGTATTCGATAGATCCCACAGGTGAAATTATATTGATATCGATTGGTTCAATATGTAAACACAGCCTCAATGGTCAATTTAGAAATCTGAGATAACGGGTCTTTTGTGATCGAATTTTTCTTCTCTCGAGTACCAAATGACAATGAAAAGTGAAATTGTTAGCTATTGATGTTTCAAAACGAATGAGAAGGGGGCGGAAAAATACAGGCGGCCCATGGGCAGGAAGAAGGTAAATCCGGCGTTTTACGTAGCCTGTGTTACCTACCTGTGTTAAATAATCGATTTTTGTCGGAGCACCTGGTCACTTTGAGAATCGATTTACCTATTTTTGTAGGTTTAAATATAGAAAACACAATGTTACCATTTTCTTGAATCCGCTGATGGTATAATGGTCCTAAGTCAGGGATCTTTGAAAGTTTAGCCTCAAGACAAGCGCGTGAGGTAATTGCTCATCCATGAGGCGTATATCATCGGAAATTCGCAACACAAACAATCCATTGGCGAAGTTTTCAAAACTTCGCGTAAACCCTCACTCAACTCCGATCTCGTTAGCTGAGTCCAAGCTCTCAGCGCCAGTATCGTCAAGTTTTCCCCTCCGTCAGAAGGTAAAGTTCAAGGAGCTTTGTGTGATATCCTGGTACCCGTCATGAAATTTTACGAAAATACGCAGGAAAAAATGTAAAAATATTACAGGCAACCGGTTGATGCAATGCGTGAAGTATTCATGCAGTCTTGTAGGCGCTAATATGTGTTACATGCCGACCGCCGGCCGCGCCGAAGGGCTTCTGCTTTTCATCTCAAGTCCTCGTCATCATTTCTTTCTAAGCCGCGCCGTTCCAGGCCAAATTGCGTGTTTGGTTTCTTTCTTAACTCGACTAATTAAAGGTGCTTTAGGTTTTTCTGCGTATTTCATTCCGGAAATTCCATGGAATGACTGAACTTTTACGTTTACGATTACTGCTTTTACCTTTGCTAAATGTGTCTGATCATATAAATTAAAAACGGTATATACTATTTTGTGATAAAAAAAGATAATACCTGTAGACTTTTATAACTACCTGAACAATCTAAGAGACTTTTGGATGATCATTGACAATTTTACAAAAAAAAGAAGAAAAAACCAAGGGCTCGGAAATTTTCCTGCTAGGATACCTATTTCTCGGTCCATTTTCTCAAAAATTAATCTTTGCCCTTACTCACTGCTCTTTTTGATAGTGGGGCAGGGCGGTTTGACAAACCCTGATGAGCCTTAAGACTCATGGGAATATAAACTTATAGGTACTGCGTTCCTGTAGCAAGGCAAAGCAGAGCTGTGCTAATTGTAACTTTGTAAGTAAAAAACCGCGGGCATAAGTTGGGAATTTCATTGAAGCCAAGCAGGTCTCCCGCAGCAGAGACGATGAAAATTACGGCGAGTTTTACGTAGCTGCAATTCGAGCTCGGAAACTTACCCTGTTTTTCGTTGCAAGTTATACGTGTATATGTCATTCAATTAGGATTGTCCTCCGCGCCCCCCCTATAGTGCTGTGAGCTTTTAAGAGGGAAAGCACTTGCACACGCGTTCATAATTAAAACTTTTTCAAATTTCTTTCTCACGACAATGGTTCCTGGACTCAGAGAGCGTGAATTAGTCAGAGGAATTTATTAAATTTATTTTTTTAATTTTCTCCCCTTTGAGACTAAGAAACCCGGGGGAGAATGGAAAATGCCCTTTTATTTTGAAAAAGAAAACCGTAATGCCAAGTTCACGCGCTAAAAATAGGAGCTGAAAATGAGAGCCATCGTGCGCTGTAGACAGTGGTTCCTTAAAAGTGTGGAAGTCACCCAATTTTCCGCAACCAATAAAAATCGAGACGCAACAGTTGTTATCAGTTCGTCTGAGCAATTTAAACTGCGAAGTTAATTTAAAAAAAAAAATAATAAAATGAAGTAAAAGGTAACTCACTTCCCGAAATTTCTATGGGTTGAGCAACTACCAATAACTCGATCCCATCGCAAAAAGAATAAAACTAAAACGGAAAGAATAATACATGATTTTCATATAATCCATAAGGATGAGGTTGAAAATGACCCTACATTTTTCCCTGTACCCATTGTTTTTCCAGACAATCGAGCTTTTCCTTACGAATAAGTTTTCCCGGGAAAATTAAATTTTCGAGGGAACTAGTGCAAATCAAAACCAAGGTATTTTCGGATTTAATCGCTAAGGAATGCAAAGTTAGCCTGTACCGATGTACCGCACGCCCTTAACAGATTTTCCCGCTGTATCTGATAACGAGGTTTTTCCGATCAGATTATATAATTTGCCCTTGTACCCCCATATAAAACTGAGCTGTTTGTAGTTTGTATTCCGTATCCGCAAGAAGGACGTAATAGTTATTTCACCCAGGTGTCAAATGAAGCTTCAGACTAGACCCATTCACTTTGTATATGTTTGCTACTTTTGAAAATTACTTTCGTCTTTCCCATCCGCCTACCAATTTCTCGGAAAATCGAGCTGTGTTTTTGAAACTTAAAGAAGGGTTTTTTTTTGATAAAATTTGCTTTTATGAGAAATTGTTAGGTGATGGAAAAGAACCGTTCACTCCCGAATTTAATAGC